CCTAACTGCCCCCCTTTTTCTTTGTGGCACGCTTCCAACAGTTCGCTGTTTTAAACAAAGTTGATGTTTTTTTGGCCTGTAACACTGAAGATGTCGGCAAGTGGACATGGCTATCGAAGAGATTTGAGTAGAAGTCATGGATAATCTTCTCCATTGCTGTTCTGGAGGATGTGATGGATCCATCAGGACGTCGGAGGGCAGTCATCTTGGTCTTATAGTTGGCGAAGGACAGGCAGGCGTTACGAATACTTTTCCCGGCTTCTGCCGCATCTACCAGTACTTCTGCTCTTCTCTCTTTGAGGTCTTCCTTGATCGCATCTCTGCACTGCTTTGCAAGCTCGGACGTTAGCTTGCGGTTGCCTGAGGCATGCGCCAAACCACGCTGGCGAATTAGCTCAAGAGTTTTCGAAGATAGGCGATTTTTTGTGGCTATCTCTCTCTTGGCGTTCCTCGCACATTCATGGAGGTGCTGAACCAGTCGATCGTATTCCTCGTCAATGTTGTCAACAATGGCATCTTCCCATGTTGCCGCAATAGTACCAAAGAGTTCCCAGTTGGTGGTCATTCTGGGAGTTCTCTTTTTGAACTTTGCAGCCCTTTCTCCCCGCTCTGTGAAGTAGAATTTTGCACGAAGGAGACGGTGGTCCGATCCCGTTCGAAATTTTGGGACAACAGCGACATCAGTCAGGCAAAACCGTCGATTGAATATGATGTGGTCTATTTCGTTGTGGAATCGTCCATCAGGAGACTCCCATGTCCATCGTTTAGATTCTGCCTTCTGGAACTGTGAGTTACCATGAATGGTCTTGGTCAACATGATGAAGTCAGACAGTCTCTCACCCTGTCGTTCCATTCTAGGCCATGGGTCCCAATGTGAAGTTCTTCAGCTGATCTTCTCGGTCCTATCTTGGCATTAAAATCACCCACAATGATCTTGTAGAAGGTGTGGTCTTCTTTATAGAACTTCTCTAGCTCCATGTAGAACTTCTCGATTTCTCTTTCATCATAATGAGATGTTGGTGCGTAGACAACGAAGATAGAAACTGCAGGCAGTGAGTCACATCTATTCAAATGTAAATGTCCGATTCGGGTTGTTAGGCATTGGAATGAATCAATGCTCTTGGCCAAGTTTGTGTTGACAAGGACACCGACGCCTCCAACACCTCTTTTATCGCATGTTCCGAGGAACAATTCTTCTCCAGTGTTGAAAACGGCATGGTGAGATTCGTGCCTTCTTGTCTCGGTCAGACCAATGATGTCGTACTTGATCATTCGCGCTTGTACCATCAGGTCCTCGATGGATGCATCTGATGCTAGCGTACGTGCATTGAAAGTACAGATGATCATTTTTGTCTTCCTTCGTTGTGGCAGCCTACGTCGGCCTTGAGATTTTGTCGGCCTCTCCTTTCTCATCCTTCTCAGTGCTGCCATGTCGGTGAAGCCTTCAGGGTCAGGTGAATGAGACCAGTTGTAGTTACTGGTTTTGGCATATCGAATACACAGCGGATAGCTTGCCAGGCTCTTCCGTGCGGGCGGAATACTCTCAATCGAGAAGATTATCCATGACTTCTACTCAAATCTCTTCGAGAGCCATGTCCACTTGCCGACATACCAAATTCCACAGGATGGATATGTCGTTCCCAACGTTCTCCCTTCCGAAATCTGACACACCATTTCGTCGGTAAAGAAACAAACAGCACCCGGCCCAGACAAGGTCAGACCTGAACACCTGAAGAACCTGCCGTCAGTACTCATCAATACACTGGCTCGGCTCTTCACTCGCTACCTGTCTGAATGCAAGGTTCCGTCCCAATGGAAAACCAGCAGGACCGTACTACTGTTCAAGAAGGGAGACATCCATGACATTGGCAACTATCGCCCGATCTGCCTATTGTCTGTCATCTACAAGTTGTTCACTCGAGTCATCCTAAATAGGATTGGCAGAACACTAGATGAAGGACAACCATGCGAGCAAGCCGGGTTCCGCAAAGGATTCAGCACCATCGACCATATCCACACGATAACCAAGCTCATTGAGGTTTCTCGGGAGTTCAAGATGCCGCTCTGTTTAACGTTCATTGATTTAAAGAAGGCCTTTGATTCTGTTGAGACGGAAGCGGTCATTGAAGCCCTAGCCAATCAGGGCATTCAAGCCCAATACATCAGGATCCTCTGTGAGCTGTACTGCGGATTCACTACCAGGATCTCACCATTCTACAAAGAAGTGATCGTTGATGTCAAGAGAGGGGTTCGGCAGGGTGATACCATTTCACCGAAACTCTTCAGTGCCACCCTCGAGAACATCATGCGACGACTGGAATGGGAAGGAATGGGAGTGAAGATAGATGGTCGGCAACTACGCCACCTCCCCTTTGCTGATGACATTGTTTTAATAACACCAAACATCAGCCAAGCGGCACAAATGCTGGCCGACTTTGACCGTGAGTGTGGAAAGGTAGGATTACAGCTGAATCTTACGAAGACAATGTTTATGAGAAACAGCCTTGTTCCTGATGCCCCATTCGCTCTCAATGGAACGACCATCTCCGAATGCAACAGCTATGTGTACCTAGGTCGAGAGGTCAACATGACAAATGACCTGGCACCCGAGCTGCGCAGGAGGAAGAGAGCGGCTTGGAACCCCTTCAAGAACGTCGAAGAAATAGCTAAGAGGACGAAGAACCTCTGGCTTCGGGCACATCTCTTTGATTCCACTGTTCTTCCTGCATTAACATATGCCTCAGAGACCTGGGCCTTACGCAAACAAGATGAGAACGCTATTCAGGTCTCCCAAAGAAGAATAGAAAGAGCTATGCTTGGAATATCACGTTTCACTCAAATGAGAGAGAGAATCCGGAGTTCTGACATCCGTCGACGATCAAGAATCAGGGACGCTGTCTCATATGCCAAGGTGTCGAAAATCAGTTGGGTTGGTCACGTAATGAGATTTAAAGACGACCGCTGGACTAGAGCTGTTACCGACTGGATTCCACGGGATGTCAAAAGACCGCGTGGCCGCCCACCTTCCAGATGGTCAGACTTCTTCGTCAAGATCATGAACGATCGGTTTGAGGCCCTTCATGTTCCTGGAGCGAACAGATGCCATTGGGCTACACTAGCACGCGACAGGGACAAATGGAGACGTTACTGGCGCCCGCTCGAGCAAATCGACGACTAACGGGAAGTTAAGTGATTAAGTGATTAACACTGAAGATAAATAGTGTTTGATGTTCTTACTTGCCATCTTTCAGAACCTAGAAGTTGAATATTAGCTGTTTTACCCTTTTGAGTTGTAATAATTTACCTGTTTTCTTTCTTATCTCTCTACAATGCATTCTACGCAACACAGACATGGATCTTTAAATATATATACTAGATTATCATGTACTGTTTAAAATTTCTTTACTAGGAAGCTTCGTGGATCAAAACCCAATTTTTACTGTGGCTTTACTTATGTCAGCTGTTGCCATGACTTCTCTAGCCTCCCCATGTTCCTTTGTTCCTTTGCCTGGATTTAGCACCTCATCCGATCCCTATGGACATGAGGAAATTTATTTCCCCACTGGCGCCTTTGTTATAGTTATTCCCTATGCCTGAAACAGAGTCTCAAGATTTTGAGATGTCTTTAGCTTTCTGTTCAAATTCTTCCCAGAGGGAATTTTCTCAATCCCACTCCAAAAATATTTATTTTATCACATTCTTTCGTGTCACCCTATTTTATTGTCTCACAACACTTAATATTTTCTGAAGCCGTATTCCCTCTTCCTTCCTTCCTTCCTTCCTTCCTTCCTTCCTTCCTTCCTTCCTTCCTTCCTTCCATTCTTCCTTCCTTCCTCTTTCTTTCTTTCTTTCTTTCTTTCTTTCTTTCTTTGTTTTTTGGGTCATATCTGGTGATGCTCAGGGGTTACTCCTGGCTTTGCACTCAGGAATTACTTCTGGCCATGATCAAGGGACCATACTGGATGCCTGAGATCGAATCTGGGTTGGCAGCGTGCAATGCAAACACCCTACCCAATGTACTTTGGCCCCAATATTTCTTATTTATTCACTCCCTTCTCTCTTAATCCAATGTTCAGGAAACCAGGACATTAGCTTGTCTAGTCTTCTGATATATCGCAACCCCCATAACTTTGGGGACCCAAAGGCCCTCAGTAAAAACCCATTGCATGGTTGACAGCTTGACTTTTTAAAAGGTCTTGGGTTCAAATTGGCTATAGAACCCAGGTTGGCTGACTGAATCCCAAAGTGAAAGCAAAGCCTGACTCCCATTCCTTCTCAGGAAAGGCTTTCATTGGTGTTTACCTTAGTCAGAGAAAAGGGAGAGTCCAGAGGCCTTCCATGGGAATTTATGACAATGACCATGAAAACCGCAGTAGCAACAGGTAAGGTACATTGAGAACCTTCTCTGTGCCAGGCACTATTCTAGGTGTTTCATAGAGATTCATTGACTCATCACGGCCACACTATGGGTGCCGTTATTGTCCTCACTTTAGTGTTTTTTTTTGGGGGGGGGGGGTCAGGGGAAGGTGGGAGGAGGCACACCCTGCTGTGCTCGGAGCTTACTCCTGGCTCTGAGCTCAGGGATCACCAGAGCGAGTCTCTGTGCTGCCAGGGATCCAACTAAGGTAAGCCACCTGCAAGGCACGCGCCTCAAGCCCTGTTCCTATCTCTGCGACCCCATGAGCCTCACTTTAAAGATGCTGAACGGAGGCATGATGGACTGTCAAGTATCTGGCCCAATATCTAGCTGAATGATACACAACTATAGGTTTCTACCGAATCTTTCGTGCACTATCCCTCTCTCACGGTGACTGGAGTGAGAGGATTTCTGGTTGATGAAACTGGGGCAACCAAGGTCTTTTAGAATCCCCCCCCACCCCCCGACTGGCGTGGGCGTCCCGAAGCGCAGGCGCAAGGCTGGCCGGCCGCTAGAGAAGGCGGCGGAGGGGATTGGTGAAAACGCGGCCGACCTAGGAGCGGAAGTCCCGCCCAGCGCGGGCGGGTCTTCCGGCGGAGAGCGCTGAACGGGGAGGCCGGCCATGGTGCTGCTGGAGAGCGAGCAGGTGTGGGTTCGGGGGTCGGGCCGCGCGGGAGGCGCTGGGGTCGGGCCCGCGGGGGCTGGGCGTCGTCTCACCGGCCTGGTCTGTTTCGTTCCAGTTCCTGACGGAGCTAACCAGGCTCTTCCAGAAGTGCCGCTTGTCGGGCAGCGTATTCATCACCCTGAAGAAGTGTAAGCAGCTGGCGCCCGTCCGGCCTCAGCGACGCGGGGCCGGGGGGACCGGACGGGGCAGGGGCGGGCCGGGACAGGGTCTGGGGCCGGGCAGGGGAGACTCCGGACGGGGCTGGGGCAGGGGAGACGCCGGACAGGGCCGGGGCAGGGGCTGGGCCGGACCGGGCCCGGGGATAGGCCAGCCGGGGTCGGGGCTGGGTCGGGGGCCCGGTAGGGGAGACGCTGGACGGGGCTGGGGAGGGGCCGGGGCAGGGGCTGGGGGTCGGGTCTGGGGCCGACCCTGGGGCCCGAGCCTGGGGCCGGGCCGGGGAGACGCTGGACTGAGCTGGGGCGGGGCCGGGTCTGGGTCTGGGTCTGGGTGTGAGACCAGGTCTGGGACCCGGTCTGGGTCTGAGGCCGGGACTGGTGCTGGGACTGGGTCTGGATCTGGGTCTGGGGCCAGGATCAGGAATGTTCTTGTGGCCGGGACCGGTGCTGGGACCCCGGCCTGGATCAGGGGTTGGGGCTGGGACCAGAACTGGGACTGAGGCTAGGGCTGGGGCTGGGACCGTGCTGGGGCCCTTGATGGGATTGGTCCCAGACCAGGGCTAGGTTGTGGTCCCCCTGGTTCCACTACCTAAGCCAGTCCTCACTGCAGCATGCCCGGGCCTGGCGGGACTTTGATTCTTTGGTCACACCGACCCCCAGCCCCCAGGCCCCACAGCCTCCACCCCTGGCCACTGAGTGGGTGTTACCTGCTCCTCCTGGTGTTCCTCCAGTTTATAAGAGAGCCAGGGGTGATGGGGATGAAGTCCAGGGAACTGGGTTTCAGGTAGCCTGTGACCTTTGTAGTCTCTTGACCTCTCAGGTCCACCTGTCAGTGTCGACCACCGATTTTCTCTTCTCCCGCAGACGATGGTCGCACCAAGCCCATCCCGAGAAAGGGGTCCGTAGAGGGGTTTGAGCCCTCCGACAACAAGTGTCTGTTAAGAGCCACTGACGGCAAGAGGAAGATCAGCACCGTGGTGAGTTGGGATTGGACCACCGCGGTATTGCTGTGGTTGAATTAAAGACTGGTGGAATCGCAGGCTGGGATGTTTGGGAACCTGGATTTTGACCCTGCTTTCTGGGGAGACAATGGGGTTACATCTCTGCAGCATGCCTTGAATGGTGGTGGAATGGTTTGATTTGTACAGATCTTGCAGTGCCAACCACAACGGGCTCAGCCAACAGCCAAAACCTCCCTAGTAAGATTTTTACCAAAGAAACAAAAACATTTACCCTTCCTAGAAGAACTCTTTGCTGGATTCAGACCCGGTGTGGATCTGGGTCTGGAGCCGGGACCAGTTCTGGGGCCTGGGCTGGGGCTGGTGCTGGTGCTGGGATCAGGATCCTTCTTGGGGCCGGGACTGGGACTGGTGCTGGGACCCCGGTCTAGATCTAGGTCTGGGGCCGGGACCCGTGCTGGGGCCCATGATGGGCCCCATAGGTCTGACCGCGGAGTTTGCTATAATCATCAGGTTATTTATTATGTACAAATGAATCAAACCCTTCCACCACCATTCATGGCATGCCAGTTGCTCCTTATGGTGTTGGGACCCGGGCCTGGGCTTCAGTGTGTGCTTGGGACACTGCTCTCACCTCCAGTACTTCCACCTCCAGTCACTCCACCTCTTATAACCAGGAGACTCCTTCCCCCCCCGCCCCCCCCAGGAGTTTGATTTTTGTTTTTAGATTCCACCTTACACTGACATCATGCAGGATTTGTCTTTATCTGACATTTCTTTTAGCCTTTAGCCCTCTAGTTCTGTCTGTACTGAGTGGTAGGATTTCTTGCTTTTCATGGGTGCACAAAATACACGCGCACCACAGCTTCATCCGTCCTTCCACACAAGTAGTTGGTATATTTTGGCCACTGTGCAAAGTGCTGCTATGAGCATGGGGTGCAGATATCTTTTTGAGTTAGTATCTTTGTTTCCTTTGGAGAGTGTCCCAGAATTGGAATTGATGGATCATATAGTAGTTCTCTTTTCAGTTTTTTTGAGGATCCTTCATACTTTTTGCCACAGTGGCAGTATCAATATATTTTTTCTCCCCCCTTCTGGGCCACATCCAGCGGTGCTCAGGGCTTACTCTTGGCAGGGCTCCAGGGACCATATGTAGGGTGCAGGCAGATCAATCCCAGGTCAGCTTTGTGCAAGGCAAGTGCCTTACTGAACTGTCTCTCTGCCCCCCTCTTTAGGATTTTCTACATGTCAAATTATGTCATCTGAAAATAGATATTCCCCTATGCCTGCTAGATCTCTGAGCACTTCCAAGTGTGGCCCAAAGGCCAAAAACAACCAAAACATTTGGAATTGCACAGATAATACAGGCCTGCCCACGTTTGATTGCCAGCACCACTTATGATGCCCTAAGTACTGCTCCAAGTACTATTTAACAGAGTCAGGAATAAGCTCTGAGCACTGCCAGGCATGGCACACTAACCCCCACTCCCCCCTAATAAAAATGAACTACTCGGTATGTAGCTCTCCAGGCCCAATTTTGGGATTAGAACCTTCAGTAGCAGAAACTTCAAGAGTAAAATTTAAATGGAGGAAATAGAAGTCATACTATTTGTTAGTTCACCTGACATTTTTGGAAGTAAAATAAGCATATTGGGGGCCAGAGAAAGTTCCAAGGGCCCGAGCACAAATTTTGCATTCAGGACGCCTGAGTTTGAATCATAGAACTGCCTGTTCCCAGACAGCACTCTGGGGGCCACCCCAAGCACATGTTGGAAAACTGAAGATTAGCTTATTGTTCCTCACTCTTAGTAGCATTGCACAGAGCAATTGTCTTACATGTTTGATTCCTTATCTCTGTACTGTGCTGGGTTTTCTTATCTGGGGAGGGGTGGGTATTGGGTTCTGGGCCACATCTGGTGGTGCTCAGAGGTCACTCCTGGCAGTGCTTAGCAGATCATGCAGTGCCAGGGATTGAACTAGGGTCAGCCACATGCAAGGTAAGCCCCTTAACCCCTGTTCTGTCTCTGTGGCCCCAGTGGTGGGTTTTCAACAGTTTCTTAGTTTCTTCTTTTATTTTTAAGTTATCTTTCTCTAATGTTTATGGTTCATTTACCAAACATGCAGTTTTATGTAAAGCTTGATACTTGAGAGTCAAGTATGAGTTTAAGTCAAGTTGGATAACCGAATTCAAAGGAAAACTTCTTTATTTTATTGAGGCAGAACTAAATACTCTTTAATCACATCAGTAAAGTTGGATACAAGACTAAATTTCCGGGCTGGAGCGATAGCACAGCGGGTAGGGGGTTTGACTTGCACGCAGCTGACCCGGGCTCGATTCCCAACATCCCATATGGCCCCCTGAGCCTCCCACTTTCCCCCAGGAGTAATTCCTGAGTGCATGAGCCAGGAGTAACCCCCTGTGCATCTCTGGGTGTGACACAAAAAGCAAAAAAAAAAAAAAAAAGACTGAATTTCAAAATGTTTTTATTATATTGAGGTAGAACCTAATTACTCTATAATCACATCAGTATAGGATATTCATGAGAATGCAGGTCATAACTAGCTGCCAATGAGTCTCTTTTTGCTAGTTACCTTGAGAGCACTTTTACAGTAAAGCAAGCTTATGTAGTTTTTAAAGTTGGGTATCATGAATTATGAAAACCTAAGGCATCTTCAGAGGTAGAATTTCTCTCGATGTGATTGATAGTTGTATTTTGCTTAAGTAGGCCTATAAAATGTAGAGGGTAGATTTAAAGTAGGATTGGGGGGTCACGGATGAGGGAGTAATTTCAAAGTATCTTACACAATACACTGATACTGAAACTCCTTTGACATCTCCCAGGATCCATAGAGGTAAACCTCCATGCCATATGTGGAAAAGCAAGGAGGTGGGAAGGACACTTTCTTCCAAGCCCACTTCGGCCTCTTTTCCATCTTGGTGTGCTCACGTGAAAACACGCAGAGCTACTTTGCATGTTTCAACAGTGGAGGAAAATGGAATAGGGAAAAATGGCCTTTAGAGTACAATTGGGAAGAAATATTTTTGAGGTCAGGGTGTATGAGCTTTTCAGTTACACCCGGGTAGATAAATCCTACATAGATAATGAGAATGATGAGAATGACATTTTTGCCTCCCTTTCCAGGTGAGCTCCAAAGAAGTGAATAAGTTTCAGATGGTGAGTTTCTGGTACTCCTTGTGTCTCCTTTCTCCGAGCAAGCAAGATTTGGCATAATATTCAACACTAGGTCCAGAATGACACGCGTAATGCTCTCCTATGTTTTAAAATATTTCATGAATTAAAAGTTGGCTATCTCTTCCGTTTTACTTTCAACACTGATAATGTCTTTAGATTTTGGAGCTCTGTTTTTGTCCGAGGCTGTAGACGTGCTCGGCCTATAGAGCATTTGAACACAACGGTGGAAGCAGCATTTTCCTTTTTCGCTTGTCAAACAAGGTGCGGCGCACTGTGGGTGTGTTCCTCTTTGAGCATTTTTTCATCTGCTGTGGTATTCGTTGTCAATTAGGCCTTCTGATTTTGGCTGCCCCAAATCCAGGAACTAAGGTAGCTGCTAACCTACTGGAAGCTTCCCACTAAGTTTCTGCTCTTTTCCTTTCAGGCTTACTCAAACCTATTGAGAGCTAACATGGATGGTCTGAAGAAGAGGGACAAAAAGAGCAAGAGTAAGAAGAGCAAAGCAGCACAGTGAGGGTCATGGGAGCTCCTGCTTCCCCCAGCCACAGAGTTGCTATTTTTTCCTTCCTTTTTTTTTTTAAACTTTTCACCACATAGTTAGATATTTGGTTCCCCTACAATAACTGTTCTCATGTGAGATTGCATCATTTTGGATGGAAAAACAACCATATTCACGGGGTAGTTGTAAGAACCCAGTTTATTTTAGGTTGCCAACTGGCCTGTGCTCCATGGTTGTAAATGTCTGAATTATAGTGTAAGGTCTCTCAGACCATGTGTATGAACAGCAGTGTATCATTAAACCTGTATATTTATCAGCACCGATGGTCTCTGTTCTTTTCCCCACCCTATATTAAGTTTCCGGCAATGACTACTAATTTTGGAATGATGGGATTCTGAGTAGATTTTTTAGCTTGTGTAGGTTATTGTAATTGAAACATGATAGTTTTACAAAAAGTTGTGTGCATTTTATGGGCAGTCCTCAGGTGGGTGTATAATTTTATCATCATGGGTCCTTTGGCAAATATGAATAGATTCTGGTTAAGCAAACAAAGAGTTAGGAATGTGTATTACACAATCATAAAAGAATGAAGATTCCAAGATAATGATATTTGGTTTCTTTTTGTAGTGCCAGGGATCCAACCTAGGTTCTTACACAAGTATAAGTAAGGCTGGTATTCTACCACTGAGCTAGTATGCCAGCACAGTAGTCTTTTATGCCCTTTATTTTTAAATTTTGGGGAAATTTGAGGCCAAATCTGGTGATGCTTAGGGGTTATTCTTGGCTCAGTGCTCTTAAGTGTTCCCTGGAGGTATTCAAGGGACCATAGATGGTATTAGGGTTTGAACTAGGGTCAGGGCCACTGCAGCCTCATGAAAAGCAAGTCCCTGACCCCCTTTCTGGCCCCCTTGGAGATTTCCTTGTACAGAGTCAGTAGGACTAGTGGCAGAATAAGATTGTTTTATCTTTCAGTTCCATAACACTGTCAGGGATGAACCACTTAGAACGAAAAGGCAGCAGATATATGAAAGCATTATATTTAAAAAGATAATTTTATAATATATTGCACATGAAAAACTGACAAAGCCCAGCTTTGTACGTAGCTGCTTAGAATGAAGTTAACTTAGAATTCTAATGAATGTACAACATTTCATAGTATCAGTTCCTATCTGAACAGGATTAAAATAGGATTCTGTAGTAGTCATCTCTGTAGCTGTATAGGAATAGCACCGATACCCTGCAAAAGAGAACAGGTAGGCTCAATATAATTTCCGAAGGGCACAGTAAAATTATTATTTTCAATAGGAACTCAACCCAGAGTTGCTCAGGGGGGCCCAGGCCTTCAGGACTATTGATATTGAATGGACAATGTAGTGCTTGGGATTGAACCTGAGCTTGTAGAGCTAAGCATCCAACCTATATCCTTGGCCCCAAAGGAACCTCTGCCCCTTGTTTCAGGAGTCAAACACTGGGGTACAGCAGGCACATACTCTGCCACTTAATTACATATCCTGGCCTCCAAATTACTTATTTTTCTTATTTTGGTAGCACCAGGGATTGAACCTAGAGCCTCATGCATGCAAGGCCTAAGCTCTACCTCTGAGCCACATCCTTGGCCCTAAACAATTATTTTTAGAATACTGAAATAACTGCAGAAGTTCTGTTTCATGAAAAACCAGATGCAAGGCTATTCACTAACAAATGATCTAACCGATAAGGTTCTGCTGCGTAAGGCCCACATAAAAAGACCATCATTCACCTCACAGTCTTCATTTCTGTCTTTTTTACACTGAGTTGTAAAAGAACAGGAGCACGAAACAAAGCAGTCTCAGCTAGTTTCTTTCGTTCAATCATTTCTATTAGCGATCTACAAACTTACAATGGGGACAGCACCGTCAGGACTGCCCTGAGTTACTGACAAGCTCCTGAAGGATCTCACAGTCTGGAGTGAGATTTGCTCACTGCCAGCTGCAGTTCTGACATAATGGCCACACTTCGGACAGTAAAGTGTGGTTCACTCTCAAACCCCTCCCTGAGTTTTAACCCGTGGGAAGCCTACGATACCTGACAACTTACTTTTTTTCTACTTTGATGTTAAAAATTTCATCACAGACTAGTTTGAGGTATCTTTGCTTTGGCAGGCGTGACAGCAGCTGCTTCACAGTTGTGTTGAAAGCCTGTTCATCACCATCCCACTAGGGAAAAAACAGGCGTGATTTAAAAACAGGGCTGTTAAGTGGCTTTTTCTGGGTCACAATGAAATACACGCCAATGCCTTTCCCACTTCAAGTATATCAGGCAGAACGGGAGGGGAGAGCCCATCCACCTCCCCCTCCTCCCTGCAACTATTCCTTTGCAGCACTGGTTTTCTTTTTTTTCTTTCAAAGGCTTAAAATGTATTTTAATAAAAGGATGCTGCTTTACTACTCCATATCTCAGAAAAACTCCAAAGATTATCAGGGACAAATCAAACATGGCACAGTAATAAAAAAAATGAACAGCATAACTACCTAAGAAAGACAGGCAAGCCGAAGAGCTACTGTCTGACCTTTAGCCTACAGCAACCCTATTTCCAAGATTGTACTAGGCCTATCAAGAAAAGCTGTGACAAGCGACGTCATAGACAAAATTGGTGATCCATGGGTTTTTCTTTACCCAAGAAAATAATGAAGGCAAGTTAACACAAGATTTCTAAAAGATACACTAAAATGAAAATCTGTAAGAGAAAATGTCTTACTTAAGACAAGCACTGGTTTTCTTTAAAAAAACCATTTTGCCAGAGCCTGGCTAGCAGTGGTGCGGGCCCAGTATGCTAATGTGACTTCAGACTGGCTATTTCTGTCCACTGTTTATTTTGTATGAATCAGAGATAGTGCTTTGGATGTACATCATTTAAGCGATCATAAAGTAGTACAATTTGTGGATAGTGGGCATGTAGTTATAAGACAACAGAAAAACGTAGTACAAGATGTTCTTGGGGCACAGTTGTATTTAATCTGTAGAGGAAAAAAAATCTCGTCACACAAAAGGGACAAATTGCTAAATTTCTTGGCATTGCCAGGAAAATAATTATTTCTAGGAAAGTGTCATTTCAATATTCTGAAAAATGGTCAACAGAGCCTTGGGATATTTACCGGGTTTTGGGCCAGATTGGTAGGCACTCAGGCTTATTTCTGGCTCTGCACTCAGGGACCAATCCCTCTTGGGGGACCATAGAAGATGCAGGGGATAGAACCTGGGTCAACTGCAAACAAGTACCTACTGCCTACCTGCTGTACTATCTGGTCCCGGCTTGGAGATTTTAAGGTTAAGGATCTCAAAATACAGAAAAGTTTATCTTACCTCCAAGGACAAAAACTGTAAGATTGTTTCTTTGGGTAGATCCACCTAGGGGAAACACAGAAATGTCTGTCATGCCTAGGTAAACAGAGGCAGCGCATGTTGGCTTGTGACTATGGTGTCACCTAGGATGGGGCAGTGGGAATAGGACTGGTGTGGCCTGGCACGGTTCTGTGCTGCAGAGCAAACTCAGAACCAGCAAGTGACACTATCTCAGCACTGGGAGCTGATACTTGCAGTCTCCACACATGGCACTGTCAAAGTTCGACACTACATAGTTTAGGCTTAGTGAGGCAAAGGCTGAAGAAAACAATACCAGCTTTTGTTTTTTTCCTTTTTGGGTCACACCGGCGATGTACAAGGGTTACTCCTGGATTTGCACTTAGGAATTACTCCTGGTGGTGCTCAGGGGACCATATGGGATGCTGGGAATTGAACCCAGGTCGGCCGCATGCAAGGCAAATGCCCTTCCTGCTTTACTATTGCTTCAGCCCCCCAGTTTTCTTTTTCTTCCTCCCTCTTTCAGACTCACAGACACGGAGCACACATACCAGGAATGAGAGGCCTGCATCTCAACACTGACACCCTGACTTTGATGGAACCGACTTCGAAAGAGAGTCGAAGCAAGGTGATGTGTTAAAAGAGAGCCACTTACAGCCAAAATTTCTATTTCACTGCTTTTCTGATGTAAGTTGGCCAGAGAGGTCTGAAGTCGAGTTTGCACCTAGCAAGAAGAAAACAAGAGAATTTAGAGCATGTCAAAATAGCCATTTTGTTGTTGTTGTTGTTTCTTTATTAAAAAGCCAGAAGGAAACGTTCAGAATAAGAGAAGGAACACATGGAGGGTGCGGGATCCCGGAGGAAAAGAAAAAAGAAAAAACAGGTTCCAAAAAGAGCCGAGAGCACCGGGAAGTTCCAGATGGAGTAGGCGCCGCATCCCGCCTCCCCCAGATGGAACCCTGGTGACCAGAAGCCTCTACAAACACAGCTCGAGTATGCGGGAACGAGGACTTTTTCTCAAATCTGCCGGACTACACCTCCCAGGTAACCTCTGATCCCGGAAGTCATGCCCACAGCCCGCCCCCCAGCGCCATCTTTGAAACGTTCAGAATAAGAGAAGGAACACATGGAGGGTGCGGGATCCCGGAGGAAAAGAAAAAAGAAAAAACAGGTTCCAAAAAGAGCCGAGAGCACCGGGAAGTTCCAGATGGAGTAGGCGCCGCATCCCGCCTCCCCCAGATGGAACCCTGGTGACCAGAAGCCTCTACAAACACAGCTCGAGTATGCGGGAACGAGGACTTTTTCTCAAATCTGCCGGACTACACCTCCCAGGTAACCTCTGATCCCGGAAGTCATGCCCACAGCCCGCCCCCCAGCGCCATCTTTGAAACGTTCAGAATAAGAGAAGGAACACATGGAGGGTGCGGGATCCCGGAGGAAAAGAAAAAAGAAAAAACAGGTTCCAAAAAGAGCCGAGAGCACCGGGAAGTTCCAGATGGAGTAGGCGCCGCATCCCGCCTCCCCCAGATGGAACCCTGGTGACCAGAAGCCTCTACAAACACAGCTCGAGTATGCGGGAACGAGGACTTTTTCTCAAATCTGCCGGACTACACCTCCCAGGTAACCTCTGATCCCGGAAGTCATGCCCACAGCCCGCCCCCCAGCGCCATCTTTGAAACGTTCAGAATAAGAGAAGGAACACATGGAGGGTGCGGGATCCCGGAGGAAAAGAAAAAAGAAAAAACAGGTTCCAAAAAGAGCCGAGAGCACCGGGAAGTTCCAGATGGAGTAGGCGCCGCATCCCGCCTCCCCCAGATGGAACCCTGGTGACCAGAAGCCTCTACAAACACAGCTCGAGTATGCGGGAACGAGGACTTTTTCTCAAATCTGCCGGACTACACCTCCCAGGTAACCTCTGATCCCGGAAGTCATGCCCACAGCCCGCCCCCCAGCGCCATCTTTGAAACGTTCAGAATAAGAGAAGGAACACATGGAGGGTGCGGGATCCCGGAGGAAAAGAAAAAAGAAAAAACAGGTTCCAAAAAGAGCCGAGAGCACCGGGAAGTTCCAGATGGAGTAGGCGCCGCATCCCGCCTCCCCCAGATGGAACCCTGGTGACCAGAAGCCTCTACAAACACAGCTCGAGTATGCGGGAACGAGGACTTTTTCTCAAATCTGCCGGACTACACCTCCCAGGTAACCTCTGATCCCGGAAGTCATGCCCACAGCCCGCCCCCCAGCGCCATCTTTGAAACGTTCAGAATAAGAGAAGGAACACATGGAGGGTGCGGGATCCCGGAGGAAAAGAAAAAAGAAAAAACAGGTTCCAAAAAGAGCCGAGAGCACCGGGAAGTTCCAGATGGAGTAGGCGCCGCATCCCGCCTCCCCCAGATGGAACCCTGGTGACCAGAAGCCTCTACAAACACAGCTCGAGTATGCGGGAACGAGGACTTTTTCTCAAATCTGCCGGACTACACCTCCCAGGTAACCTCTGATCCCGGAAGTCATGCCCACAGCCCGCCCCCCAGCGCCATCTTTGAAACGTTCAGAATAAGAGAAGGAACACATGGAGGGTGCGGGATCCCGGAGGAAAAGAAAAAAGAAAAAACAGGTTCCAAAAAGAGCCGAGAGCACCGGGAAGTTCCAGATGGAGTAGGCGCCGCATCCCGCCTCCCCCAGATGGAACCCTGGTGACCAGAAGCCTCTACAAACACAGCTCGAGTATGCGGGAACGAGGACTTTTTCTCAAATCTGCCGGACTACACCTCCCAGGTAACCTCTGATCCCGGAAGTCATGCCCACAGCCCGCCCCCCAGCGCCATCTTTGAAACGTTCAGAATAAGAGAAGGAACACATGGAGGGTGCGGGATCCCGGAGGAAAAGAAAAAAGAAAAAACAGGTTCCAAAAAGAGCCGAGAGCACCGGGAAGTTCCAGATGGAGTAGGCGCCGCATCCCGCCTCCCCCAGATGGAACCCTGGTGACCAGAAGCCTCTACAAACACAGCTCGAGTATGCGGGAACGAGGACTTTTTCTCAAATCTGCCGGACTACACCTCCCAGGTAACCTCTGATCCCGGAAGTCATGCCCACAGCCCGCCCCCCAGCGCCATCTTTGAAACGTTCAGAATAAGAGAAGGAACACATGGAGGGTGCGGGATCCCGGAGGAAAAGAAAAAAGAAAAAACAGGTTCCAAAAAGAGCCGAGAGCACCGGGAAGTTCCAGATGGAGTAGGCGCCGCATCCCGCCTCCCCCAGATGGAACCCTGGTGACCAGAAGCCTCTACAAACACAGCTCGAGTATGCGGGAACGAGGACTTTTTCTCAAATCTGCCGGACTACACCTCCCAGGTAACCTCTGATCCCGGAAGTCATGCCCACAGCCCGCCCCCCAGCGCCATCTTTGAAACGTTCAGAATAAGAGAAGGAACACATGGAGGGTGCGGGATCCCGGAGGAAAAGAAAAAAGAAAAAACAGGTTCCAAAAAGAGCCGAGAGCACCGGGAAGTTCCAGATGGAGTAGGCGCCGCATCCCGCCTCCCCCAGATGGAACCCTGGTGACCAGAAGCCTCTACAAACACAGCTCGAGTATGCGGGAACGAGGACTTTTTCTCAAATCTGCCGGACTACACCTCCCAGGTAACCTCTGATCCCGGAAGTCATGCCCACAGCCCGCCCCCCAGCGCCATCTTTGAAACGTTCAGAATAAGAGAAGGAACACATGGAGGGTGCGGGATCCCGGAGGAAAAGAAAAAAGAAAAAACAGGTTCCAAAAAGAGCCGAGAGCACCGGGAAGTTCCAGATGGAGTAGGCGCCGCATCCCGCCTCCCCCAGATGGAACCCTGGTGACCAGAAGCCTCTACAAACACAGCTCGAGTATGCGGGAACGAGGACTTTTTCTCAAAACCGCGCGGTCGCTTACGCGGCCGCGCGATATCTCTCTATATACAAAGTGATCAATGAGAAGTAAACCACCCAATCTTTCTCCCTGAAAATCAGAGTTAAGTTTGGAGCATGGCCACAGCCCCAGAAACACAAGGACTTAATGCAGAAACCAGCAGCTTAGAGCAGAAAAGTGAACGGACGATGCGTTAACCCAGGCCATCATTTCTGCCCAGAGGGGAAAGGGTGTTGCTCCCTTCCGCCCTCCTCCCTCTGGAAAGAAAGATGGCGGCCACATGGGAGCCTTGTGGACAGCAGGTATGAGCCGGGGGTGTGGGGGCGACTAAAACCTCATGGGAAGGGGGGCGTTCTGGTCCGTCCTTCACGCCCTACCGAGGTCACCAGTTGCCCCCCACGAGCGGCTCCCCAGCACGGCCACAGTCCCAGAAGCACAAGGACTTAATGCAGAACCCAACAGCTTGGAGCAGAAAAGTGAAAGGACTATGCGTTAATCCAGGCCATCAAGTCTGCCGGAGGGGAAAGGGTGTTGCCCCATTCGCCCTCTCTTCTCTGGAAAGAAGGATGGCGGCCGCATGGGAGCCCTGTGGACAGCAGGTATGAGCCGGGGGTGTGGGGGCGACTAAAACCTCATGGGAAGGGGGGCGTTCCAGTCCGTCCTTCACGCCCTACCGAGGTCACCAGTCACCCCTCACGAGCGGCTCTCCAGCACGGCCACGGCCCCAGAAGCACAAGGACTTAATGCAGAACCCAGCAGCTTGGAGCAGAAAAGTGAACGGACTATGTGTTGATCCAGCCCATCAAGTCTGCTGGAGGGGAAAGGGTGTTGCCCCATTCGCCCTCTCCTCTCTGGAAAGAAAGATGGCGGCCACATGGGAGCCTTGTGGACAGCAGGTATGAGCCGGGAGTGTGGGGGCGACTAAAACCTCATGGGAAGGGGGGCGTTCCGGTCCGTCCTTCACGCCCTACCGAGGTCACCAGTTGCCCCCCACGAACGGCTCTCCAGCACGGCCACAGCCCCAGAAGCACAAGGGCTTAATGCAGAACGCAGCAGCTTGGAGCAGAAAAGTGAAAGGACTATGCGTTAATCCAGGCAAACATTTCTGCCCATAGGGGAAAGGGTGTTGCTCCCTTCCGCCCTCCTCCCTCTGGAAAGAAAGAGGGCGGCCACATGGGGGCCTTGTGGACAGCAGATATGAGCCGGGGGTGTGGGGGCGACTAAAACCTCATGGGAAGGGGGGCGTTCTGGTCCGTCCTTCACGCCCTACCGAGGTCACCAGTTGCCCCCCACGAGCGGCTCTCCAGCACAGCCACGGCCCCAGAAGCACAAGGACTTAATGCAGAACCCAGCAGCTTGGAGCAGAAAAGTGAACGGACTATGCATTGATCCAGGCCATCAAGTCTGCCGGAGGGGAAAGGGTGTTGCCCCATTCGCCCTCTCCTCTCTGGAAAGAAAGATGGCGGCCACATGGGAGCCTTGTGGACAGCAGGTATGAGCCGGGAGTGTGGGGGCGACTAAAACCTCATGGGAAGGGGGGCGTTTCGGTCCGCCCTTCACGCCCTACCGAGGCCACCAGTTGCCCCCACGAGCGGCTCTCCAGCACGGCCACAGCCCCAGAAGCACAATGACCTAATGCAGAACCCAGCAGCTTGGAGCAGAAAAGTGAAAGGACTATGCGTTGATCCAGGCAATCATTTCTGCCCAGAGGGGAAAGGGTGTTGCTCCCTTCCGCCCTCCTCCCTCTGGAAAGAAAGATGGCGGCCACATGGGAGCCTTGTGGACAGCAGGTATGAGCCGGGGGTGTGGGGGCGACTAAAACCTCATGGGAAGGGGGGCGTTCTGGTCCGTCCTTCACGCCCTACCGAGGTCACCAGTTGCCCCCCGCGAGCGGCTCTCCAGCACGGCCACGGCCCCAGAAGCACAAGGACTTAATGCAGAACCCAGCAGCTTGGAGCAGAAAAGTGAACGGACTCTGCATTGATCCAGGCCATCAAGTCTGCCGGAGGGGAAAGGGTGTTGCCCCATTCGCCCTCTCCTCTTTGGAAAGAAAGATGGCGGCCACATGGGAGCCTTGTGGACAGCACGTATGAGCCGGGAGTGTGGGGGCGACTAAAACCTCATGGGAAGGGGGGCGTTTCGGTCCGCCCTTCACGCCCTACCGAGGCCACCGGTTGCCCCCCGCGAGCGGCTCTCCAGCACGGCCAGGACTCCAGAACACAGAAACCAATTTCTTAACTATCTGACTTTCAGTAGAAATACTTCCAGGGTCAATAGGTAAAAGAGCAGAAATCCAAACCCAACATTTAATTCTTGAACTCAGCCGTAGAAAGCAAATCACTTCACAATGCTTTTTCAGCATGTCTGATTTGGGGGGGGGGGTAAACTCTAAATAATAGTGGTGAATCTTTTATTGAAACAATGAATCTAATCAAAGCAGATAGAGTGTTAACTAGAATTCATCTGCTTCACAGGGACGGGGAGGGGTGGGGGGTGGGGTTTTATTGGGGTTCTTCATGGTAAAAAATAAGTATTGGTAAAGGGAAATGTGTTTGATATTTGCATGACTGAGACATAAACCTGAAAGCTTTGTAACCTTTCCCACAGTGATTCAATAAATAAATAAATAAATTAAAAAAAAAAAAGCCAGAAGACAGTCATAGGTGACAAACCCAAACCTTGGAGGGACCCCAAGGAGCTAAGGATTTGCTCTTAATAGACTTCAGAGAGATCAAGGTCTAACATTTTAATCACAGGAGCAGTGAGACTTTATAGCTTAACTCAATTATTCCTATTCCTTGTTCTGATATTCCACCTAATGAAAGCCCAGGGAAATGGTGCATTGCAACCAGGAGATTTTGAAGCCTGAATTTAGATAAAGACAAGGTGTCAGCAATAAGTGTGGAACTGAGGTATGGCAGGTGATAGAGCAGGAGAGCGAGGTGAAAAATGTGTTTCTACCCAACATCCCGAGAAATAGGAACGTTTCTGATGGTAAGGGGCCTCTCCTTTTGCGTTTCTGCCGAATAACAATCCAAAAGAAATATATCACTCTCTAACACTCAGCCGCTTCCCTCTATGCAGTGTCCTGACGGTGCTTGTTAGCATTCATCATACTGCTTCCTGCTCTCCCACCACTGGGAATTCCCTTATCTCACTGCCTATTTGATCAAATTCTTCAGGAAACAGCTCCCTTGGTGAAGGCTTTTTTTTCTTTTTTCAATCGAATCACCATGAGATACAGATACAAAGCCACCCATCCCTCTACCAGTGTACATTTCCCACCACCAATATCCCCTGTGACCCTCCTGCCACCCCCCCCCCCCCGCCTTAATAGCAGGTACTTTCTGTTTCTGTCTCTCCTCTCTGTCTTTCTCTGTCTCTCTCTCCTCTCCCTCTCCCTCTGTCTCACCCCTCTCCTCCCTCCCACCCCACCCCACACATGGTTGGCAATACAGAATAAAGATACTGTGAGGTTATTGCCATCATGTTTGGTCCTTTACCCACTTTCAGCACACATTACCCATCCAGAGGTAATTTCCCATTACCCTTCCAGCCATCATTGTCATAACGGTCTCTTAGGAAGCCTATCTTGATCATCTGTGCAAGCATGAATCTTTCTCTCTTATGGGGACAGCACACCCAGACTTAGGGAAGTGGAAAGGAAGATGTTTCCAGGAAACTCTGTGTCTTACTACTCTTTCCTGCTTCCTTCCTTCCTTCCTTCCCAGCCTACCGTGGAAGCCGGGAGAATGGAGCAGTACCTGCATCTCATACCGCCTCCGAGTGCTGGCCGACAGCTTCTCCGGGGCTATAACACTCACGATGGGAACAACTGTGGCTCCATGGATTTCAAACAAGCCTGAAACAAAGAAATTCCAAGTTCATGGTCTTAGCTACTTCTTAGCTTTCTTATAACACTCCAGGGGAGTGCTGGTGATTAGAGTCCACTCTGATGTGATTCCCAGGGCTAGATTATGTTATCTTTTATTTTTTGTATTTACGGCCACTCATGGCCATGCCCAGTACCTGGCTCACAGGGTTGCTCCTGCCAATCCTCCAGAGACTGGCAGATGCGGGTCACCCAGGCCTCCCACATGCAAAGCACGCATGCAGCTCCTTGAACTTTCTCTCCGGCCCCCGTGCCTTGTTTTCTTTATCTGAAACTACCTAAGAGGAGCTCAGAACCCCAACATCCTGCGGATTTGCTGCTCTATCGAGACCACCGGCCTTGTCTGGAAGGTGTGGAGATGGGGGTGACAGTGATAGGAGTCACCAAGATCTCATGCACCCCAGAGCACCTCGATTCCTCTTTTGAATCTTTCCTTAAATTCCTAAATGAAATCTGCTAGTGGCAGAAAGGGAAGGCTAATGGAAACAAACAGATAAACAAAGGCCACGTTCTTTTAAACATCGATCATGTCTTCTTGTCGCCTGAATTCAGTCAGGCTGCTGGATGTGAGCAAAGAAAAGCCTTAATTAGAGAGCCTCCACTCTTTTCTCTTGGCTTTCAGGAAAACAAAATGCATGCATGTTGTCGACATACTGGACTTCACGTGCAGGAGGCCTGTGTTCGATTGCCAGCAGGGCACCTCCCAGCAGCCCCAGTAGTGACCCCTGACAGCTCCTGGTGCAGCTGCCAAGCACTCCTGGGTGTGGCCCCCAATCCACAACCAAATAAATCTAAAATAAAATCTACATCATGGAGTCAGAGAGACAGTATAGGGGGTGAGGCATTTGCTTTGCCTGTGGCCAGCTCCAATTCACACCCTCAGCACCACATATGGTTCCAGGAATTACCCAGAGCACTGAGCCAGGAGTAAGCCCTGACTGTCTGTCTGTCTATCTATCTATCTATCTATCTATCTATCTATCTATCTATCTATAATGAATTGAGTTGAAGGAAGATCAAAGCATTTGTGAAAATAAGATCAAGATGTCCCAGGATCAAAAGAGCCACCAAATCCTAGTTATTTTTATCAATTTTTGAGGAGTTTCGCAGCACAGGGTGCAATGAATTGTGTATATGTTACTTTAGATATATATAAATATATATTTTTGGGCCAGAGAGTAACTCAAAAGGGCTGGAGAGCATGCTTTGCTTATAGGAAACCTGGGTTAGGTCCCTGACATCACATGGTCCTGAGTACCACTGAGTATGTCCCTAAAAAATAACTACACACAAACACACACACACACATACAAATTTCAGGCTCTGTTAAGCTATCTCAAAGGCCAAAGTGCATGCTTTGCATGTGGAGACTCCAAAAATTAACCCAGGTATCAACAGACCCCAGTATCAACAGGTGTAGCTCTGGTGCTCCCTACGCCCTTCCCCAAGTATCACAGGCCCGAGAACCAGGCCTTCAGGTCTGCCCAGAATTCCTGGGAGTGGTCCGTGGGCCCCAGCTCATTTCTGGGGAGATCCCCACCACCCAAATTATATATATATATATATATATATATATATATACACACACACACACAGGTATGTACATATACATATACTATACATACAGGTACGTGTGCACCTCTGATATAACAGTTGGTCATAGCTCTGAGTACTTAGAGCAAACAGCACATGTAAATAACCCTCCAACATTATGTTCAGATTGTAATTAGTACCTGAAGCATTAGAAAATGACCCCTTCAGATTTTGTACTGCAAGATTATCGGAAGCTTCTCTAAAAACAAGCAAATAAAAACAATTAAAAAAACCCAATAATGCAAAAGCAACACAACTGCTAGTGAATTATTTTTTAAATTAAATATAAGGTTATTTAATAAACATTGCCTAGTAGGGTAGGTAAGACAACAAAAATTTGCACTTAATTTTGCTTCTGGTCCAGAGCAAGCAAAAAAAGACAAGGAATGTCATCTCAAGTTAACAAATGTCTGAAGAGAATGTTATGATTTATTCAGGTAGGTCTGAAATTCTGGCTCAACAGAGGAAGCTAATTTCAATGAGACATAACGGGTGTTCCTTCCGCTCCCCTCACAATACAAGGAAATGTCAACAAGAGCCTGTCCCACCTTTGTGATGGTCACAACCTTGGCTCACCCTAGGGAGAATATTTGGTAAATATGGAGATCCTTTCAAAAGCTGTGAATCTTCTTTCAAAGAGGGGTTTGAATCCTTTCTCATTCCTTTTTTCTACCCTCCAACCCCCATCCCCTACCTTCCTTCCTTTTCTTGACTGTGCTGAGGAGTTACTCCTGATTCTGTACTCAGAGATCACTCCTGGCAGGGCTCAGGGGACCATATGGGGTGCAGAGGATTGAACCCATGTCAGGCAAGTGTCTTTCCCTGTCTAGATATCAGTACCTATCATGAATATATGAGATCTTCCTCCAGAATACACCTTGCAAAAATACTGACAAAATACCACCAAAAATCCACTGAGTAGCAGATCCAGTAAGATAATGGTGACAGATAATGGTGACAGATGATTCTTCTGGCTTTTCAAAGTGATGAAACATTCTGTGACATGAAGAACCGATGTTAAAAATAGTAAGCTGCCTAGTCTTATACAGAGGGTGATATAAGCTGCCGAATTATCCAGAAGCAACAGAAGGGTTAATTAAAAGTTATCCACGACCAGAGTATGGTGGGGCTTAACTTGCATGTGGCCAAACCGGGTTCATCCCTGACACCTCACATGGTTCTTCAAGCCCACCAGAAGTATACCAGGGGTAAGTCCTGAGCACTGTTGGGCATGACCCAAAAACAAAAAAAAGAAAGTTATTCAGATCTATCTTTATTTTCCAAAAGAATATCCCCCTTCCTTTGGCGGGGGGCGGGGAGGAGGAATCTTATGCCTTCTAAGCACTGCTTTGGGGGCCCTGGGACCAATCCTGTAGATACTTGGCCAGCAGGGCTGGGCCACTCAATGCTTGGGGCTGGGGCTGTGATGTTGCTCCAGCCCAGTTGTTCTGAGAGCCGCTATGACTACACCTACTGGTACAGAAAATCAAACTCAGGGACTCAGCATGCAAAGCATGCATTTGGAATTATGTCCAGATGCCTCAAACTGATGTTTTATTTTTGTTTGGGGGCCACGCCTGATGATGCTCAGGGGTTCCTACTAGCTCTGCACACAGGAATCACTCCTGGTGGTGCTTGGGCAACCATATGGGATTTCAGGATCGAACCGAGGTCAGCTGCATTCAAGGCAAATGCCCTACCCACTTGTACTACTGCTCCAGTCCCTCAAACTTTTCAGTAAGTGCACAACTTGTGGGAAGCTTTGGCAAGTTTCCTGACAGTTTGGGGCTTTTGTTACCTGGCACCAGTCCTTTCATCACTGACTTTGTTCCTCAGTTTCTGCATAACATGCTCCACCAGATCAGATTCCAGCACACGTTTTTCTGTTTGCCTTTCCTTCTCAAAAGATTTAACCTTAACGAGAATTACAGAGTCATTAGTTTTAAGAACACCAGGGTGCCATCAACAGGCTGAATCAGTGCCTTGGTCACCCAACTAAACACTTTAGGCTAATGTTCTTTTTTTTTAACCTTTGGGCCATACCTTGCAGTGCTCAGGGGACCATGAAGTACTAGCAATTGAATGTGGGGCTCCTGCATGCCAAGTATATATTCCTGCCCTTCATGCTATCTTCTCGACTCTCAAGCAGGGGTACTTTTGCTCTCCAAAGGGTATGTTGCAATGTCTGGCAACATTTTTGGTTATGGCAACTGAAAGGGGAGCTACTGGCATGTCACAGGATGAATAAAGTGGTATCTGACCCTTTAAAGATGAAAATGATTCGACTGACCCACTGTGTCACTGAGACAGAGGCAAGAGTCAAAACAGTTGGAAAAACCAAACCAATGAACTGACAGGAACAAGACCACATCCACCAGTGATGAACGTGACGTCCTGTAACTGAAGACCTCACTACAGAAGGTCAGCCTGGCAAGGTGGGGACTGTGGGCATTATTCACTGAAGAGCTGCAAAATGCTATGAAGAAAAAAAAAAAGAACTAAAAGAAACTAAATCCACATACACAGTTGGAGATTTTAGCACTCTGCTCTGTGAATAATAGAATAAGTAGGAAAAAAATGATTTTTAAAGAAAGGTAGAGAAGACTTCGGTAAGGCGATCAATATGAGCTAGCTGATTAGATACTCATTTATTTGAAGTATTTATTTATTAGATACTCATCTATTTGGGGTGTCTAATAAATATATTCTTAGCCCTTGTGACTTAGGTGTGGAGGTGCTTAAGGGGTTACCCCTAGTTCTGAGCTCAGGAGTGGTTTTAGCAGTATTTGGGGTCCACACAGTGCTGCGGCTTAAGCTCAGGCCTCTGGCATACAAAGTCTGTGCTTGGTCCTTGAGCTCATTCCCCAGCCCCTACTCTTCTTGATTTATTTATTTATTTATTTATTTATTGCTTTTTGGGTCACACCTGGCAATGCACTCCTGGCAGTGCTTGGGGGACCATATGGGATGCTGGGAACCAGGGTCAGCCATGTGCAAGGCAAACACTCCAGTCCCTCTTATTTTTTTACTTTAATTTTAATTTTTAAAATTTTATTTAAATATTATTGAATCTGGAAACAACCCAAGTGCCCAAGTGCCCTAGCCCCTCTTCTTTTAAACAAAGAGGTAACAATGATTTGTAACTCGCATGCTATTAAGAACAACAACAACAACAACAACTGTACTTTCTCAGTGAAATTTGGCCTACAGGCTGTTCATTGTCAATTCCTGATTTAAAATTCCATCTTAAAAAAAACTTGAAACAACCCAAAATACCCCCTGAAGTCAGAATTAGTATAATGAAGAAAACAATAAAGAATGTAAATCAATAAAATAGAAAATGAGAAAAAAAGAAAGAGAAAAATCAGTAGCATCAATAACTAATTTTTTTAAAAGACAAAATTTATAAATCTCTAAGCAGTATTAGGGATGACAGGGAGCATTATAACAGATTCACAGAGTGTAAAAGGCAATGCTTGAAAACTGAGATGAAATGAAAACATTCTGGGAAAGAATAACACCGTCTACCAAAACTCATCTAGGAAGAAAGCAGCTGCATGACCACTCTGCTCTTAGGCTGAGGTGGCTTTACCTGTGAGTCTGACAAAATATGTAGCTAACATAATACCAACTGCACGAAAAAATTTGCAGAAAACAGAAGCAAGGACACTCTCCCATTCCATTAGATGGTGACAGCATGACCATGATGTCATAACCAGACAAAGATATTCCGAGAAAAGGGAAGAAGAAAACGCTATGTCTCCCCCTTTAAATGTACAAATCAAAGTGGTGAGGATGCATGTTTGTGAGCATTTTTAATGGAAACTGGTTAAGAAGCTGCCAGAGGACACGCCTGTCAGCAGATGTCAGCCGAGTTTGTTGGAAGGATAGAGGAGCAAGGGATGAAAAAGGATGCTTTCTTCTATGTTATTCAGATATCTGCTTGTTTCAGGAGAGCAAAGGTGTGGATTCCCACCCACCTCCGATGGGGCAATCGAATGGTCTTGGAACACGCTTCTGGGGTCTTTACCTTGACGTGGTTTCCTTCTTTGTCGGAGACGAGGGCCACGTAGGTGATTTCGTGATGCCGGCAGTACTCCTGCAATTCCTCCTGGGACTGAAACACACACACACACTGCTAGGAGACAGAGTCTGGGGAGCAACTCCAGGGGGAAACGCTGCACGCAGCAGCATTTCAGAATGAAATTCTACTTTTTTTTTCTTTTTGGGTCACACCTGCCAATATGCAGGGATTACTCCTGGCTCTGCATTCAGGAATCACTCCTGGCGGTGCTCAGGGGACCATACAGGATGTTGCGAATCGAACCTGGGTCTGCCACATACAAGGCAAACGCACTACCCACTGTGCTATCACTCCAGCTCCAGAATGAAATTCTAAACACGCTGACTTCAGGGGCTGTAAATATTAAGCAGAGAATTCAAAGGAGGAGAAAGTCCTCTCTGGCTTTCCTTACTCTCACTATTGTTGGCGGCCATGGACAAGACAACACGTGGGCAGGACAACATGGCTTTTGAGAGCTTCACCCTTGAGGGAAGGTGCCCCAAATCATACAACATGCAAGCATACACATACATGTACACATGGATATGCATGCAGTGAAAAGGTCTTTAAGGGAAAACAAAGATGCATGAGAGGCAGGAAGTGCATGCAGGATGGACCCCAATCACTGGGTTTCTCTTGGGGCCAGAGAGTAGTACAGTAGGTAGGGCACTTGTCTTGCCTATGGCCCACCTAGGTTTGAATCTTGGCATCCCGTAGGGTCCCCTGTGCCCACAACAGGAGTGATTCTGGAGCACAGCCTAGTGTGGCCCCCAAACAAACACTCAGAGGAGGAGTCTGCTCTGTCTGAGCCATTTGCTCTGATGGCTCAGAATAATTCTGAGATGCAGGAACACCAATGTGGACAGCAGTGAGCGGGTGGGCGGGGGGTTCTGTCTCCCTGCTGCACCTCTTCATGCTCTGGGTGCCCGAGAGGATCCCTGTGAGCTGCCTGTGCAGCTGATGAAAATTTGATCTTAAAGACAGGGACTCGAGGTACTGCTTTCCTCACCGCTCTACCTAGAGCAGTGTCAGGATTGTTGGGGGCAGAGGGAGGAGCAGGCCACACACACTCACAGAACGCCTTGGGCCTGTGTGCCAGGATGGCCTACACTTCCTCCCTACCACGAGGGAGTGTGAGGCCTGCCACAGGAAAATGACTCTGCAGACACGACCAATACGGGGCACCAGGGGGTGGATACAGAAGCTGTAGCCTGTGACACACTATGGACTTGGCTGCAAGCAAAGATGAAATCCTGCAGTTTGCTGCGACACGGATGGGACTTGAGGATGCTATGCAGAGTGAAGGGGGTGTGAGGAGGATCACATAGAAGGAGCTTGCTCAGTCTGTGGAGTATAAAGAAATGTTGGGAGGGTATGAAAAAATAATGGCCAGTGGCAACAGTGTCAGCCTATGGAATGGAGTTTGCTGAGGGGTGGCGGTGAGCCGGACCTGGAGACAGTGGTGGGCATTTAATGCCTAAATGATTCCTGACAGTTAGGAGGCAGCTGTGGTGTAGCAATACTGCATGCCTGAAATAACACCCCCAAAGAGTGTTGGAAATCATGGTGTCATAATGAAAACTGAAGCCAATCTCACAAATAACAACAAAGTCAAGGATGTGGAGATGGAAGGTCTTTCTGGACTACCCAGGTGGGCCCACTGCACAAAATCCTGGTAAGAGGGAGATGGGAGGTGTGAGGGAGGAAGAAGATGCCCTGCTCCTGAGTTTGGAGATGGAGGAAGGGACCAGTGAGCCAGGGAGAAGGAGCTAGAAAGAAAAGGAAATGGATTCTCCTCCAGAGACTCCACAAGGAACCATCCTGTCAACATTTGGATTTTGGCATAGTGAAGCTTGATTTTGAGCTTCTTTTTTCTTTTCTTTTCTTTTTTTTGGAGGGGGTTAACTTGGGGGTCTTGTGTTTGGACCATAGCTTGTGGTATTCAAGAGCTACCCCCAGCACTGTGGGGGTCTGTCCTGGCAATGCTCAGGGAACCATGCCATGTCGGGGAAGAATTTTGGATTTCTGAATGGAAAGCAAGCACTTGTGACCGTTGGGCTATGCCCCTGGCCCTGACTCTGAAGCTCTAAACTCCAGAAATACAAGATACTACCACATCTCACTGCATGATTGTTGCCTGTCCATAATCATTACACCTGTTTTGATACTGACATAAAAAAAATTCACATAATGGCCACACCTCAACTTTTTTTTGCAAAAAGACAAAAACAAAACAAATATCTAACTGGCACACAATCCACAATGATTCCGCAGTGAAATGCCATAGGCGTGTGCAGTTTTAAGTTTGTGGTTTGTGGTAATTTGCTAGGAGAGAAGTCAGAAGTGAATAAACATAGTTTCGACAGGAGTGGAGAGCACGGGGACCTGAGTCTCGGAGCACTTTTCTGCTGATGCACCTGCCACTCAGGTGCTTGGCGTCTCCTTACCTGTGAACAGTCGTACATGATTTCTGCTGTGATTCCCGCTGTCCAGAGTTTCTGCGTTAAGTTGATGGCCCTGGACATGGACATCTGGCCAACACTGACAACCAGGAGGTCACAGGAGCTTATTGTAACCTGGATAGGACACAGAGAGGCTGCTTTTAGAGAGGAAAGACGGGGGCCAGCCCCCGCGGGGAAGCAAAGGTCTCCACTTGGAAATAAGACAGTGGAAAAAATGGCCTCTTCTGTTAATTTTTTAGTTTGAGGGTACACTCAATGGTACCGGGGGGCCACTCCTGGCAGTACTCAGGGGACCAGGCGTTCTAGGGATCACAGCCAGGGCTCCTGCATGTAAAGTATGTGCCCTCTGAGTATCTCCTCGGCCCGTCTTTTTTTGGGGAGTGGGTTGGGCGAACCCAGCAGTGTGCAGGGACATTCCTGCTCTGGGTTTAGGAATGACGCCCATAGTGCTCAGGAGCCCTTAGGCAATACTGGGGGATCAAACAGAGGGTGACAGGATGCAAGGCAAGTGCCTTCGCCCCTGTACTATCTCTCCAGCCCCCTGTAGTCATCTCATAACAGAAATTATGGCAACTGCCCAAGACCATAAGAATGACATTCTTCTAGGAAAACTAATCTGGTTGAGGGAAACACAAGGGACAAAGCACTATTTTTAGCTCTGTATGAGGGAAAGGGCCTCTGATGACAACTACAGAATCTCTCATTTACATGGAGCATGACAGACAAGTAAAATGAGGCTAGGGAAGGAGGTGGATGTTCTCCCAGGGACAAAACAGAGTCTCGGTAGAAATTCTATGACTGACATCAAGACCTTGTCTGTCATGGCAAAGAAAATTTCCCCAACTACTAGTCTCGGCTGCTACGACTCCGTGGACCAAATGAAAGACACACGCCCTGGAGAGCTGCTGGCACTCACAGGTTCTTCCATGCTGAGGACAGCAGCCAAGATCTTCTCGATAGCGATGCTGACGCCAATGGCAACAGGAACTGGCCCCAGCGCCTGGGGTCCTCGAAACTGGGGGATCTGTGGGCACACACACAGCTTTGGTTAGGAAACACAGAAGTTACAGAGATTACGGGTGTCAACAAGGAGTGGGCACACACTGCCTGCCACTTAGCCAAGGGCTCAGTGAGGAGACATGTGGACATGTGTGAGAAGTGAGCAGGCACATGCAGGGAAGGGAGCTCGGCAGCCATGAGCCATGTGTGGCGGGAATGTTTGAATGAATGTCACTATGATTCAATACATTGAATCCGAGCTGACTGCAAAGACTCAGAATACAACAGTGAAGATAATACAGCTCATTGATAATAACAACTTTTTTTTTTTTGCTTTTTGGGTCACACCCCAAGATGCTCAGGGGTTACTCCTGGCTCTGCACTCAGGAATTACTCTTGGCTGTGCTTGGGGAACCATATGGCCATATAGGATGCCGGGGATTTAACCTGGGTTGGCTGCATGCAGGGCAAACGTCCTACCCTTTGTACTATCACTCCAGCCCTGATAATAACAATTTGAATGACATGTTGACATAGTATCATGGGTATACTGAATTAGATGAGAAACAATATCAAAGTTTATTTCATTTGTCTCTTATTTGTCAATATTACGTGATACAATTACATATGGGTGTTTTGGTTCTGTACCAAGACTACACAATTCTCCCTATTTCTCATACTAAGGCCAGCAAACAATCTCGGCCACTGTATATAAGCCAAGATAGAAGTGAAGAGAAGCAGAAAGGCAGGGGGACCAGTGGGTAGGGACCATGCCATACTAAGGGGCAAGCTCCCTGGGGCATGGACATGTTCCACCTGGAATGGTGGTTGGGAAAATCTGCCCAGAAATGCCAAGAACCAATAAAACAGTCCCAAGGAAAGCCTGCTCTCTGGCAGAAGACCAAGAAAGGGGCAACCATGCAGAGCAGAAGACTGTTTAGTGTCCAGTGCTGGACAGAGGTTGAGTGCGGTGACACAGTCACCCAATGTATACAGGTCTCCAGCAAGTGGTATCCCAGAAGATTAAGCGGGGAGCCAGGAGATGCCTGGCCATGTCATCCCACTCCAGCCCGCCAGGTAAGCAGGGTCTGGGTCCCAGACTTGCACACTTACACAGGCAGTAACCCCTCACCTTCCCTGTGGTGGGTGCCAGTAAGGCTTGAAGGGGAGCTTGACTCTCCATCTATTTTTACCCCTTCCTGCAGCATCATGGTGGGGGGAGGAAGGGACCAGGAACCTGTCCCATCCTGGGGCTCTGAAGGCTGATGAGAAACTTTCCAAAACGGAAGCGGCAAGGTGGCAACGCCCTCACTCCCAATGGGCACTACCAGAAAACCAAGAAAAGCCCCAGGGTCACTTGAGAATGTCCACTCCCTAACAGAGAGCCCAGTCTCACCCTGAGATCTGAAGAGAGGGCCAGGTGAAGGAGAAAGGACACTCAAGAGATACCAGCACCAAGCCAACTGCCAAGGATCTTACAGCAACCAGGCAAAAAGGGAAAAAAAAGCTTCATCAACGAGCAGCACAGAGATGACAATGCAAAGAATCTGCGAAGCCCCAGAGGAAGCTCTTGAGAGAAATTGCTCAGTCTAAAAGGAAGAGAAGACAGACTAGAGCTCCACTCATGCTGTTCAGGGAGGCGTTGCCCACAGAAAGATAGGAAAGTCCTGCTTCCCCATTTGGCTTTCTCTGATGCAGCTTGCTCTGGCTTGCTGGTGAACCCACATTGTAAAAACCCACCTCCAGATTCAAGAAGCTTGTTCAGGAGCAGGGTGGATTCAAGAGAAAGTCCTACCAAGACACATCGATTAGAGGACAAGGAAAATATCTTTAAAGCACTAGGTGAGAATCCCATTCCTACAGGGGACAAGTCACCTGAGGAATAGTGGATCCGCACCAGAAATGAGGAATCTGGGGTCACCACAACACACCTTCTCTTCATGTTTCTGGGTGCGGGGCAGCTGGCAAATCTAACACTGTGTGATGTGAGTCTGAGTGCACAGAGAAGAATTATTTAAGAACCTCTGTACTATAATATTAGTAATCACTGTAATATCACTGTCCTCCCGTTGTTCATCGATTTGCTCGAGCGGGCCCAGTAACATCTCCATTGGAGACTTTGTTGTTACTGTGTTTGGCATATCGAATACATCACGGGGAGCTTGCCAGGCTCTGCCGTGCAGGTGAGATACTCGGTAGCTTGCCGAACTCTCCGAGAGCTGGAGCGATAGCACAGCGGGTAGGGTGTTTGCCTTGCACGCAGCCAACATGGCCAACATAGGTTCGATTCCCAGCATCCCATATGGTCCCCCGAGCACCGCCAGGAGTGATTCCTGAGTGCATGAACCAGGAATAATCCCTAAGCATCGCCGGGTGTGACCCCCCCAAAAAAAAAACTTCTTAGTAGTTAATATTAGTATTATAAATAAATGGAAATATTATATTTCCATTTATTTATAAATAAATATAAATAAATGAAAGTATTATAAATAAATGGAAATAGGGTGGAAGAACTTAGGGAGGTAAACTTCTTTATCATTTAATTTGGTGTTTTTGCTACAAATTGATACAAATCGAGCTTTCAAATGACCCAGCAATACACTTCTGGGAATATAGCTCAAGGGTGCAAAACAGCACAGAAGAAATGACATCTGCACTTGTATGTTCATTGTAGTACTGTTCACAATAGCCAGGATCTGGAAATAACCCATGTGCCCGAGAATATTTGACCGGTTAAAGAAATTTTGGTACACCTACACAATGGAATACTATGCAGCTGTTAGGAAAGATGAAGTCACGAAATTTGCTTATAAGTGGATGATCATGGAGTGTATCATGTTAAGTGAAATGAGTCAGAAAGAGAGGGACATAGAATGACTGCACTATAAAGCATCCTAATATGAGTCTAACACCCAAGGCCAGTAGAGACAAGGGCCAGGAAGATTGCTCCATGGTTGGAAGCCTGCCTCATGAGCTGGGGGAGAAGGCAGCTGAAAAGAAGGGATCACTAAGTCAATGATGGTTGGAGAGATCGCTCAGGATGGGAGATGTATGCTGAAAGTTGATAAAGGACCAATACAGATAGCCCCTCAGTATCTGTATTGCAAACCATAATGCCCCAAAGTAGAGAGTGAGTAAGAGGGAAACTGTCTCCCATGGAGGCAGGGAGAGGGGTGGGGAGCGGGAGGGGGGAGGGATACTGGGGATATTGGTGGTGGAAAATGTATACTGGTGGAGGGATGGGTGATTGATTATTATATGAATGAAACATAAACATGAAAGCTTTGTAAGTGTAGCTCATGGTGATTCAATCAAAAAAGGTAAAGGTAAAAGGTAAAGGCCTTCCCGTTAATCGTCGATTTGCTCGAGCGGGCCCAGTAACGTCTCCATTGGAGACTTTGCTGTTACTGTGTCTGGCATATCAAATACTCTCGGTAGCTTGCCGGGCTCTCCGAGAGGGGCGGAGGAATCGAACTCGGGTCGGCCATGTTGGCCGCTTGTAAGGCGAACGCCCTACCGCTGTGCTATTGCTCCAGCCCAATCAAAAAAAGAAAAAAAAAATTGGGTGTTTTTGGGGGGTGGGAGGGTAGGTTTTGAGTGACACCTGCGGGTGCTCAGGTGTCACTACTGACAGTGCTCAGGGGACCAGGTGCTGGAGTAAATTGGGGTTGGCTGCTTGCAACAAGCACCTTAACCCTTACATGATCTTTAGCGGCTACATTCTATACCATTTGAACCAGAAAATGTCAAGACCAGTCGATCTCTGTGATGAACAAAAAGCTCTGAGTTTTGCTTGTGGCAGTTATGAAGGGAGCCTATACGTGTACTTAATGGTGTATCAATGTCCAATGCCTATTCTCATATGTAGTTATGCCAGGCTTAACCAATGGAGGAAACTGGATGAAGTGTGTATAAGATCTCTCTGTATACCTTTGCAGCTTTCTGTAACCCTTTGTTTTGTTTATTCATTGTGTTCTTTTTTGAGGGGATGCCATGCCCAGCAGTGCTCAAGGGACCATGTGGTACTGGAGATAGAACCCAGGTCTCACATGTAAAGCATGTGCTCAGCCCATGGAGTCCTCTTTGATGAAACCTTTGTGTGTGTGTGTGTGTGTGTGTGTGTGTGTGTGTGTGTGTATTGGGCCAGACCCAGCAGTGCTCAGGGGCTACTCCTTGCTCTGTGCCCTGGGGTGACTCCTGTGTGTGCTTGGGGACCTTAGGTGATTGGAAAGATGCAAGGCAAGCACCTTCACCTCTGTACTATCTCTCTGCCGAATCTGTTGATTTGAAAGAAGGGGTCAGAGGAGAGCCCTGTTGGCAGAGCACCTGTGCCTTAAGGGCCTGAGGCTGAGTTCCCCAGCACGGCCCCACACGCTGAGCACAGCCCCAGTGGTTCTGCCCTCTGGTTTCTGGGGCCGCAAGTGTGCGTGATCTCCGGCACACCACAACTGAGTGTCTAAGAGCTCTGCAGCTCTGAGGCTGTGACCCAAGTGAGTACTGCACGTGTGTGAGCACCGCGACCAAGTGTGTAATTGCTGGTCAACATAGCAACAGCCACAAAGGGAGGTGAAGAACAGAGAGATTTTTGTTCTGGTGTTGGGGCGACACCCTGGGGTGCTGAGGGGTTATTCCCACGCACCCCAGCCCTTCGTGCCATCTCCTTGGCCATCTCCCGCAGTAACCCAAAAGTGGGAATCATGACAGATGCGGGTCACATGGCATTTCTGTGTCTCGATGAAAGATACACAGGTGCCAGCTCCATCAGAGCAGTGGCTCGATGTTTCTCCAGGTACGAGAAGTGTCAGAGCCATGAGCCAAGGAAGCTCTAAGACAGGTGCAGAACAAACCCACAGACTAGGGTGCCACCAACTCACCAGCAGGTCGTATCTGCCGCCAGCTGCCAGGATCTCTGACACGGCCCTGTGCCTCCGGCGAATAAAGGCCACAAACTGGAAGATGAGGCCGCTGTGCTGCTGCACCTTGTAGACCAGGCCCAGGTTGACCAGGACCTGCGAAGGGGCAAGGCTAGTCAGACACGTCAAGTGCACAAGATTGGCAGAGAGAAACTCGCTACAGGGGCTGGAGCGATAGCACAGCGGGTAGGGCATTTGCCCTGTACGAGGCCGATCCAGGTTCTATTCCTAACATCCCATATTTTCCCCCGAGCACCGCCAGGAGTAATTTCTGAGTGCAAGGCCAGGAGTAAACCCTTTGCATTGTCAGGTGTGACCCAAAAAGCAAAAAACAAAACAAAACAAAACAAAAAAAAACAACTTGATACAAGCCCTGGCGATCACGGTAGTGAGAGAGTCATTGATTTCACAGAAGCCAGATGTGCAGTCCAATCTGGCCTGTCAACTGTCACTGCCACCTGCCAAGGAAGAGAAGCTCCAGACCAGCTGAGACCCAGGTGCTGACAGCGGGAGGGACCACTGTACACTGGAGGTCATGATGCTTGCAAGGAAATCCTGATGGGAGGCAAAAATTATCATAGAGATACTCAGTGTTCCAAAATGTGGAGAGCAGAAAAAAAAAATAGAACATGGCTGGCACCAAGGAAAGACTATCTGGGGCTGGAGTGATAGCACAGCAGGTAGGGTGTTTTCCTTGCATGCAACCGACCTGGGTTCAATTCTCAGAATCCCATATGGCCCTCTAAGCACTACAAGGAATCATTCCTGAGTGCAAAGCCAGGAGTAACCTCTGTGCATTGCCGAGTATGACCCAAAAAGCCAAAACAAAACGAAACAAAAAAACTGGAAAGACCACCCATTTCCCCTCAGACTACCGGGCATGCTGCAGAACTGGGAATGCCACCACTCCCATTGGAGATCCATTGCCAAACCTGTAATTTGATGCCAAGTTTCTTCAGCAGGCCAACAACCTCCTCCAGATCTTTCAAGCCGTACTTCACCAGCTGCGCAACGCCTGTCTTCTGTTTCGTCAGGGAATTGATAGTTGGCATTAGATCCTGCAGCTCTCCCTTCTGCTCAATGAATTTGTAGAGCCGACACAGCTGCCAAGCAAAGGGTACAGTTATCTTCCACACCTGAGAAGACTCACTTTGCACTGGGTTTTGTAACTTTTTCTGTTTGTTTTTTTTTGGGGGGGGCCACACCTGACAATGGTCAGGGGTCACTTCCTGGCTCTACGCTCAGGAATCACTCCTGGAGGTGCTCAGGATGGACCATCTGGGGATGCAGAGAAGTGAACCCAGGTTGGTTGCGTGCAAGCCAAACACCCTACCTGTTGGACTATCTCTCTGGCCCCTGCACTGGGTTTTGTATACATGGGGTGGTGGGGGAATAGGAAAGAGCTTCTGCACCTCCCAGAGGGGTGATTTAGTGCTCAGGGGTCATTTTGACTTTTCCCATAACCCTGAGGATTATCCCTTTAGTTCTTTGCTCTTCTCTGTTTGCGGGTCACACAGCAGTGCTCAGAGGCTACTCTCAGCAGTGCCCTGGAGGGCCATGCGGTGCTGGGGACAGGACAGAGGTCATTGTAAGGCAAAAAAAAAAAAAAAGTTACTCCCTAGACTATCTTTCTGGCTCCCAGCACTTTTAATTCAGAGCTTAGAAGGCACTTTGCAGATATGCCAGTGAGTTTCCTTCTTTCTTTCTTTTTTTTGATTTTTGGGTCACACCCAGCGATGCACAGGGGTTAGTCCTGGCTCATGTACTCAGGAATTACTCCTGGTGGTGCTTGGGGCACCATATGGGATGCTGGGAATCAAACCCGGGTTGGCCGTGTGCAAGGCAAACACCCTATCCACTGTGCTATCACTCCAGCCCCACCAGTGTGTTTCTTAAGTCAAACACACTTAAGAGTTCATGCTATCTGTGGTGTGAGCAAAGACTCTGTTATATATTTTCACACCAGAACCGTTTCTCTTAATCTCCTGCACTCTTGCTACTTTCCATTATGACAGACACACCAGGCAGCAGGGAAGCACAGTGCAGTGACCTGTCCCAGTAGGACACAGACTTGGCAGCAACTCCCTCTCCTTCCTGGGCTGCTCCTGCAGGCGGCCTCCTGGGTCCTTCCTTCCCTTCCATCCTCTTCCCCCTCGATCCCAGATCTTGCCAGGAGGGGGCAGTGTCAGCGAGGATCTATCTGGGGGTCGTGCCCAGTGTCCACACAGCAGAGAAAAAAGAAATAATTGTGACCATATAAAGCCACGAAAAGATACGTGCTAAAGTGCAGATTACCAAGACATAAGATCACGGCTATAGTCACGTTCCTGGCAAGCAGAACCTGGTTCACTCAGTTACATGAGTGAAAATAAAGCTTCACAGGGTTTAGCACTATAATCACAAAGCACTTGCATTGTTGGAGTGGAGTCTCACCCCAGGTGCTGGACGCCAAGCAAGGCTGCTGCTGGGGTCTGGTGGTACCATCACCGAGTCCCCCCAGTAAGCAGTGCTGGCTGAGGGAACTCCAGTTTTTCCCTGGTGTGACGTGTATGCTACCATTTTAGATCATCTCCCTAGACCTCTCTCCTTTCTTCATGGCTTTCTAATTTTTATTTTTCATTTTTTAAAAAAAATTGGGGGCCACACTCAGTGATTCTCAGAAGAACCAGGGCTGTTCACATGCAAGGCAAGCTCCTTAACCCTGTACAAGGTTTCTCATCCCATCCCCTAGTGGCTTAATTATTGATTAATCAATGAATTAATGTTGGCTTTGGAACTATAGCTGCTGATGTTCAAGGGTCACTCTGGCTCTGCACTAGAGAATCACTCCTCGTGGGGCTCGGGATGTCAGATATGGGATGTCAGACTGAACCCATGTAGGCCATGTGCAAGGCAAGAGCTCTACCCACTGTACTATCTCTCTAGTCCCTACTTAGTGTTTTTTTTAAAGGCCAATATGAGCAAAGAAGTTGAATTCAATCTATGTTTTCTTTAACTGACACTCCCTCCCATCCCTGACACCATGGCTGCCATACTGCAGGTGCATAAAACACCAAGTGACTCCACCTGGCCTGCTTCCAATCATAATTTAATAGATTCCATATGTGAATTTTTTTATGCTTCCTGCCAAATTCCATCGTTATCAGACCAAGGGCTAGAGAGGTTCTGGGAAAGCTAACAACAACAAAACCCCCCAAAAAACAAAATGAAAAAACACTCTTCGTAGATAAATATTCATAAAAACATACAAGATCCCTACTGCTGTTCAATGATTCAATTATGCGTGGGTTCTGGTGCTAACAGTCGGGAGCAATTTGATGCCTGGAGATAGAATACAATGAACCTCTTTACCCTGTAAGATTTACTCCCTATCAGGGCTTGGAGTGATAGTCGGGTGCTGCCTTGCCCAGGTTTTATCCGGGCCACCCCTTGAGAGTGCTGGGCGCCCAACTCCCCCAAGTTCACCAGAGCCAGAGTAAGTTCTGATACCTCCAAGTATAGCTCCAAAAAAAACAAAAAAAAACAATAGGATTTACTCACTGCTGGATTTACTCACTGCCTAAGGCAGCAAATGGAGGATTTTAGGGGTTGGCAATGTACCAGAAAAGTAAGAGCTTTCACTCAACTCTGAGGTGGTAGAAGGCTGGTGGGGGCAGGCTTGGGGGAGACACCCAAATGACGTTGCAGTGCTCTGTGCCTCCTCCCAGTGCAGAACAGAATCTAGTTCAGAAGAGGACAAGGAGTTCTCGCTCTGCTGGGAAGGAGCCTCTACCAGGCAGAGCCTTTGGGATTTTTTTTTTCTTTTTGGGTAACACCCAGCGATGCACAGGGGTTATTCCTGGTTCGTGCACTCCGGAATTACTCCTGGCGGTGTTCGGGAGACCATATGGGATGCTGGGAATCGAACCCAGGTTGGCAGCATATAAAGCAAAGCCCTACCCGCTGTGCTATCGCTCCAGTCCCAGGAGCAGCCTTTTGGAGGGGAGTGGAAGCAGTGTGTGTGTGTGTGTGTGTGTGTGTGTGTGTGTGTGTGTGCTCATTTAGGACCGAGCACCCGAAGGCTTTCTTGGTCCTGGCCCTGGCCCCGCCTCCTTGTGTCCCCTGACCCCTGAGGTTGCCATGCAACCAATTAACACTCCAGGGAAAAATGGTGTCTACCAGGTGACAGGCAGGGCTGCAACCAGCAAGAATGGGATGGGGTGGGGGGGGGCCTGGGGGGGCGGGGGAGGGTGCATTTTCAGGATATCAGAAAATTACAGAGCAAGCTGTTACAGCAGCCAGAGAAAATACTCACACTATTAGAAGACAAGGACAGATTACAGAATTTAGCTTCCACTTCTCTCCTCGTCAGCTTCTCTGTCTGATGGAGGAGAAAAGGTAACAATGAAGGCTCACCGCATTCGGCCCTGAATTCAGTACAATTTCTGAGCTCCTCACAGTTAAGCGCTGTCTTCTTTTTTGGACAAGATGTTCTTAAGCATCAAGGGTGGATTCGTATTGCGACAAAAACCTTCTCCCCACGCGCCTCCTGCCCCTGTGTCCCTGCCAGCTAATTCCTGTAATTACACATAAAACTCTGACTCTGGTGGTTTAAAATAGGATCAGCCCTGACCTTCCGGAGAATGAAAAGAGGGGCGCCGTGCCCCCGTGGAATGGCATGGTAGCCCCAACAAGGATGAGGCTTCCCGTTGTGGGGGTGGTGGGGGCGGGGAACGTCACTGTCCCAGGTTCCTGACACAGAAGCCTGAGGTGGAAAACTTAACAGGCCAAACTCCTGTCTCATACTGGCAGATGGGCTGTGACCGTGGTGGGGGGCAGGAGAGGGTTTGAAGGCAAGGAAGCCCGGAAGCCCCTCTGCTACCCCCTGGGTCCCCTGGGTCCCCTGGGTACAGTTTTTCCTTGTCACTGGCTCCCAGCCATGCACTTTGTGGGCAGGAAGAAACCTCTCAGAGACACACACTGAGAGCCACTAGACTACTGATTTGTCCTTATGAGATGAGGGGAGGAAACGACAGCTCAGGAGGTCAGCCCGTTGGTGTCAAGTCCAGCAGGCCTGTTCTGCCTTCGCCACCCTGCATGGTGGGTGGCGAGAGGCCTTGGGATGGAATCTCTGGGATGGCTCTGAAAAAACCACATTTCACAAAGCCAACAGTTCTGTGATCCGTGGGTGTTCTCCTGGACAAGAATCGGCATGCGCCTCCAAAGCGGACACCAACACCCCTCCCGGCCCTGCGTGTGCAGAGACACAGGCAGCGGGAAGGTGGTGGTGAGGCAGGCCCCGCAGACATCCAAGCTACTCTCCCCTCCAATTCAATCTACCTGAATCCATCAAGAACTTTCCTGAGGAGCGCAGGCAGGTGGGAAGCATTCTTCTTTTATTGTTTTTGTTTTTGAGCCACACCCTGCAGTGCTCAGGGATCACTCCTGGAGGGCTTAGGGGATCCTATGGAGTGCTGGGGATTGAACCTGGGTTGGCTGCATGCAAGGCAAAGGCCCTACCTGCAATACTAGCTCTCCAGCCCCGAGAAGCAATATTACTATTATTTTTGTGTGTATGCTGTTGTTTGTTTCTTGGTCTTTGGGCCACACCTGGTTGTGCTCAGGGATCAGTTCTGATGGTGCTGAGGGACCATATGTGGTACCAGGGGTTGAACCCAGGCCAGCTGTATTCCCTGCTGTCCCCTCTCCAGCGCCCACCCCCCCATGTCTTGTTCTTCACCCTAGCGTGTCTTTTCACGCTTCTCTAAACCAGGGGGAGTACCAGCACCTGTGGCGGACTCAGTCCATTCACGTCAAGAGCTTGGAACGATGCTGGGCTCTGGGACAGGTGGTAGATAATGTAATCGGGGCCAGGGAGATAGTTCAGGGGTGAGGGCACATGTCCTGCAAGCCCCCAACTGGAAGCTCCTGAGTATTCTGGGTGCTTGCATTGAACCCCCAGGCCAGTTACCATCAGAAGTGGTCCCAGGGCTTTGTGAGCACCCCTTGGGAGTCCCTCATCCTCCCATATTGACTTTGACTTTTGCTCTTTGGGATCATACCTAGCGGTGCTTGCAGCTACTTCAGGCTTGGCAACTGCTCTCAGAGATTCTGACCGGGGACATGTGGTTCAGGGTTTCCCTGTGCGAAGCACGGGCTCCTGTCCTCTGAGCATCTTCTGGGCTCACATGTGAGAGAATTTACTTTCCCCTTGCCATGGAGCACGGAGAGTCAGGTGGTTGGGATTACCATGGAACTTGCGTGGCCCCAGAGATTCAGCTCCCCCCTCCCCCGGGTGCTTTCTGAGCCACTGGACCATCTATTCAGGCCCTCTCTTGCCACCTCTGGAGGACCCACCTGGGGGATCAGAGAACCAATGCACAACCTTGAACTTGCCAAGTAAGTGCTTAAAACCATGGAGCTACCTATTAATGGTAGCCACTCAATGGTAGCCACTTTTTTCAAAGTAATTAATTTTTAAATTGAATAACTGTGTGATACACAGTTACAAAGCTGTTCATGATAGCATTTCAGTCATACAATGTTCCAACACTCTATCCCTCCACCAGTGTACATTTTCTGCCACCAATTCCCAGATTTCCCTCATGCCACACTTCCTCCTCTATGGCAGGCTCAGGCTCTCTCTCTCTCTCTCTCTCTCTCTCTCTCTCTCTCTCTCTCTCTCTCTCTCTCCCTATTTTAAAAAATTTCTGACAAGTATTGGAACCAATTGCTTAAGTAATTTTTTCCTTTGGCCCCATCTAGCAGTCAGTGAAGCAACTTGATGAAGCAATTCACCTTAGAGGTGAAGCAATGCAATCTTTTAAAACCTTAAGATACTTTAAATATCCTACAGGCCCCCAGCAAAAGGCGGCTTTTGAAGAGAAGCTCGGCCAGTGCTTGCTAACTACGTACATACTCAAAGCCATTCAGTTCTTTCACTTTGGAGAAATGAAGACAGGAGTCAAACTCCCAGCTGAGTTTTGTGGTTACATCAGAAGGAAAGTGCTCTCACACTACGATTATCCTTCAATATCGAGTCAGGGAAATGAAATGCTTACCACCGCATCATACAGAATCACGTAGACTTGATTGAGCTTATCTTCTGGGATCCCGCAGTGCAAGAGTATTGCTTTCAACAACATGGTGTGATTCAAGTAAATACTGTAATTTCTTTCCTAGGATACAGAAAGAAAAAAAGATTTTCATTACACACACACACACACACACACACACACACACACACCTTAAATCTAAGATCTTACCAATTTACCATTCTAATATAATATAAGGAATGACCTGTATTGCCTTTGAGCTTCTCTTTACCATTGCGTAGTCTAAGTGCAAACTGGAGTTTATTAATTTTTTGGCTATATTTTTAAAATTAAGGTAAAGGTAAAGGCCCTCCCGTTGTTCATCGATTTGCTCGAGCGGGCCCAGTAACGTCTCCATTGGAGACTTTGTTGTTACTGTGTCTGGCATATCGAATACTCTCGGTAGCTTGCCGGGTTCTCCGAGAGGGGCGGAGGAATCGAACTCGGGTCGGCCATGTTGGCTGCGTGCAAGGCAAACGCCCTACCGCTGTGCTAAATTTGGGTTTTTTTTGGAGGGAGAGGGGCGCACCTGGAAGTGCCCATTAGTTACTTCTGACACTGTACTCAAAAATCTCTCCTGGAGGTGCTCAGGGAACCAAATGGGGTGCCAGGGATCAAACCTGAGTTGGCTGCATGCAAGGCAAACGCTCTATGCTGTCCTATCACTTAGACCCTTTCATTTATATTTTTGGGCCTTAACTGATGGTGCTCAGGGCTCACTTCCAGCAATGCTCAGGGGACCATGTGGTTCTGGGGATAGAATATGGGTCTCCAACATGCGAAGCATATGGTCCAGCTTCCAGCCACCTCCCCACTCACTTATTACCCTATTAAAATAAAAAAATAGGACAGTGGGGTGGGCGTTTGCCCTGCACACAGCCGACCTGGGTTCAATCCCTGGCACCACATATGGTCCCCTAGGTACCGCCAGGAATAATTCCTGAGTGCAGAGTCAGGAGTAACCCCTGTGTATCACCGGTGTGACCCCCCTCCCCCCCAAAAGCAAAAACCAACAAAAAATAAATAAAATTAAAAAATACTTTAGCCTTCAGCTAAAATAAAAGCCTGGGTGGGTGTACACAGACCTCCAAGAGGGAGAGGAGCTGATTCAGGAATAACCAACTTATAAGCTCTGGTGGTAGGACTGTTATCTCTGATCTGGTGAATGAATAAGCTTTCTTTTCTTTTTCTCTTTTGCCTTTTGGGTCACAACCGGCGAGGCACAGGGGTTACTCCTGGTTCATGCACTCAGGAATTACTCCTGGCGGTGCTTGGAGGACCATATAGGATGCTGGGAATCGAACCCAGGCAAACGCCCTACCTGCTGTGCTGTCACTGTAGCCCCCTTATTACTATTTTTTTTTTAATTTGTGGGGCTTCGTAAGCTGTACTCAGGGGACCATGCAGTGTTCAGAACTGAACTCAGGGCCCCTATGTGCCAGGCCAGGTTCCAAACCCACTGTGCATTTGTTCTAGATCCCGAATGAATAAGCTCTCACTGAGCACTAAATTCAGTGCAGTGGAGTGTCACAGGAAAGTGGACCTGAGGGTTCGGCCCTGGGAGAGAGACACCGTGTCTCAGCTCAAGTCCTGGAGCGTTAGGAAGAAATGCTGTCAGGGTATCACAGAAGGAATGGCCCAAGACATGGCCACCAGAGGTGCCACCAGATAAGAGAACACCACGGTGACAGCCGGCACGGGGGGGGGGGGGGGGGGGGGTGGTGGTGGTGGGCGTGAACGGGCCTGGTGTACCATGGGAGGAAAAGTCGGAGAGCACAAACTGCTGGGCTGTGGGGAGTGGGGGAGTGGCCCTCACTGGCCAGGCCAGGCAGCACGCAAATAAGACGAAGAGAGAAGCTTTGGGGCTAGGAGGTAGGGTGCAGGAGGGAGCCACCTGCCTTCCCACCAGGGTAAGAAGGTGCCAGAGGCACCCTGGGAATCTTAGTCACATTCCCTGCCTTGGGGAAGAAAGGTGGGAAAGACAGTAAGACATTCCACTTTGTGCCGAGCAGACAAAATCAAAACCCTCTCCTGATAAGGCAGAGGCCTGAGCTTGAGGTAGGAACCAAAGCCCGCCAGGGTCTCAGGGAAGGTGGGGACTGCCAGCAGCCCTGACACCCCGGCCACCCTCCCCTCTCCACCCCTGCGCCTCTGCAGAAGGACGCTGGGCCAGGGCAGGAGGAGTCGGAGAGGAACCTGCAGTGCCGGAAACTCCTGGATGATTTCATAGACAGCATAGATGACCTCGGCGCTGGGCAGGGCGCTATTGGTGGAAGAGGTGACAATGTCGAAGGCACACTCCAGCAGCTCCTTGGGATGAAATCGGTCTAACTTGCGTGGCCTGAACACGCGTTCAATGCAGTATCTGGAGAGAGAAACCCATGTTCCACCTTGTTGCCTGTGAGACCCTCAAGGGCACTGAAGGACAAATGTGCCTGGAGCAATCTTGCCTTGGGATTTTTATAATGGCCAGATTTTTTATTTTAATTTTTTTTGTGGGAGGCACACTGGGCGATGCTTGGGGCTCACACCTGGTGGGGCTCCGAGGACCCTATGGGGTGCTGAGGATCAAACCTGGGTCAATTGTATGTGAGACAAGTGCCTTACCCGCTAGACTATCACTCCACCCTCTGAAGAAAGGGGTTTTAAAAATGAGGCATCTCACTGTCCACAGTGCTGGTCGGTCCAGTCTGTGGAGAGCCTCCTTATTGATGAGGCCTGTGGATGCCGAAGGCCCAGCAAACCTCCTCCCCGGTGCTGAATGCCCAGAGGGCTGCATGCTCAGCACCCTGTGCCCTCCCCTCACTCTGTCCAAGCAGCTTCTGCTCACTGGCCTGTGCAGGCAGTGTGCAGAGACCACTGGCCACCTGACCCTCCAATCCAACTTTAAAAGGAGTCATCTGTGACCCAGCTCAAACTGAGGGTTTCCACAGCAACCATCTGTGAAATAGTTCGGCTGCTGAGGGAACATTTAGACAGTAGAGAACGGGCTTTGGGGGCTTCCGTGTACTCATGCCAGGGCTTCACCCCTCGAAGAGGACCCTGGCACCAGAATCCCTGGGCGGATCTCTCAGCTGGGGCTTCTGGACCATATTTCAAGCTCCATCCTTTAAACCCATTTCCCCCTCCTCAATAAGGATCACAGGAAACATTTCTCCTTGATTACTTTCCCACATCCACAGCCAACACAAAACCTCTATTGTATCTATTATTTATTTAATTTATGTTTTTATTTATTTATTTTTTTGCTTTTTGGGTCATGCCTGGTGATGCTCAGGGGTTACCTCTGGCTCTGCACTCAGGAATTACTCCTGGCGTTGCTTGGGGACCATATGGGATTGCCGGGGATGGAACACGGGTTGATCACGTGCAAGGCAAACGCTCTACCTGTTGTATTGTCACTCCAGTCCCCTTACTATTATTATTTTTTAAAAATTTGCGGGGCTTCCCAAACTGTGCTCAGGGGACCATGCAGTGTTCAGGACTGAATTCAGGGTCCCTATGCACCATAACTCACTGTCTCCCATTCCATCCTGCTGTATCTCACCGTTTTAAATTCATTATGTTATTTCTTGCCACATATCTTGCAAAAGGAACCTGGAAAAAATAAACCCAAAACAACAAAGTTTCAAAGGTGAAGATGTGCAAATTACCACACTCTTTTATTTTTTTATTTACTGGCTCATTTATTTTTAAGTCACACTCAGCAGTACTCAGGGGCTACTCCTGGCTCTGAGCTCAGGATTCTTCATACCTGAAGGGGCCCAGGGAACCATGTGGTGCCGGGGATCAAACCCAGGCCTCTGGTGTGCAAAGCCTGTGCTCAGCCCTTTGGATGCTCCTTCTTCCATACCATATGCCTTTATAAAGTTCACCCTTCAATTTGACTTTTTTTTTTGTGGGGGGGGGGGGCATGTGGCTTATACTCAGGGCTTACTCCTGGCCCTGAGCAGGGGTCATCCCTGGTAGGACTTGGGGGAACCATATGCAGGGCTGGGGCTCAAACCCAGATTGGCCAGGTACAAGGCAAGCACCTTAATCTATTTATTATCTCTCTAACCCTAAAGTTCACACTTTTAAAGGGCCCCGTTGACTGGAGCACACGTTCTATTAACAAGAGCCCAGGGCTCAATCCTACAGTCCTGAGGACCACTGGTGGTCCCCACTCCGGCGGCACATTGTGAGTGGCTCCCTCAAATTTAATAAAGAGCACAACCCTGCAGGCTGCAGTGGATTTGCGATTGTCTCTTTTACTCCTCAACACTTTTCCCAAGCACTACCGTCAGTGGAGACGCCCTGAGGAGGAAGAGTCACACAACACCTCAGAGGCTGTACATCCTCTCTGTCTGTCTGTCTCTCTTCTCTCAACTCTCTTTCTGTTTCTCTGACTCTGACTGAGTCTCTGTCTTTCTCTCCCCCTCCATTCCTGGCAGTGCTCACGGGGACATAGGCAGTGTTGGACACAGAACCAGGGTCTGTGGGCAACAGCATTTATAAATTTTTTAATTTTATTTATTACTAGTTTTTTTTGGGGGGTCACACCTGGCAATGCACAGGGGTTGCGCCTGGCTCTGTACTCAGGAACCACTCCTGGTGGTCTTGGGGGACCATATGGGAAGCTGGGAATCAAACCTGGGTCGGCCGTGTGCAAGGCAAATGCCCTACCCCCTGTGCTATCGCTCCAGCCCTAAAATTTTAGTTAATGCTTCCAGTACAAAGTTTGCTATTTACATCTGCACTGGCCACACATGAACATACCAATTTTCCTGCCTCCCCCCATCTCTGGAAGTAAATTGGATAATTTTTTTCCAATCTGATGGTTGGAGTTGCAAAAGCACTGCTTTGCAATAGAAGGTCCCCATTTCTGAGACTGAATGTCTTTTCAGAAGACTTTCAGCCCTGTGCCTTTTCGGGGAACCACCTTGTCAGATTCTGTGCTCATTTTTCGACTTGATAAGAGTCTTCTATTCATCAGGGTGCTGAGCCCCTGTCTGTCTTCCGCACTTAAGAGTGCCCCAGGTGGATCTATAGACAGCCAGCATAGTCTGCCTGAGAGACAGGGTCAGGGTGCTGCTGTCAAGGGAAGCCCACAGCTCAGAAGCAAGCGCGAGCAACATCCAGCAACTATGGACGCAGACACCTGCTGCCCCAGAAACTTAATGATCCTAGGAACTGCAACGTAGCTCAGTGGCAGGGCATGTGCCTCATACGTAGGAGGCCCTGCAATCATGCCTGCACTGCAAAAAGGAGAGCGAGGAAGAAAGGAAAGAAAGAAGGAAGGAGGGAAGGAAGGAGGGAAGGAAAGAAGGAGGGAAGGAGGGAAGGAAGGAAAGAAAGAAGGAAAGAAGGAGGGAAGGAAGGAAGGAAGGAAGGAAGGAAGGAAGGAAGGAAGGAAGGAAGGAAAAAGGAAGAAGGGAAGGAGGGAAGGAAGGAAGGAGGGAAGTTAGTTTTAGTTACCAGTATGCTTGGAAGTCACTTATAATCTGACCGGAAGTAAAGGGACAGCTCCCCGTGTTTGTCTGAGTGACTCTGTTCCTCAGTGGAGCTCAATCCTTGGGGGCGGGGGGGGGGGGGCACATGCCATTCAGGGTTCTGGTTTCTAGGGTCATGAGCCCTTTGGCTACTAGCAAGGTGGGTATACATAGGCCAGAGGCTGGTGACATGCCACCAGGAGTGCTAATAAAACCCTCCAGAATGTTGCCTACGAGGAGTATTTGGCATATATGCCCAGGGGATGTGGCAGCCAGTGGGGTAATCCTCAGACCCAGATGCCACCCCTGTGCCCGCAAAGCCTCACCCGCAGGTCGAAAGGAAGCATCACCAGCATTCCGCTGTGGTCCATGAACAAGGCGGCCTCATTGTGCTCATAGATCTGCTTATTTCGGGGCAGGAGGAGTGGGGTGCACAACTGAACAGCTCCTAGACCCCAATGGAAAAACTGCCAGTTAGGTTAATCCTTTCTAGGAGGCAACTTCATAAGAACACAAACCCAAGGACTGTAACCTAGTATGAGGACCACAAAACCATCAGTTAACTCTCAGATGAAGACCTCATCCACGGCTCAGTTTGTTACATTAACTCACGCATTTTTTAATCACATTTACATTTAATCATATTCTCTTTTTTTAGAATTTTGGTACACAGTTGGAGGTACTCAGGGTTTTCTCTTGGCTTTGCATTCAGGGATCACTTCTGGCAGGACTTGGGTGACCATATGGGGCGCCTGGGATCAAACCCAGGTCAGCAATGTTTAAGGTAAATGCCCTAGTCGCTGTGCTATCGCTCTGGCCCCAATCATATTTCTTTCTTCTTTCTTTCTTTCTTTCTTTCTTTCTTTCTTTCTTTCTTTCTTTCTTTCATCGAATCACTGTGAGATACAGTTACAAAGCTTTCATGTTTGAGTTTCAGTCATACAAATGTGAACCCCCATCCCTCCACCAGTGCACATTTTCCACCACCAATATTCCCAGTAGTCCCCCTGCCACCCCCATCCCAGTTCTCCTCCTGCCTCTATGGCAGACAACTTCCCCCATAATCTCTCTCTACTTTTGGGCATGGTAGTTTGCAATATAGATACTTAGAGGCTATCACCTTTGGTCCTTTATCTACTTTTAGCACACATCTCCCATCCCGAATGATCCCTCCACCAACACTGACTTAATGATCCCTTCTCTATTCTAGCTGCCTTCTCTCCTAGCTCATGAAGCAGGCTTCCAACTATGGAGCAATATTCCTGGCCCTTGTGACTACTGTCCTTGGGTGTCAGTCTCATATTATGTTATTTTATCCCAAACACATTTCTGATTTTACAAATCAAGTGTATTTCGTTTTAACTTTGGTTTTGGGGCCACACCTGATAGTGCTCGGGAACTTAGATCTGTGCTCAGGAGTCACCCCTGGCAATGCTTGGGGGGCCAGGGATCCAAGGTTGGTCCCAAGAAAGGAAAATGCTTTCCCTCTTTACACTAGCTCTCTGGTCCATCAAGTGCACGCAGATAGTAATATGCAAACCAGCTTCTCTGCAGGTACAGTTGCAAAACTTAAGCTTAAGTTTTAGGTGAAAGGGGCTAGAGAGACAGTTACAGGGGTCGAGGTACCTGACTTCCATAGAACTGACATCTGTTTAATACTTGGCACTATTGGGTCTCCCAGCATTGCTTTATTTAGCCATGGAGGCATGGTTTAGGTGATCCAGAGCAGGTAGTCCAGATGGTCCAGAGTGGCCCAGGGTCCAAAGAGCCCTGAAACCTTGGGCCTCTGCACTGAACCCTTGGCTTTGTTAGCTGAGTATGGAGGAAGAAGCCTGGGGCCCCATACACACCACTTGGGAAGTTCCTCACTCAAGATTTCTACTTGGTATCAACTGTTTATAGTTGAATTTGAAAGTAAAACATGACCAGGCCTGAAACTCAGTGGTAGAGCATTTGCCTCAGTGAGGCCCTGGGCCTGCTCCTGGGTACCCTCCCCACATATACGCACACATGCATGCACACACACACACACACACACACACACACACACACACACACACTAAAATGAAAAACCAACATTAAAGGAAGATATGGCTGTATTAAGGATATTTTCTAATATTTCTAATAAGGAGTTAAAAACTCTTTGAGAAGGAATACAACATTTTTTTTTAAAAAAGCACATACCGTGTCTTTTGAAGATGCGGATGACGGCTTCACATACATGGTGCTGTACCTTGGCTGTTCGAATGGAGAAGCTGCCCTGAAATGCGACCCATTAAAACGTCATCAGCAAGGCCTGACCAAAGACGGGACCGAGGCATGTTCTCCCATGCCACAGGCACTGCCTGCCTCGTTCCCAGATTCTGAGAGCACACCTGAACCTTCAGCTCCTTCTGGAACATTTTCAGGGAGACCAGGCACCTTGTACTGGGCCTGGCTTCAGGCAGGTTGAAGTCCCAGTTCTTGGTCGGGTTATGAAAGCCTTTCAGAGAGACTGAGCCAAAGACACAGGTCCCTGGAGGGTTCAGGGATTGGAGGGGCAGTCACGAAAATAGCCTTTGGCTTTGGGCCCTATCGTGGGCTGGGAAGAGGCTGCACTTCTGTTTCACTTGTGCCTTTCTGTTTCTGATTGCTAGAAAAAGGGACATGGTGATTACTCTAGAAAATGTTAGAAGCAACAGTCCAGCAAAAATGGGGATATAAGAGTCATCTGGAATCCTACAAATAGCTAATATTGCCAGCCGACACTATTGGGCCCCCAAACTATACATCTTTTACAGATATTTTTGCTACTTCTTCTGCTTTTTAAAAATCATATGTTAAGAAAAATCTTTTTGTTTTGTTTTTTGCCAGACTGAGACCCCTTGCAGAGCTCATGACCCAGGAGGAGCCAGGGATTGAACCCGGTCCTCCTCTATGCAAAGCAAGCCTGCGGCTCCACTGAGCTAGCTCTTGGGTCCTCTGGAAAAACAAAAACCAAAACCCAAAAACTTCTACAGGGTCCACTCCCAGAGGAGTTGGGATTTGGAGCTTCGGCCAGCAGCTTTGGGGGCCACCAGGAACACACCAGCAGTCCTTGAGAGTCAGATGCGATGCTGAGTATCGAATTCAGGGTCTTGAACTATGAACTATTCTCTACCCCATCTGTGAGCTATTTTATTTACAACAATCTTTGTTTGGGGATTGTTTTTTTTGGGGGTTAGTGGTAGGGGACACCTTTTGGCCATGCTTCTGGGATATTCCCGCTCTGTTCACTGGCTGCTCCTGGTGGTAGCAGGGATGGAGTCCAGGACCCCTTCATGCCAACATGGGGTTTGGTGGATCATATGGGATGCTGGGGACTGAACCAGGTCAGCTGATCTCAGGGAGCCTGCTCTGCGGCTTAGAGAGAATCTTAGAGAGATCCCTGAAATACTTCACGTTGGAGTCCCAAGGTGAGTCAGGCATCTGTATGTTCCAGAGGCCTTCCAGGTGATTCTGAGGTGTCTCTCCCCAGGTGTTAGGAGCTGCTAACTGCTTAATCAGGATCAAAGCTGGACAGATATTTGGGGCCCTGGGTAGCTGGGTCAGGGCTTAATACCTAAAAATCTCATCATCTCTGGGGTGTGTTGAGATGAAGATGGTTTAAAAACCCCTTCAAGTATATGATAAAGAGTGGGGCCTGGGAGTCGGAGTGATAATGAAGTGGCTAGGGTTTTTGCCTTGTACACAGCCAATCCACGTTGGATTGCTGGCATCCCATATGATCCCTTCAAGCAATACCAAGAGTAATTCCTGAGTGCAGAGCCAGGAGTGACCCTGAGCATTACTGGGTATGGCCCCCCAAACAAACAAGCAACAGCAACAAAAGAGGCCTTTCCCAGACAATGCAATGATCATACTTCGCATATACAGACCTCCAGGACTTATGGTGGCAGACCTGGACAGGCATTACAGTGTGAGGGTGTAGGGCACCCGCGGGCAAGCACATCATCACTAGTGCAATCCTCAGTGCCCTACATGTGCTCTGGGACTCCCCAGCACGGCAACTGGCTTCCAGTCACACTGCAGCCAGTGGTGTGTAGCACCATAAAGAGGGGAGCACCCCCCCAGCAAGCACCATGACTTAAAAGGTGTGTAAGGGCCAAGGCCAGGAAGTGTGACCTCTGGCAAGCACTTGTGTGAGCACCACGACCCCAAGTCTCCACGAAGCGCTTCTGAGCCAGCCCCATCAGGGAGTGTGCAAGTACCATAGCTCAAACTGTGCAGGTGCCTCCCCTTGGGCAGGTGTGTGGGAGACCCCCAGGGATCACACTCACCAAGGAAGGGGAAGGCAGGATACAAATAAGAAACTTCAGGGGGCCAGAGAGCTAGCACAGCAAGTAGGGAGCTGGCCTGACTTGGTGGCTGACCAGGCTTGATCCCCAGCATCCCATATGATCCGCTGAGCCCTGTAGGAGTGACCCCTGAGCGCCACCAGGTGTAGCTCCCAAACCAAACAAAAACAACAGGAACTTGTGTCCATCTGTGTGCGGCACTGCAGAGACCCGCAGGAAGTAAGGGACTGACTGACTCCTCCCCTGGGGCCAGGCCAAGCTAGACTGACTCCTCCCCCGGGGCCAGGCCAGCGTGTCCCTCCCAGTGGGGCCTGGGCGCACCTTTAGGATGTCACTGTCGTAGGTGTAGTCGATGGCAGGCGAGATGCGCTGGGAGAAGATGTGGGCCATCATGGTGCGGTAGGCCTTGCCATCGGCGTTGGCCAGGGTCAGCTGCAGCACCTCGTGCAGCTCCGACTCCTCCATCTGCGGTGGTGGCAGCAGCTCGCTCTTCAGCAGCTCCGTAGCTGTGGGCCGCTGGGCGGGGTCGTGGTTCAGTAGCCAAGAGATGACAGATTTCTATAACGAAACCCAGGGCACGCTGGAGATGGGGTACGGCAGTGGGGGTGAGGGACCCTGCTCAGGAATCCAGGTAGGATGCTGGGTGGTGCTGGGCAAAGAAAAGACACTGCACTTTGTGTACTCTGCTGGAGCACTTGAGTGGGACTTCTATTTTTCTTTCGTGTGTGTGTGTGTGTGTGCTTTTTGGACCACACCCGGTGATGCCCAGGGGTTACTCCTGGCTCTGCACTCAGAAATTATTCCTGGCGTTGCTTGTGGGACTATATGGGATGCTGTGAATTGAACCCGGCTCAACTGTGTGAAAGGCAAATGACCTCCCTTCTGTACTATTGCTCCAGCCCCTGAGTTGGAATTTCTGAAAGTCTCTGCCTATGGCGCTCTCCCTGAGTAGGTGATTAGGGCCAGAGCTCTGCGGGCGGTGGTCCTTTAGATATCTGGCTGCAATCAAAAGAGAGCACCAAATAAAGGGTGTTGGGAGGATCCTCCCAGGATGGGAGAAGCATGCTGAAAGTAGACTATAGACTGAACATGATTGCCACTCAATACCTCTTTTGCAAACCACAACACTCAAAAGGAGAGAGAGAACAAAAGGGAATGCCCTGCCACAGAGGCAGGGTGGGGTAGGGGGATAGGGGGTGAGAGGGATACTTGGACCGTGGTGGTGGAAAATGGGCACTGGTGGAGGGATGGGTATTTGATCATTGTATAACTGAAGTCCTAGCACAAAAATTTGTAAGTCTACAACTGTACCTCGTGGTGTTTCACTAATAAAAATTAAATAAAAAAAATAAAAAAAACCCAAAAAAACAAAAAGTCTTCAGTCAACTATGACCCAAAGGCAGAACATAGCCCTTAAACACACACACACACACACACACACACACACACACACACACACAACTGTATCTGCACAGCATAGAAGGAGCCTGGAAGATGACTCTGTGGCTTAGTGTGTTAGTCCGGGCAGTGCCAGGCCCCAAGTCCCAACCCTGAGAAGCCCTGCTATTAGGAATCTTGGAAAAAGACCCCATGGCATACTCTCCATCGTTGTCTATGAGCTCAATGCTGGGTGCTGCCGGATGTGCAAAGGCCACCAACAGCCCCGTGGTCTAGGATATTGGAGAGGAGAGGAAAAAAGAAAGACATAAACTAGTTTTATTTCTTTAGTATTATTGGTGGGTGGGGGACGGAGGCCACCAGGCCACACCTGATGGTGTTCAGGGACAATAATGACTCCGTGCCTGGGGGTTCCTCTCAGCCCTACATGGGGCATAGGGTAGTACAGGGAATCTAACCAGGGCTAGTCACATGCAATCAGGTGTCTCAGGTGTCTAAGCCTCTGTACTCTCTCTGGCCCAGAATAATTTTTTTTTTTTTTGCAACCCAGCAATGCTCAGAGGTTACTCCTGGCTCTTCACTCAGGAATTACTCCTGGCAGTGCTGGGGGAAAATATGCGATGCCGGGGATCGAATCTGGGTCAGCTGCGTGCAAGGCAAACACCCCACCTGCTTTGCTATCACTCCGGCCCCCAAAATAATTTTTAAAAAATTATGGGGTCACATGTGACAGTGCTTGGGTGACCACGAGGCATCAAACATGGGGCCTAGTACATACAAAGCAAATGCTCAGTTTTGTTCTGTATTCTGAGCCACTCCTAGTGGTGCCCAGGGACTACGAGTCTGTCTCAGTATTCTGGGACCATGCGGTGCTGAGTATGGACTCCAGAGCCTCCTGCACGCAGAGTATGTGCTCTGGCTCACGAGTCATCTCTCTGCTCCGAAAATTAAAAAATATTCTTTTTTCATTTTCCCTGATCCTATTTCCTTGAATTCTCTTAATTTATGTTATTCATTACAGCTCCACAGTTACCTCATTAAGCAAGGAAGTATTTAGAGACAGTTTAAACATTAGAAAGATTCCATAATGATTCCTTAATTTTCCTGTTTATAAAACTAATTTGTAAGGATCTAGGGGAATATTTAAATTACAAAATTGTATATAGAAGCTGCCAGGGAGCAAACCCGGGGCTTCACACATGCAAGGCCCCTGCTCTCCTACACACACACACACACACACACACACACGCACGCACGCATTCATGCATGCATCAGCCTCTTAGGGATATCTGAGACCAGAAAATCTTAAATTTCCAGGTAAATCTTATGAGGTGTTTCCTAACATACACCTTTAATCTAGTCTCTTGTCCCACAACCCCTGTTTTATTTATTTTATTTTTATTTTTTAAAATTTTTTATTAGTGAATCACCGTGAGGTACAGTTACAGACTTACAAACTTTTGTGCTTGAATTTCAGTCATACAATGGTGGAGTACCCATACCTTCACCAGTGCCCATTTTCCACACCAATGGTCCCAGTATCTCTCCTACCACCCCCACCCCGTACCCTCCACCCCACCCTGCCTCTGTTCTCTCTCTCTTTTGGGGTGTTGTGGTTTGCAGTAGAGGTATTAAGTGGCCATCATGTTTGGTCTATAGTCGACTTTCAGTCCACATCTCCCATCCAGAGCAGACCCTCCTGGCAACCTTTACTTGGTGGTCCTTTCTCTATCTCAGCTGCCTTCTCCCCAAGCATGTGAGGCTGGCTTCCAAGCCATGGAGCAAACCTTCTGGTCCTTATCTCTACTATTCTTGGGTGTTAGTCTCCTATTTTGTTACTTTATATTCCACAGATGAGTGCAATCTTTCTATGTCTGTCCCACTCTTTCTGACTCATTACACTTAACATGATACTTTCCATGTTGATCCACCTATATGCAAATTTCATGACTTCATCTTTTCTACCTTGTTTTATTTATTTATTTATTTTTTGCTTTTTGGGTCACACCTGGTGATGCACAGGGGTTACTTTTGGCTCTGCTCTCAGGAATTACCCCTGGCGATGCTCAGGGGACCATATGGGATGCTTGGAATCGAACCCGGGTTGGCCGCGTGCAAGGCAAACGCCCTACCACTGTGCTATCACTCCAGCCCTACCCTGTTTTATTTTTAAAATTTTTGATTTTTCTGGGCCACATCCGACAGTATTCAGGGCTTCCTGCTGGCTTTGCACATAGGCATCACTCCTGACAGTGCTCTGAGCACTATGTGCACTGCTAAGGATCAAACCAGGGATGGACACATGCAAGGCAAGTACCTTACCCCTGAATATCTTGCTGGCCCCAAAAGAAATAGATTAAGGAATAAACTTTCATATGAACAGGAGGATGAACAACAGAAGACGTCACCAAGACAAACTACCAGCACTAAGGGAAAAAAGCATCTCAGATTCAAAAGCACACACTCAGAATCCTTCCCCTCATGTTGGTTGGATGCTGACTAACGCCTCCATCTGTGGCATAAAGGAGAAATGACTGATAATATAACATCAGACTGTCTCCTTTCCCACTTCATAATCAAAGCCTGCTTCAACCACGGGGGTGGAGAAATCATAGCATTAAATTCTATTTTTCATAAAGTTATTGGCTTTATCTTAGACAGGGAAGGGAGAACTTTTATCTGCCCATGGCCATTGAGCTATTTATAGCATTATTTGTGAATCATTACGTACAGCCAATGAAGCCACAGGCAGCCCCAAGAAGTACACATGTGTCCTGTCATGTACCAGGTCCAGACCACATGTTCCACAGACTTTATAAAATCCACAAGTTCTCCAATCCTGATATAAGACAACAAGCTGTGAAGGAATTCTCTTTCTCTCCCTCTCTCTTTTCTAATACTGAAATCCAGGGCCCACATAGCACTTCAGAAACACAATGAGTCACATCAGAGAATTCTGCTGTCCTAATGTTTTAAGCTGATCCTTGACAATTGGAGGTGGGGGTTTGGACCACATCAAGCAGTGCTGGGGGCTTACTTCTTTCTGACCACAGGGATCAGTGCTGGCAATGCTTGTGGGGACCCTATGAGGTGCTGGGGACCAAGCTTGGGGATGCTGCATGCAAGGGCAAGTGCCTTACCCCCTGTCCAAGCTACCTCTTTAATCTTGCCCTTGGCAATTTCATGGTGTATTTCTTTCTTTTTTTAAATAATTAATTAATTTTTACAAAGCTGTTCATGATTGGATTTCAGTCATACAATATTCCAACATCCTGGTGTATTTCAAACCTAGTAACATGTTGTTGTGATTTGTCTTTTTATATTCCTCCCATTTTATTTCCAGGAAATAAGAGGATACGTGGCAGAACATTACTAATTGAAAATGAATAAAAACAGTAATTAAAACCCAAGAGTAAGAACACAATAATTAAAGCCGCAGAAAATTACCTGCTTTGTATGCTCTCCATCATCGAAGTCTTCTGGAAACTTGGGCGAAGTTGGCTGGAAGAATATTATATTCAAATCAGTGAGTATTTGGCAGACTGCCACCGTGAAAGTCTTTATTCCCCAGAGATAAGAAAATCAAATACAGAAACAAAATTTGCTAACAAGGGTAGACTGAAGGAAACAATGTCTCCTTGTTTCTACTGGGGGTGGGGCAGGGATGGAGGGGGTTCTGGGTGGGGACTGGGCAACAGCTAGCAGTGCTCAGGGTCTCTTCCTGGTTCTGTGATCAGGAGTGACCCCTGGCAGTGCACAGGGGATCCCCAGCTGCGCTGGGACTGCCCAGGTCAGTCACCTCTCCAGCTAGCGCCTTCACCTCTGTACTCTCTCCTGGGCCCTGGGGTTCATTGTTTTTGAGAAACCCAAGGGCTATTTTTCCAAGTACATGTTGGTCTTGTTTATTTTGTTTTGCGCATGTCCTGATGTTTCCTTTGTGCTGCTGGGGATCAAACCCAGGGCCTCATATCTCATAAAGTGAGGCATGCGCTCTGCCTGTGAGCCCTGTCCCAGCCCAAATGTGAATTGTAGAGGAAGGGAGGGCACTTTGGCAAGGACATAATCCACTAAGTACACTTGAAAGCCAAGGCATGGCAATCCCTTTCTTTACTCTGACTTTCCTGGATGGGCAGTAAAAGAATCAAACATCAGGTGGTGGGTGTGCCTCAAAGTGGCAGAGAACATGCAGAGCGTGTGTGAGGTCGTTCACCCCCCCCCCATTCCAAGTCCTGGCACCACCTGGTCCTCCCAAGTACCACTGAGGAGTTCCCAAAAACTGAATCTGAATCAAAATGACCGCTGGAGGTGGCTGTTATTAGAAAAAAAAAAAGGTTTTTCCCCTTTAAGATTATAAGTAACTTCTCAGGATAATATTCTCTCTCTCTCTCTCTCTCTCTCTCTCTCTCTCTCTCTCTCTCTTTCTCTCTCTCTCTGTACTTGGGGGTTACCACCAGGTCCTGGGTCTGGAACCTGGACCTCCTGCATGTGAAGCATCTGCTCTACCCATTGAGCTCCCTCTCTAGACCATGGAATAATTTATAAGTGTAACTATACTCTAGAAATTTCTCCAAAAAGGATTCTAAACATAAAACTGGGGAAACTTCATCACTGGAGGTGTAAAGGCAGAGGTGGATTTTCATTTACGAAAGAGATGACTCCCGCCCCACCCCACCCTGCCCCCAGACAAGTGGTAGTAGGATAACCTCCTGTGTGTAAGACAGGGCAACAACCAGCATTGAATTCTGACACTCGCACCGAGACTGTCTGATACATACATCTCTGAGTTGGTTGAGAACAAAGATCCTCTCTGAGGCTGTGACCATGGGGTGATAAGACATCTCAAAGAAGATGATTCCCAGGCTGAAGAGATCTACTTTCTGCGGAGGAGGAAGAACTGTGTTTAGAGGAGTGTGGGGAAAGTGTGATTTACAGGGGAACTTCAGGATGCATGCTGCGGGCTGGAATAAAGTCTCTGTATGTGAAAGACAGGCTGCACTACAGGAAAACAAAACAAAACAAAATGGGTCAGTATGGGGGCTGGAGAGATAGTACAGCAGGTAGGATGCATGTGACAGACCCAGATTCGATCCCCAACACTCCATGTAGTCCCCTGAACCCTGATGGAAGTGATTCCTGAGCACAGAGCTGGGAGTTACCCCTGAGCATCGCTGGGTGTGGTCCCCCAAACAAAAAACAAATAAAACAAAAAACTGGTGGGGCTGGAGTGATAGCATAGCGGGTAGGGCGTTTGCCTTATACACGGCCAACCTGGGTTTGATTCCCAGCATCCCATATGGTATCCCAAGCACTGCCAGGAGTAATTCCTGAGTGCAGAGCCAGGAGTAACCCCTGTGCATTGCTGGGTATGACGCAAAAAGCAAAAAGCAAAAAAAAAACAAAAAACAAAAACAAAAAACAAACAAACAACAACAACAACCAAAAACAAAAAACGAAAGACTGGTATTAATATATACAGGCATTTTCTTTTTAGGTATTGATAAAACGTTTAGTATTACTTCTGAAAGAATTGTGGCTGGCTGCATTAAAGACACAGAGCCAGGTTATTAATGCCAAAAGCTGAGAACGAGAGTCAAAGAGAGCCAAAAGGTGGCTGAGGGGCTGGAGCAATAGTACAGTGGGTAGGGCATTTGCCTTGTAAGTGGCCAATCCGGGTTTGATTCCCAGCTTCCTATATGCTCCCTCAAGCACGGCCAGGAGTAATTCCTGAGGGCAAAGCCAGGAGTAACCCCTGAGCATTGCTGGGTATGACCCAAAAAGCAAATAAATAAAAAGAAAACAAAAACAAAAGCTGGCTGAAACACTTTTCTTTGTATTCATTGCTAATGGTGCACAGGGGACTTTGTTGTTCTGAAGATCTGAGTCCTGGCCTTCACAGGGAAAGCACATGCTCCAGCTGTCTCCCTGGCCCTTTGATTTGCATCTCTCTGCTGGGGGCAATTTTGCTTTTTGTTGGGTCAAAATCAGTGGTGCTCAGAGGCTATTCCTTCTTTTTTTTTTTTTTTTTTTTTTTTGGCCACACTTAGCGGTGCTCACTCTTGGTAGGGCTTGGGGGGACCCTATGTGGAGTGGGGATCCAACCCAGGTTGGCCACATCCAAGGCAAGTACCCTAAGCCTTGAGCTATCTCTGAGGCCCGAGGATTCATTTCTTGAGGAATGGCCCAGGCGGAGAGGAGAGCAGAGCCCGCTGGAAGATTTCATGACAGGCCTCCACACTGCAGTCAGGAAACCCACGCGTCGCCCTGTGCCCCCGTGGGGCAGTCGGGAAACTGTGCCAGTGCAGCAGCAACTGCCCAGGCCTGCCATCAGCCTGGGTGCAAACTGCCCAGCCAGTACATTTCACCAGAGCTTTACATTTCAGTTCCAGGTTCCTGCCCCGCGTGAGTGCACCTGGTCTCAGGGGGGAAATTCCATGGGCGAGCTGCTGCCGACATTTCCTGGTACACCTCCCCACCCTGGCCCGCCCGCTCAATTCAAGTCTTGCTTGTGTCTCTGACAGTCTGCTACACACCTAATTCAGTTTCTCCCCAGGCACTTAAAATTTAACCCACTTCCAGTAGGATTCCTCCTTCTGTGTCTCCCAACTACTGTCCTGGATCACACATGCAAGCCATGTGCTTTGGTCCCCTGAGCTATCTCCTTGGCCCTCGTTTTTTTTTTTTTTTTAAACAGTATTTCCTCATCATGTGTTTCATCCACCAATACATAAGTTCCCTGAAGGCTGAAATAAGGCACCCATCTTAATACTTGATTTCCTTGTTCCCTTCACTCCTAGAGCTTGGGTCAGCCTGGGTTAGTCTACGTCTTTGGATAGACAAAGGGACTGTATGTCCCCTGCTGGAACACTGTGGGCTTCAGTTCCTGTCCTTGGGTCCTGCGTGTCCTGTTGGGAGTACTTTCTCAACATGCATGTGGATACATGAAAGCCGAAATGACCGAGGTTCCTGTTCTCCACTGATCTGAACCTGCATGTTGTGTTCTGGATGTTCGTTCTCCCGCCATGCGCCCCCTTTACCTGGTTGTACGCAGATCTGGTGCTTCCTTGGACCTCTGGGCTTACGTACAAAGCAGTGCCAACCATGCCAGTCAAATGCCCTGTGGAAGGCAAGTATGAAAGCTTTCCAGGAGCAAGAGACAGGGAAACAAGACCAATTTGAGGGCAAGCAGAAAACAGTTTTCTTGAACGAGACAGGGTCCATTCCCAGGGGACAGCAGTGTGCATCTCCCCAAACAAAGTCATCAGGTCTTCATGACCAACCAGAACTTCTCAGGGGCGGCAGGAGGGGTAGAGGCCCACAGGGGACCTAATTGGTCCAGGTCTTGAGGGGACCCACACTGCTTCATGGGGTCAGAGCAGCAATTATTCCAACTATAAGTTCCAGTTTCTCAGAATTATGAGCGGCAGAGTGAAAAGGAGAAAAAGTAAAGTGCTTTCATAAATTTAACCATGCCAAATTGTTTTAGAATTAAGTACTTCCTGAACAGGAGAGATGGTACAGCAGGCAGGGCACTTGCCTTGCATGCAGCTGACCTGTGTGCTCAATCCCTGGCATCCCAAATGGTCCCCTAAGCCCTGCCAGAAGTGATCACTGAGCACCTATAGGTGTGGCCCCCAAACAGAAAACAAAAAGAAATATTTCCAAATAAAAACACAGGTGTCAGATTTAAAAATTTTACACTGGAAATAAATAGCAGCATTCCTATATTTAAAAAAAATTTTTTTTTACACTGATACACACCTAAACATCTCCTAAGGGAGTCTAGCTAATCTTAAATGCTATTTTTCCCTTATTTTTGTGTGGAGTCTCCTAAGCAGTGCTCAGGAGGTTTGGGGGGGCCTCTTCGGGGATACTCAGAACCCCTCAGGGAACTGCAGGGCTATGCCTGGTGATGATTAGGAGATTATGTGGCACTGGGAATTAAACCAGGTTTGGGTGCATGCAACGCATGAGCCCTAACCTCATACTCTCTCTCCAGCTCTGAGTGAAGCATTCTGACCACAAAGAAAATAAGCAATAATGGTAGCGGGAGGACATTTCTGGAGGGAATACATGTGTTTACAGCACAGAGGGCAACGTTGGAGAACGTATCTGGTATATGTTTAAAGACAGCTTTCTTCATGCATTAAGAAAAAGAAAGGAGAAAGAAAAGGCATTTTGGGCCTGTGTTGAAACCTTAGTTAAACACAGATTCTTCTGGTTTTACCTGAAGGGTCAGACTTAAGCGGGTGCTCTGTGGTGTCATCTTGTTTGCCGTCAGCCTGAAAGGGAACCAAATTGCAAATTACAATGCTGTCTATTCCATGAGTACAGCGTGCTCATTTCTAACCAAAGACTAAAAAAAAGCTACACAGAGAACTGAATAATGATGAGAATATGATTTTTGAGCTTCAAATATTTAAGCTTCAGCACCGAGGAAGCCAAAATGCAGGACTGGCCGGGAATGATGACACTCAGAAGGAAAGAAGAGGTCACCCACAGTCGAGCTCTCTGTCACAGAAACCCCACCCCGGGGAACCAATTTATGTTCCAAATGTCAAAACAGAACCAGTTTACTAAAAATATTATATTCAAAAATCACAGCTTTGCTTTTTCATTTTGCTTTGTTCTCATTCACCTCCCTTTTATTTGTCATAGCATTTGAAGTCATGAAAATGTAAGGGTCGTATGGTCAACATTCAGAGAACAGACTAATTCACTGTAGAATTATTCCCACCCCACTAAAACTTAATGAGATTTGAGGTGTTTACCAAAAAAACTCCTAAGTTATAGTGGAAAAGTCCATAAAGCACTCTATAAAAAGGAGCAGGAGGGCCTGGATCAATAGCACAGAGGGTAAGGCGTTTGCCTTGCACACGGCCAACCAGGTTCGATTTCGATCATCCCATATGATCCCCTGAGCACTGCCAGGAGTAATTCCTGAGTGCAAAGTCAGGAATAACCCCCGTGTATCACCGGATGTGACCCAAAAAGAAAAAAAAAAGCAGGAAAGCCCTAGGGTACTATCTGGGATAAAATTCTCCCTCGCATCCTATCTCGGATACTTTTCTGAACAGGCAGTACTATTGATTTGAGGTTCTCTGATAGCAAATCACCAACGAAACATTTGACCTGCTCCTTAGCCTTGTGGCAACTTGCTCTGGGTCTGATAGGGGAGTCCAGTTCCATCTGTTCTCACCACCCTCTGAGCCTCGACTCTGTGCGGTCTCTGTGCAGACCTGCCACGTCATACCCAGCCCTTCCCTGGATGGCCAAGCTTCTGACATCCCTCGGGGGGCTCCAGTGCCCAGCGCCCCCTGCAGAACCGGCTGCCTGAACATGTCCTGAACATCCAGCCTTGCACAAGACAGCTCTGGGGAGCAGCTGCTAGTACGGGACACTTGTGCCTGTGAACCCATTTGCCTGAGGTCATGAGAAAGTGGTAGAGCTGTCACACCTGGTTCTAGTCCAGGTCCAGGGGTTGCCGGGGCTGGATGCTAAAGCCAACCTAACTAAGCCACAGTCCTTGAGGTGCCAAGTTCAGGGGATCAATATCTCCCTTCGGATCATCCTGTTGTTCCTGTCTGGATCCCATTGTGCCTGGATTTTTTTTTTTTTTTGTGAGGGGTGAGGGGCAGGCAGGGAAGAGGAGAAGGGATTTGGGCTGCACCTGGTGGTACTCAGGGCTTACTCCTGGCTCCGGGAACCTGGGGATGGAATGCTGCATGCAAGGCAAAGGTCCTGACTTGCTCTCTGTCCCCTTACTGTCTCTCTGGCTGCTGGGTCAGACTCTGATCGGTCCCCTTTTATTTCCTCTCTCCCCGCTCTTCCTAACCTTCACATTTAGACCCTGTGCTGGTTCTTGCAACAATCCAAATCACATCTTTTTCCTCTTAGCATGACCACCCTTAGCATGAACTGCAATGACTAAAGATTTTGGCATGCAGACACATAGGATGGTATGATTCTTTCTCTGTCACTCAGGGCCTGCCAGCTGCACAGCTCCTGACCTCCCAGCATTCTCTCACTGCTCGTGTACTCCTTGTTCTTTTGGAGCTGTCAAGTAACATGCTGGCCTGCAAGTAATCCTATAGACCCACCACAGGGCCTTTGCTCATGCTGTTCTTTCTCTCTGAAATCCCCAGCTCCTGTCAGTGTCTTGCCCACCAGCTCATCCTGCTGGACTCCCAACTATTCATTGAGACTGAATCAAAATGCTATTTCTTTATCAACCTTTTTTCATCCTCATAACCATATGCAAAATTTCTCGTGGCATCATTATTTCTCTCACTTTCCCCTAGTTTAGCTTTATATGTTAACTGCCTCCTCTAAATCCTGAATACACTGCCCAGTGCTGGTTTTCCCGATGGTTTGTGATTTTGAGCCTTATGCCCATTCACGAACTAAAAGTCTTTCAAGTACAAACCACCTTACCCAGTGCCCAGCATAACTGATAAAAACACTAAATAACTACAAGTGTTTATATGGATCGGACTTAAACACTGACCACAAATCAACAATCTTTGTTTTTGTTTTGGGGCCATAGCCAGTGGTGCTGGGAGGGGGGTCACTGGTGAGAAGTTTGCTCTTGGCAGTGCTCAAAGGCTGAGCCTAGTGCTCCTGTATGCCAGCACATGCTCCAGCCCTTTGAGCCAACCCCCCAGTCCAACAAGCCACTAATTCTGTGGCTCTCAAGTGATCACATTGGCTAAAATGCATTCGCAATTTCCACACTTCAGAGATGATTGACAGTTCTGTCAGACCTGCCTCATTTCCTGGGGATTACAAGGCAGAATTCAGTGAACTCATTACCCAGCCTTCTAATACCTTCGGGATTACCACTTGGGTCCATTTTCAGAACAGTCTTATTTAAAAATACTTACAGCAAAGGCTAGATGATCTGTCGCCAGACCAAAATCGCCGATTTTTACATGGTCGTCAGAATCCAAAAATATGTTGACAGGCTTCAAATCACGGTGAATCATTCCCTGATGGGAAGGAGTGCAAGAAACCAATAACTGTTTTCGAAATGATGTCTCCTAATCAGAAAGGCCAATCTAGTGAGAAAAATGAGGGAGCTTTTCTCTCGCAGTACACACTGGGCCAGGCTGGTGGGCCTCTGAGATGCTTCCCATCTCTCCTTGCAATAACTGATGCCCTAGCCCATCTGCTGCTGGTTCCCATCAGGTCAAATCCAGGTGGCTCCTATGCTCCTCTAACCCCAGGTTCACAATTTTTCTACTGTATCATAAAACCAAGAGCCTCCCACCCGCACAGCAGAGCCTGGCAAGCTACCCATGGAGTATTCGAGATGCCAAATACAGTAACAATAATGGATCTCATTCTCCTGACCCTGAAAGAGCTTCCAATATGACACTGTTGGGAAAGATGAGTAAGGAGAGGCTGCTAAAATCTCAGGGCTACTGGTTAAAGAAACGTTGGTACATCTACACAATGGAGTACTATGTAGCTGTTAGAAAAGATGAAGTCACGAAATTTACATACAAGTGGTACTACATGGAAAGTATCATGCTAAGTGAAATGAGTCAGAAAGAGAGGGACAGACATAGAAAGATTGTATTCATCTGGGGAACATAAAGTAACAAAATAGCAGACTAACAACCAAGAATAGCTGAGATAAGTACCAGGAGGTTTACTCCATGGCTTGGAGGCCAGCCGCACATGTTAGGGGAAAAGGCAGCTCAGATAGAGAAGGGAGCACCAAATAAAGGGTTTTGGGAGGATCCTCCCAGGATGGGAGAAGCATGCTGAAAGTAGACTATAGACCGAACATGATTGCCACTCAATGCCTCTTTTGCAAACCACAGCACCCAAAAGGAGAGAGAGAACAAGAGGGAGTACCCTGCCACAGAGGCAGGGTGGGATGGGGGGGTGGGAGGGATACTGGGATTGGTGGTGGTGGAGAATGGGCACTGGTGGAGGGATGGGTACTCGATCAATGTATAACTGAAACCCAAGCACAAAAATTTGTAAGTCTACAACTATACCTCATGGTGTTTCACTAATAAAAATTAAAATAAAATAAAATAAAATCTCAGGGCTGGGGCGAATGGAGATGTTACTGGTGCCTGCTCGAGTAAATCAATGAACAATGGCATGACAGTGATACAGTGATCATAAAACCATTCCTTAGCTCACATGGTATTTGCCCCATGCCTAGGATATTCTTCATTTCCTTCACTTATCTGAATTAGATCAACATCTACAAGTGCTATACTATGCATCAGGCCTTTCAGAGTGAACTCTTAACTTCTCAGCCCTACATTCCCAGGGAACACTTGGACACTTTTTTCTCCTTCTTAATGGCATTTGCATAATGCCTGCTATTCCTGGTGTCATCTGGGGATACCTAATAGAACAAAATACTTTACTGTCTGATCTCTTTTGCCTCTACAGGAAGGTGTATCTTGACTTCCTCAAAACCCAAGAAGACTCACTTGAATATGAATTTTGTTATATACTTGTCTCTCCTGGTCTTGCTGGATAAGGTACAGTGAAGAGCACCCAAAAGATGACTAGAGAAAGAAGCAAATTAGGCCAAGAAACGAGCATGGAGCACCTATCTTAGGACAGCAGGCTGAGAGCACAGTAATAGGGTTCTAATGGTCCTCATTACAGCTCATTTTCACTTCCAGCCTTGCACATTATGTTTCCACGGACTCATTTATAAACTTGCCATGTTCAAATCACACTCCTGGCTTTTTAGTATGAATGTAGTATAGCATAAACATTTGCAGGTTAAAGAAAATTGAGGCGAAGGGAAAACATATTTACACTGGCTAATGCATTAGATAATTCCATTTTAAAAATGAAAGCAGTGCTCTATCCTGAAGCTGGACCCATCAGTGGTGACAATGTAATGATTTCTCCTTCTCGTTTCAAAATGCCATTTTATACCCCTGGCAAGCTCTGTCAGAGTCCCATTTCCATCTTTTTCTAATTCTGCCATGTTTCTCATAAGACCCAAATAAAGTGTCCTGGATTCATCATGCCCGCCCTTCCTCCTATGCCACTCGAGGGCTTCCTCTCGCATTCCACACATGTTCAGATGACCTCCCTGGGGTGGGCAGCCTTTTCTGTACAAGGCCAGAGAGCAAAATATTTCAGGCTTGAAAGGCAACACACAGTCTCTGCTGCCACCCCTCCAAAAGGGACAACTATGATAGTATAACAGCCAGAGGCCACGTGGAGGCAAACATTTCCCGGTAAGGTCAAAGGCCTGTTCTCTTCAATAAAAACTTACAAATGGGGATGGGACTTTCATAGAACTTTCATGTGTCATATTATTCTTTGATTCTCCACAACCATTTGAAATTGTAAAGGTGACTCTCTGTCACAGGCCCTGGGGGTGCGGGCCGGTGGGGGGTGTGACCTGTCTAAGCCTTCCATGTCTTCTCTGGACTTTCAAAAGCGGGGCTGTTTCCCTGTCTGTGGGCACACTGTGCTCTTCCCTTTAAGGACAGGTGTCGATATTTTCCTAACTCTCCTTCTCATTCACTCCCCTCCACTCTGACAGACACTGCTTCCTTTTGCCCTAAGTGTTTAAGCAAACCTAAGTTCAGAGAGAGGGGTGCAGGGTTTACTTTCTCGTGGATGTAGGCTAATCCATCCAGAATCTCTCGGAAAAGCCTCCAGAGTCGGACAGTGTCCTGGTACAATCCTTGATCAATGGTGTCGCGCAGGGTGCTCTTCTCACAATACTCCATCTAGGGGTGAGGACACACAAGTGGGGAGGGGGACGATTGGAGTCAGTGAGGGCGGACAACCGCAGTGACCTGAATTCCCTGTCCCCCAACATGCTATGGGTTTCTGGTGTGTCCTGAGGCCACCAGGGAGTGGGTGGTGGGTGGCGGGGGAACAGACGGGGTGGACATGACCCTATAGTGCCAAGGATCGGGTCTGGGGCTCCTGCATACATGTTCTCCAGTCCTTTGAACCATGTCTTCTGCCCTGCCATGGGTTTCTTTCTTTCTTTCTTTTTCTTTCTTTCTTTCTTTCTTTCTTTCTTTCTTTCTTTCCTTCCTTCCTTCCTTCTTTCTTTCCTTCCTTCCCTCCCTCTTTTCCTCCCTCCCTCCCTCCCTCCCTCCCTCCCTCCCTCCCTTCCTTCCTTCCTTCCTTCCTTCCTTCCTTCCTTCCTTCCTTCCTTCCTTCCTTATTTCCTTCCTTCCTTATTTCCTTCCTTTGTCTTGAGAGAAGGGGTGGGTTTTTGGACCACACCCAGTGGTGCTCAGAGGCTATTGCAGGCTCTGTGTTTGGGACCCTGGTAGTATTTGGGGGCACATATGCAGTGCTGGAGGCTGAACTGGGATCAGCTGCAAGCAAAGCCAGCACTGTACCCCTGGCATATCTTTCCAGCTCTGCCATGGGCTTTTAAATAGTGGCGGGAAGAATTTGAAGTTGTTTGTTATTCTGATGGTTTGGGGAATCAATTCCAGGGCTTCATATAATCAAGGCAAGGGTTCTACCAGTGACTTAGCTCCATGACCTCAAGATTTAAGTACTTTAAGACAGAAGGACATTCCTTTCATGCTTAGAATCACCAGCCACAAATTCAGACTCGTCCTCCAGGCTGCACGATGGGCTTAACTTCCACACCTCGCGCCAGAGGGGATTCACAAGGGAGCAGAGGCACAGCACGCTGAGAAGTGCATGAGCCTGTCACTGAACAGATCCCTGGCCCTGAGGCATGTGGACAGGCCAAAGCCTGGGGCTGTCTTCATTGGGAATGGTCTGTCTGGGTGCTTGTTCCTCCAGAGTCCAGTCCTACTTTTGTACATGAGTACGTGTGCACACACACCACTCCTTACTGGTACAGACTCAGCTTGTTTAGGGAAATAGCAGCTTCTCTACACATATAGCATTATGGAGCTCAATAATATGGTTTCAATTATCCTATTAGGTATGATCCTATTTTTTCATAGGCCATCGAGTCACTTTTATTTAACGGGTAGGTGGGGAGCCAGTGGCACACGATGCTGGAGAACTGTGCCCAACCTCATAAAAGCATCAGGTGCATGCCGAATGGAATATGCACGGCCTGAACCCAGAGCTGGGGACCACAGCCAGAAGCTGATGTGGTCCCCGGCTCGGAAATAGGCGGGCACCGAGTTCAAGACCGGGGAAAAGGTGCCTCCCCAGGGGATCCGGTTCATTTGTGCGCCACTGAGCCCTGTCCTGCCTCCGTCACCTGAAACACATTCCCCCCTCAGCTGCGGGGAGTAGCCATGGCCTCACCTGGATGTAGAGGTAGTGCACAGCCCCAGTGGTCCCCGACGGCTCACTTTCCCGCTGACTGCTCTTTCCATTGCAGTTTCCATCCTAAGCCCAGAGGAACACATGAGAAGTCAAGATGGAGCAGGACCTGAACAAAAGGATCGCTTTCACAAGTTATTGGTGCTGGCCTCCAGCCCCTACATGCCCTTCTGCTGCCTCAGAGGGAAGGTCAGTGAGCAGACAGAGCCTCTGTCAGGGAGATGTTGACAGCAATGTACTAGGCGATTTGCTGCGCAGGTCAATGGGGGAAACGGGTAAGTATTAAAGGGGCGCATTCTTTTTTTTAGCTTTTTGGGTTGTACCCAGTGATGCACAGGGGTTACTCCTGGCTCTGCACTCAGGAATTCCTCCTGGCAGTGTTCAGGGGACCATATGGAATGCTGGGAACGAACCAGGACCAGCTGTGTGCAAGGCAATACCCTACCCACTGTGCTATCGATCCAGCCCCAGGGGTGCATTCTTTAACCATTAATATTGTCCTATGGGGATAAGAGCAGGAAGCACACATGCTAACATATATAATATATATATTTTAATTATATTGTATAGTTATCTATTTAAATATAATATATTTAAAATGTTAAATATTAAATATTAAAAATGTTAAATATATTTAATATATTATACCATTTTAAAATATATTAAATACATATATTTAACATTTTTCCTTCATCAAGACAAAAAAAGCAAAAGCTCGGGAAACAACCAGATTTTACTCCTGAATCATCTCTCTTCTCTGGGAGATTATCTGCCAAGGACAGTTAATCTCTCGGAGGCTTTGCTCCATTAATTAGAATGCCTGTAGGATATTACCCATAACTGAGCAAAATCAGGAGTGAGAATTGGTGCCCCTGTGGTAATTAAATGGACAACTAATGCTTAAACTAAAGGCTTCAGCTTAGCTTATTTATGTTACTTATTTTTTTGGGGGGCCATACTTGGTTGTATTCAGGGCTTACTTCTGGTGTTCTGCTCTGGGGCACAAATGCGGTGCTGGGGAGATCTACTCTGGGGTAGGCTGTATGCCAGGCAAGCAACCTATATGCTGTCCTATGTCTCCGCTCCTTATGTTATTATCATGGCTAAGTATAAAACATAACTATTGTTTTGGGGTCTTCAGGGGTGACTCCTAGCTCAGTGCTTGGGGAAAGGTCACTCCTGGTTATATTTGGACAACGTGGTGTTGGGGGTTGAACCCAGGCAGTTGAGCCATCTCACCAACCTAAACTTTTATATTTCAGTAGAGGAATTTATGGTGATTTTATTAATTTATATTTTGGAGACAAACACTGGTAGTGCTCAAGGACCATGCCTGGCAGTGCCTGGGGGACCATATGCGGTGCTGGGAAACGGGGCCATTGCCATAGCTGCTGGCCAGTAGGCACCTCAACTGTTGGACTCTCTCCCCAGCCCAGTGGTGATTACAATTTAAAAAAAAGGAGGGGCTGGAGAGATAGCACAGCGGGTAGGGCATTTGCCTTGCACGTGGCCGACCCGGGTTCAATTCCCAGCATCCCATATGGTCCCCTGAGCACCGCCAGGGGTAACTCCTGAGTGCAGAGCCAGGAGTAATCCCTGTGCATCGCCAGGTGTGACCCAAAAAGAAAAAAAAAAAGGAAAGTACAAATATACTCTGACTAATGCACTTAAACTGCCTTCAAATCAATGCGTGTTTTTTTTTTTTTAAGTTTTGGTCTTTTTGGGTCACACCTGGCAATGCTCAGGGGTTACTCCTAGCTCTGCACTCAGGAATTACTCCTGCCAGGGCACCATATGAAATGCTGGGGATTGAACCGGGGCTGATCGTGTACAAGGCAGATGGCCCACCTGCTTTTCTAACACTCCGGCCCCCCAAATCAGTATTTTAGTAAGCTTTATTCTTCAACCTTCCTTTACTTTCCCCTCATTGTTGCTACAGATGCAGCAAGGGGGTCCTCCTCACTTGCTGTGGGTGCTGCAGAGACTATGCACTTTTCTTGTGGCATCATGGATTGCAAATGGAGTGCAGGGCTGTGTGGGGCCATGCTGCGGATGGAGCTTGAGGTCCCACACCCCCAAGATAGGTGCTCTACCACCCAGCCATCTCTAGGCCTTAGCTCCTATTTCATTTCTTTGTGCGCTGCCAAGGATTCAACCGCGTGCTTCACATGTAGTTCAAGGTATGTGTCTACTGCTGAGTGATATTCCCAGTGCCCCGTTTTGGGGCGGGGGGGACTCCTAAGCAGTGCTCAGGAGATCAGGGCCCTTCTGGTGATTCTTGTTCAATTGGGCTGGCGGTTCAATGAGAAGGTGCGAGGATGCAGTGCTGCTAGGGACCTGCAGTGATGGGGGTTTCCTGATTTACTCCAAGGGAGCTCAGGGGCCTCCTGGACTGTACCCTGTGATGTTCAGGGGACCAGGTGGTGGCACGGACTGAGCCAGATTAAGCAGCATGCAAGGCATGTGCCTTAACTCTTATACCATCTCTCCAATTCCCCTTCAGACCCCCAACTTAACTACTTGTCTACCTACATGTAGACATTTCCTTACCTGATTTAATGCATCCTTAAAATTGCTTGTAAGGATATGTTTATTCCTGGTAATAAATTCATTGCAATCAACTTCTCTCTACAGCAACAACTGGCAGGGGCCCCAGTAGATCAAAAGCTTTACCCTTGGGCTGAGGAGATAACCTAAGAGTTTGAGGGCATATTTTGCATGCTAGAGGTCCAGTCTGATGCCCAGCACCACATCGCGAATATCCACAGAGCACAAAGCCAGGGGTAGGGCCTGAGGACTGTGAGGTGTGGATGAAAACCCCAAAGTCAAAACGCTTTATCTTGAATTTTAGCAAAGGGTTCTGTGGGCCTGGGGACAGGAAGACAAGTAAGGACCAAGGCCCAGAGCAAAGTTATATTGAACAATGTTCAAGCCATGATGCACATGAAGAAACGTATTTCCCATTATACCTCGAGCTCATTTCATGAAACACAAGATGCCGTGCTGAGCTCTGGGTGCGTGAGGTGTTTTGAAGTTCTCTACTCATCTCTCCAGAGCAGGGCTTCCCAAAGGGAGTGATATCACCTCCTAGAAGGTAATGATGGGGTTGGGAGGAGCGGAGCAGCCTTGGGTGGATTGGGGAAGCCCTTCTTGTCTTTCAATTAAGAAGGTAATTTTACTGGGGAACTGATCAATAATTTTCTTTTTCCCTCTGAAAAGGGGGCAGTAGGCCAAATAAGTTGGGGAACCTCCACTAGCAATAAAAATAGCACTGGTTCTGACCCTCAAAATTGATTTCATAGTCCATTAGAGGATGACTCACAGTGTTAGAAGAGGTTGGTCTATGAAAACCTTGACGAGTTGGGATTAAATGATCAGAGAGGGAACTAGGCAATGCAATTAGGCTCTAGACTGATCAGCTAATTTGCATCTAATCCTATGTGGGTCTTAAATTCCTCTTAAATTCCTTCTACAAGGAGGCAAGTTTTGACTCTGTGAGTAAATTAAGGCCTATAAGTACACAGGAGCAAATGTTTTACACAATCATGCATGAAAGCGTATGGTGCCTACCTTTGCTTCTCGTCAGATTTAAGGAATTTTATAATATCAATTTTATTTACATATCCATCATGGTTAAAATGTAAAATTTCTTCTCATATATTTACCTGATTCTGGCTTTTACTGTTCTCATCTTCATTGTCAAAGATGATATCACTTTCAGAATCTGAAGCAGGTCTGAAAGAGAATCATCATCATTTTTGATGTTGTCATGAGGGGGGAGGGGTTGGGCTATGACCACCAGCACTCGGGTTATTCCTGGGTCTGTGCTCAGGAGTGCCCTGGATGTCAGCCACTGGCAAGGCAAGTATCTTAACCCCTGCACTCCCTCCAGGCCCTACTCTTATGCTTTTGAAAAAACAGGGGCCACAGCAGAGAGCCTGCACCAGGGATTTTGCCTTATACACGCTAAGCATGTGCACTACCACTAGCACTTTAACTAGGCAAACCAGTTTTTTCCAATTTTTTTTTTTTTTGTCACAGGGATTACTCCTAGCTCTGCACTCAGAAATTACTCCTGGCAGTGGTCAGGGGACCATATGGGATGCTGGGAATCGAACCTGGGTCGGCAGCATGCAAGGCAAATACCCTATCCGCTGTGTTATCGCTCCAGCCCTAGGAAAAACATTTTGACCAATCCCTTTTCCAAGGCCTGGGCTTGGTGCGGACTGAATCGGGGGCGCACCTGAGCAGCCGGGCATGTGCGCTTACAGGAAGGACTGTGAGAAGACCCCACTGTGCTCGTCCTCGTCGTCCTCGTCCTCGTCGCTGCTGGAGCCGGGGCCGGCGGCGGCCGAGCGCTCGGCCGAGGTGCTCCACTCCACTGAGCTGCTGAGGATGGGTGGTGGTGCGGCGGCCTCCACGCTGTCCATGGTGGTCTGGTCCGGCAGGAGCTGCGGCAGAGCCGGCCCTTCGGGGGCCCGGGGCCCAGAGCCCGGGGGACCCGTGGGCCGCTCGTGCCGCTCGATCCAGGCATTGTAGTAGCGCACGATATTCTCATGGTGCAGGCGCGACAGCAGGGTCACCTCACCCTTGATCCTGCGGAAGTGCCGGCTGGCAGGGTTGATGGGGATGCGCTTGACCGCGTAGCAGCAGCCGTCCAGCTTGTTCTGCACCTGCCGCAGGAAGGGCCCGGTCAGAGTGGTCAGCATGCAGGAGCCTGCCCCCCCCCCCGCTGTTGACTCGTCTGGCAGTGCTCGGGGCATACTCTTGGCACTGTGCTTAGATATGACTTCTGGTGGGGCTCAGGGGGCCATTTGGGGGTTGGGGTATTGAAACTAGGACCCGTGTCCAAGGGAAGCACCCTACGCGCTGTACTACAGGCTGCGGACCCCCCACCACAGCCCCAACCTAAGGAGAACCAAGAGCCCAGAGGCAGGAGTCTGAAATTCTCAAGCTGGAGAGGGTTTTAGCTGCTAACAGCTTTGAAGACATCCTAACCCAAACTAGATGATTTCAGTTTGCCTGGGGAAAATATTCTCTATTTAAATTTGGGGAGGTTGGGGGCTGGAGTGAAAACACAGCGGGTAAGGCATTTGCCTTGCACATGGACAACCCGGGTTCAATTCCCAGCATCCCATATGGTTCCCAGAGCACCGCCAGGAGTAATTCCTGAGTGCATGAGCCAGGAGTAACCCCTGTGCAAGGTCGGGTGTCACCCCAAAAGCGCCCAAAAATAAATAAATTAAAAATAAATTTGGGGAGGGTGGGTGTAGTTGGTGGCTATACATGGCTGTGTTGAAGGGTCTTGGCTCTGGACTCAGGGATCACTTCCAGTGGTGCTTGGGGGTGCAAGGGAGGATGTCCCATACTATCTCTCTGACCCTTTTTATTTTATTTTTTTGAGGGGACTTCCCTGGCAAGTACTTGGGAAGCTCCAGGCCCAAAGCTGAGTGCTGGAAGTGGGTGTGAGGTGGGGTGCCAGGGATGGAATCTGGGCATTCATGTGTACCCCAGCCCCTTGATCTATGTCCTGGCACCCCACCCCCTGCTGTGCTCCCCACTTCAATTAATGATGCTGGCAATTTTATCCCAAGTTTTCCAATATCTCGTCAGCTAACTAACTTTCTATGTGGTGAGAACCACTCAGAAAATTCCTTAATTTCTGGGAAACTATTACCTTATCCATAAAATGGCAGTTTTACCACTTGTCTTATTTTTCTACAGTGATTGCAAGGATGAAATGAAATGAGGTAGGTAAAGCTTCTGGATCAAGGCTTCATAGAAAAAGGTAAATAAGTAAATAATCAATTTTGTTAACAATTCTTAGGCTTAAATTATTTTTATTTTTTAGTGTTTTATTTTTTATTTTAGTGTTATTTTAGTTTTAATAATTATCCTAAGAATTGAAGGATAAATATTAGGATAAGTTAGGATAAGTATTAAAACTAAAATAATTCAGAGTTCAGTAAGCTTAAAGACAAGAAATGTCAAAGGCAAGGCTTCACTCACACACACAGACGCATTATATCCTGGGTTTCACCACGCATCAGTTGACAGGAGTAAATTTGACTTTTGTTTCAACCTTTCTTTTTAAATTTGATTTTTTGTTTTGGGGCAATTCCCAGTGTTACTCAGGGGATCATAAGTGGTGCTAGGGATAGATTCTGGGTCAGATGTGTGCAAGGCAAGAGGCTTAATTCCTATCTCTCCTTAAGACTATCTCTCTGTCCCCTGTAACACATAGCACTGTCCTCCCATTGTTCATCGATTTGCTCGAGAGGGCCCAGTAACGTCTCCATTGTGAGACTTGTTGTTACTGTGTGAATTTGATAAAATTTTGTTCACTGAAACATACCAATCCTAACCATGCAGGTCAAATAAAGTGATGAAATGTCAACTTAGCCATGGACAGATAAAGAAGTTGGATGATTAATTAAGACTGATAAAAAGTAGTATAAAATTGACACAAATGGGGGCAAGGGGAATCAGGCAGTTAGAAGAGAAGGGACCACTATGATAATGGCAGTAGAAAATGATCACTCTGTACAAGAACTGAGTACTAAAATTAGGTAAAGGGATATACATGATAACCTTACAGAGTACAGTACCTGTATTGTAAACATATTGATGAGAGGCGGGGAGGGAGAGGGAAGGAGGGAGAGAGAAGGGGAGAGAGAGAGAGGGAGGGAGAGAGAGACAGAGAGACAGAGGTATCTGCCACTGAGGCAGGCTGGGCTTGTGGTGGAAGAGGGAAATTGAGAATACTGGTGGTGGGAAATATGCACTGGTGAAGGGATGGGTGTTGGAACATGGTATGACTAAAATCCAGTCATGAACAATGAACAAGTTTGTAACTGTTTATCTCATGGTGATTTAGTAAAAAAAGTGTTTTTTAAATAGTATAAAATGGAATTTTCCATAACCTGTTCTGTGTATGCAAACAGTGGCACACACACACACATGCTTTTTTGGGTCAAAACAGACTTGGTTCTGAATGCTGGTTTCACCGTTGAGTGGATTTCAAAACCTCAGGCTAATCAATTTCCTTGAATCTCAATCCCGTATGTGGAAAATGGAGAAAACACTTATTTTATGGTAATGTTATGAGACTGAAAAACATGTTATGAGAAAATATCTACTTTATGGTAATGTTATGAGACTGAAACCAGAGACCTCCCACGCACAACTGAAATATAGAATGTACTCCAAGAAATAAGAGCTTTGATTTATTGCCAAATAAATGCAGCTGAGGACACTGAAAAGTCTTGGCATTATTTTTCAAACTTTTGTCTCAGGACATGTCATATGTGCTAAGAATAATGGACAGGTATGGAGCTTGCTACACTGGAAACTCCCAGGATTTCCTTAATATGGACGTGTGCATCAATGGGCCCATCAATGGGTAATGGGCCCAGCAGTTAAGAAATGCCAGATCATTGAGCAGCCACAGCCTAGCTCAGACATTGACATGAGGGCTGTCAGGCAGTCGAAGGGAGGAAACTACCTCTTTTGCCCTTTCCATTTTACTATTTTTTTTTTTGGAGGGCAGAGAGATAGGAGAGTGCAGGGCACTTGGCTTGCACCTGGTCAAACCTGGGTTGGATCCCCAGCATCCCCATATAGGCCCTAAGCACAGGGTCAGGAGTAAGCTCTGAGCACTTCTGGGTGTGGTCCCCAAAGTCTGCAGAAATGGAACCTAGGTGACTCTGCAAGGGGTACAGACAGTGCTGTCTCTCACTTTGATGACGGCTCCAAAAGCCCCTTTGCCGAGAAGCTGTAATTCTTCAAACTCATTGAAATATCGGGAGAACTGTCTCTGGGTGTCACTGAGGAAGGCAGCGCTGGGCAACTGGTTGCTGGGGATCACGGTCTCCACGTAATCTTGTCCTCCAGAATCTGAGATGGAACAGAAGGCCAGAGGCAAATGTGGCGTCAGAGAGGAGAAAGAGAGAGAGAAAGAGGAAGAGCGGCTACATTCAACTACAAGGGAGGCAGGGAGGGCGGTCTGTAGAAGGATCTTTTACCTGGCAGACCCTTTGACATTTTTCCTTATTGGCCTTGCCCCCAAGTGGTTAGAAATACACCACTGGTGCAGGTTTACAGCTGTGGCCCCAAGATGTTGAGTAAGGAAATAAGTGACCAGAATCAAGCCAGAACCCAAACCCAGATCTCTTCACATGTTCCTTAATCTGCTATTTGAGTAGCAGCAGGGAAATCTGGTCAAGTGGCAGAAGGCAGGACAAAAGAGTTACAGAACCATGAAAAGGGCATCCCCAGTGTCACTCCTAGCAGCAGAGACTGTTTCCTGCACACAGGGCACATGGCATGACTAGATTTCTGGACGGTTTGGCACTAAATAAAATAAACGATCCACACAGAAAAGTCTAGTTTAGGTTTAAGAGCACCTTCAAAGTGATCAGTGGCCAGAGCTGCAGAGATGGTACAGCAGGCAGGGAGCCTGCCTTGCATGCAGCTATCCCAGGTTCCATCCCTGGCAGCACACACAGTCCCCGGAGTCCTACCAGGAGTGATCCCTGAGTGCAGAGCCAGGAGTAAGCCCTGAGCACAGCTGGGTATCCGTACCCCCACCCCCTAAAGACAAAAACCGAAAAAACAAAAAACCCAAACAAAACCAAAATGATTGCTTGTCCGAAGAGCAGCAAAAAAAAAAAAAAAAAAAAAGAGTGGTAATAGACTTACCTTCAGGACTTTGTTCCTGTAAAGGCATTTTGGGCTGAGGATTTATGAAGCTGTGTTTCAATAACTGCTGAGGACTCCATCTTTCCTTGTCATCCAAGCAAACACACCTCAGTGGAAGGGAAGGAGGAACTTTAGCAACTGAAATAAATGCTAAGCTAGCAGGACTTAAAAAAATTTTTTTTTCTCAGTAACTTTTTAATTTAAAAATTAGGCTTCTGTGATTTGCATAGTTCTTCACAGCTCCCATGAACAATGTTCCAGCACCATCCCACCACCAGTGTCCACTTCCCTCTGCCAATGTCCATAGGTTCCCTCCCAGCCTCCAGTCTGCTCCCGTGGCAGACACATTAACGTTGGTCACTGCAGTTTGGTTCTCATGCTTACGGGACTGGTGGCTCTGAAGTTCAGGGATATACCAATACCAGGCCAGGGCCTTCCCTGTTGTGTCCTAAGTATAGCCAATATGCTATGCCCTGGCCCGTATCCCTGTTACTTTTTGTCCATCTCCTTTCCCTCCCCCCAACCACTCAGTTTCTTTCTGTCTCTCTTTCTTTCTGTCCTTCTCATTTCAATAATCTAGGGTCAGGAGCAATCTGTAAGATTCTATCACTTTCTTTCTTTCTTTTCTCTTTCTCTCCCTCTTTTTTTTTTTTTTTTTTGCTTTTTGGGTGTCATACCTGGTGATGCTCATGGGTTACTCCTGGCTCTGCACTCAAGAATTACTCCTGGCAGCACTGGGAATCGAACCCAGGTTGGTCGCGTGCAAGGCAAACGCCCTACCTGCTGTATTATCACTCCAGCCCCAGTATCATTGTATTTCTTTAAGTGCCATTTTGGTCACCTTCAGCATCAGGGTGCAATTAAATAAATATTTTTAAATTTCTTTACATTTTAGAGAAATCATAAAATGAAGACTTAGAAATCTTCAGATGCATATATACCTGAAGGAGAGAATAAAGACTCAACTGGGGCCCACTGCTATAGTATGTCTGTCGTTGTCTGCTTGTGTGTTATGTACAAAGTAGAAATGGTCTTATTTAAAATCAAGTGCAGCTGCTTTCATTTCTGTAAGGGGTAAGACAATGACAGGGAGCGACAGTATGAATCAGGTCAAATGGTAGCTGGAAACAGGAAAAGCAATGTAAAGGGTAAAAGAAAAAGGAGTGCAGGGGTTGGACAGAGTGAATAAAAGCTGACGGCAGGGAAAAAAAGAAACACAGCGAGAAACCAGGCAGAACAGCAGAAAGGGAAGTAAGCCGTCCTGGAGAGCTGGACAAAGACACGTCTGAAAAACCCAGACTGCTGGCCCCGTCCTGTTCATCCAAGAAACGGAGAGAACCTGGGTTTGGCCTGGACTGAGAACAAAGGGAGGGCGAAACTGGAACACACCAAATCAATCAAAAGACTTGGACAAAGTCTTCAGGCCCAAGAAAAACCTCTTGGCAAGAACTGTCTCAAAATGGATTAAAATGGCTCTTTAAATGAAACGTTCACTGACAATTTACACAGGTATAGAAAATCCTTTGAGGTGTTGTGGAGAATCCCACACATCCAGAAATTCTATCTTATTAATTACAAATTACAAAAAAAGCAGGTGGGAAAACAGATGAGGATCCATAATCATTTTTAAAGGGCTAAAAAAGAAATGTCATTCATTCATTAAGACAAAAAAATCCTTTAGGGGACTGGAGCAATAATAAACTGAATAAAATGAATAGGGTACTTGCTTTGCATATGACTGGCCCGGGTTCAATCCCTAGTACCCCAGATGGACCCCTGAGCACAGAGTCAGGAGTAGGCCCTGACTACTGGAGGGTGAGATCTAACCCCTCCACCAAGAGGCAGAACGCACTCCTAAAGCTGTTTGCTAAACAGGAGGCCTTTGCTTTAACCCCGCAGGAATCGACAGCAAAGGCGGAGCAGGTTTGGGGCTGGAGCAATAGCACAGCAGGTAGGGCGTTTGCCTTGCACACGGCAGACCAAGGTTCAATTCCCAGCATCCTATATGGTCCCCTGAGCACCACCAGGAGTTAATTCCTGAATGCATGAGCTAGGATACTCTGTGCATAGCTGGATATGACCCAAAAAGCAAAAAACAAACAAACAAACAAAAAATACAAAAGAACAAACAAACAAACAAACAAAGGTGGAGCAGGTTTTCTATAATATACAGCATATCTCTCCCCAGAGCAAGTGCTTTTGAATTTCTAGAGTATACCAGGCAGTTTCCAAAAAGTAGTTTGAAAACCTTTGTTTTTGGGTCACACCCAGTGAAGCTCAGGGGTTACTCTTGGCTCTGCACACAGGAATCACTTCTGATGGGGCTCTAGGGACATGAGAGCCTGGGATTAAACCTGGGTGGCCACATGTGAGATGTACCCCGTGTATGATTGCACCAGGGCTCTGAAAAACTATCATTATAATAAGTCCAAGAGGGAAGTTAAGGAAATGACAAACATGGTAAGAGACCAGCACATTTACACCAGAGAAAGGATAGGAAGAATGACCCCTAACCCAGTTACTCTTTCCAGCTGTCACAACTCCCCACAAGCACCCACACACTCGGCACAACCCAAAATATAGGAGTCAACTGCGACTGGAGAGACAACCTCACCAACACTCACTTCTTGAGGAAATCTTGAAAGTCCGAGGGCAGGTCGTGAGGGATGACCACGGGGTATTCCCCACACTCCTGTCCTTGGCTGAGGGTGAGCAGCAGCAGGCCGAGGCGCCACACGTCCCCTTTCTTGCCTGTCTTGTAAGGGAGGGCACTGTCACTGAACCGCACGCGGGTTTGCTGGAAAACGTCTTCCTTGCAAATGTCCGCGAGGCGCTTAGAAATGCTGTAGTCTGTGATCTTGATGGTGCCCTCTGCGTCCACCAAGACGCTGGAGGCGCTCAGGACCTTGTGCACCACAGAATTGCTGTGCAAATAGTCCAGGCCCGACAAGAGCTGAGCTGCGTACTTGCGGAGCTGGTGCACGGGGAGGGGGCCTGTGTGGCGCAGGTGTGCTGCCAGGGAGACCCCGTTGATGTGCTCCACTAGGATGTCCACCACGAGGGAGCTGTCTTGTTCTTTGAGATTCATTGCAAAGTAGCGTACCACATTGGGATGGCTCAGTTTTACCAGGGAGTTGAATTCCGCTTCTGCCCCTTGAATCTGGAGGGAGAGGGAGAAAGAGAGGAAGAGAGGAAGGATGAGGGTGGGAGAGAGAGAGAGAGTGAGAGAGAGATAGAGATATATAGAGAGAAAATAATAAAACACACATAAGACAGACAGTACTGTTTCGTATTGAAAGTGGTTTTTAAAAAATTCAGTTTTAGGGGAAAAAGATTATATCCTGAATTAAATCTTAAGCTATATGGTTAATGTAAGAGTTCAGAAAGATGGCAAGGGGCCACAGTGACAGTACAGAAGGTAACATGTTTGCCTTGCATGACCCAAGTTCAATTCCTGGTATCCTACATGGTCCCTGGAACACTGCCAGAAGTGATCCTTGAGAGCAGAGCTAGGAGTAACCTCTGAGCACTGCTAGGAGTGCCCCCAAAATAAATGAACAAACAAAAAATGACAAAAATTAAATTTCTTCTCAACACTTTTTTTTGGGGGTGCAGAGATCTCCCTGCAGAATCTCAGGCAGAATATCCCGCTTTGAGCTATATCTCTACCTCTCAACTTCTTTTATTGTAAAACCCAGTATTCATGGGCCAGGGAGAGAGCTCACAGGGCTAGAACATACGCTTTGCACATGGAGCCCCAGGTTTGAAACTTGGCACCACATGGTGTTCCTGCCATACCCCCATACCTTAGGCAGAAGCACAGCCAGGAGATGTTCCAGCACAGGAGCATTGTGCCAAGAGCACCCTGTCCTAGAAACACTGGGTGTGGTCCCCAAAACAAACAAACAAACAAACAAACCACAAACCTACTGTGCAAGCATTGTAAATAAATAATGAGGCTTTAAAAGCTGCTTCTTATACTATGGACATCGGGGAATGGAAAAGAAGCTATTATTTTGGGAGGAACCTAGTATGAAGGGGGCTACCCAGGGAGGCTTAGATAATGTGGAGCTGGGGATCAAACTCAGGGCCTCTACATGCAAAGCACACACTCCAGAGCTTCAGGCCATCTCTCCAGTCCAGAAACATTTGTAAAAGAAATTCATAACCTAGGAATTCACTGCCTCTGTGGTACTCATTTCGCTTTGTTTCAGTTTTGGTTTGGGGCCCACACTTGGCAATGCTCAGGGCTTACTTCTGGCTCGATGCTCAGGGATCACTCCTGGGGGTGTTCAGAGGACCATATGGGGGATGAGGGGGCTACCTCGGATCCAACCCAGGCATGCTAGGCCAGGATCTTCCCTGCTGTGCCCTCTCTCCACCTTCTCCATGGTACTTTTTAAAATTTTTTATTTTTTTTAATTAGTGAGACACCAGGAGGTACAGTTGTAGACTTACAAATTTTGTCCTTGGGTTTCAATTATACAATGATCAAATACCCATCCCTCCACCAGTGCCCATTTTCCACCACCACGGATCCCAGTATCCCTCCCACCCCCCATTCTCCCCATCCCACCCTTCCTCTGTGGCAGGGCATTCCCCTCTGTTCTCTCTCTCCTTTTGGGTGTTGTGGTTTGCAAAAGAGGCATGGTACTTTTACTTTTGTTCTTTTTGTTTCCTTTTTTTCCCTCTCTTCTCTTTTTGCTTTTAGAGGCGGTCTCCCCAGCAGTGCTCAGTCTCAGGACCACCCTGGGGGTGCTCGGGAGACCATGGAGTTCTGGGAATCGAGCCCAGGCCTTTTGTCAAGAGACATGTGCTCCAGCCCTCTTAGTTTCCTATCTCCCTGGCCCCTTTTAATTTTTCAATTTTATTTTGGAGGTAGCACTGGTTAACAAACACTGCATGTTTCTAGAGGGCAAGTTTATACCTCTTTAAATTTATGTTACCCTACCACATGGAGAGATAGCACAGCGGGTAGGGTGTTTGCCTTGCACGTGGCAGACCCGGGTTCGATTCCTCTATCCCTTTCGGAGAGCTCGGCAAGCTACCGAGAATATCCCGCCCACACAGCAAAGTCTGGCAAGCTCCCTGTGGCATATTCAATATGCCAAAAACAAGTCTCATAATGGACGTTACTGGTGCCCACTCGAGCAAATCAATGAACAATGGGAGGACAGTGGTACAGGACAGTGCTACACTGCTACCACACCCATACACATCACTGAAGTACCAGAAGCCCCATGTCACATTCCACTGGACTCTAAAGCCTGGTCCTTGGTTCCCAAATTACCCCTCCCTCTGGAAAACTCAGTACTGTGGTCAGAATTCAAGGACTGTGTGGAATTGACCTTTCTTTTTGCTTGAAAACTGTAGCACTATAGCACTGCCCTCTCGTTGTTCATCAATTTGCTTGAGCGGGCCCAGTAATGTCTCCATTGTGAGACTTGCTGTTCCTGTGTTTGGCATAATGAATATGTCACGGGTAGCTTGCCAGGCTTTGCTGGGCGGGCGAGATACTCTCGGTAGCTTGCCGGGCTTTCTGAGAGGGGCAGAGGAATCAAATCTGGGCTGACAGGGTTGGCTGTGTGCAAGGCAAACGCCCTACCCACTGTGCTATCGCTCCAACCCTTGCTTGAAAACATTTATTTAAAAATAAGTTGGAATTCTTCTGATTATGAAGACTCCATCAAAACTTTAATGAGCACTAACACAAAATAAAACATCCCCAAATGATCTTTGTCACCACCCAAAGCTAATTATTAGGATATCGGTATTCTTAGCTTTTCTTTCCTATTGTAAACACACACATTTTCCTAAGCACAATGCTTTACCTGCTGTTTCGTAGCCTCTTTATTTTATATAACATTGCAGAAGACAATATTAGATGTTCTCCCTAAACTCAGTATTACAAATTAACTTTAAAATTTTTCAGGGTCTGAAAATTGAACTTTGAAGCAATATTTCAAACAACTGCAAAAAAAGAAAAAGAAAGAAAGAAAGAGTACAATTTGAAGTCCTGTTTAGTTCTAGTTTGAGCGATGGCTAGTAACCTCATAATAAAGGCTGAGAAAAGAGATTTAGAAGGCAGTGGCAAAGGTTTTGAACAACGTTATAGGAATTTGAAAGAGACAACAGGGGGCTAAGAAAACACTTGTAAACAGAGGCTGGGATTTGGTTTAAGTGGTACAGCACGCCTAGCCTAAATAAGACCTGGGTTCAACCTCTGTACCAAATGCCCCACTCCATCCCTAACATAGTGCTGGTGGTCCTGAGTATTTTGGAGTTGGTCCCTGTATAAAAGAACCATAACTAAAAGGAAGGCACTGATCCCCCACCTTCCAGTGGCCAAACAGCCCTCAGATCATTCTGAATCACCCTGTGAGCCCTCACAAGCAGAGCTGTTCTGCATGTGATCTCCCGCAATTCATCCAGGCTTTTGCCCAGAGAGCTAACTTAGTGGCTTACCTGCTTCCGGCACTTATCAATCTTTTCTTTTTCTTGACTCGTTAGGAAAGAACCCATTTGTTTCTGCCACTGAAGCACCCACTCGTACAATAGGACAAAGCCTCCCGTGGCTGTCTCCAGAGCATTGTAAACCAATTTTCCAAGCTGGTCATCACTGCCTGCCCATTAAAAAGAAAATATAATGAAATCTCTCCATATATTATCTGCGAGGATAACAAAAGAGGGGAAACATAATGCCTTACTTAATAGTGGGTACCAGGTACCCAAACGCAGAAAATACAATTTCATGTAATACTTGTTGTTTGTGATGAATTTTTAATGTTCAAAAATATAGTCCAAGCTCCATGATACTGATTAGTACAAAGAGAAGAGGAGAGGATCAACAATGAGGTCCTCAAAGCACACCAATGCTTCTTCCTACTGGCCACTGTTCACAGTGTTACCATTACCCAGGTCGGCTCTGATGGGGACAGTTACTTAACAGCCACAGAACAATCATGTGACAGAGGAAATGGGAACAGGAAGCTCCACCAAGACAATTCCATCAACACTGGTGAGAGTGCATAACATCACATTTTATTAATTAGGAAATTTGTATACATCAATGATTTTATGAACACAAAAATGGGAATGTTCTCAGTAAGCCCAAGCTGGCTGACAATTTCAAGGCTAAGAACTGGAAGTGACATTTAAGATTGAAAGCTAAAGAGATTTATAGACATATGGCTTCTATTTGTGCCTGAAAAAGCTAAATTTCTCTAACACTAAAGTTTCTTAAAACATATTTTCCATTAACGACAAATTTTTTTTAAAAAAATCACCAAAAAATTGGATGTGGAGAAATTATCACCCACAGTATTACAACTGTGCTTTCTTTCTTTTTCTCTTCTAGTTCTCTCTGCCCTATTTCCCTCTAATTTATCAAATAATAACACAGATGGCTGGATTTCTCTCCCTCGACACTACTAACGTCTCTGTTGCTGTTGCTTTTGACCATACTCTGTGTAAGGGCGAAACTGATGCCATGAGAGGCGGCAGAAATGAGAAAAATCAGATAGGCCTCTAGTTCAGTTGCAAGGTGTTTGCCTTGCCGTGTGCAAGGCAAACACCCTACCCGCTGTGCTATCACTCCAGCCCCAATTGATTCTATCTTATGTATTTTATTACCTATAATAATTTTGTGGCAGGTTTGATTCCTCTGCTCCTCTCAGAGAGCTCGGCAAGCTACCAAGAGTATCTTGCCCACACGGCAAGCTATCCGTGACTTATTACAGTAACAACAAATCTCCCAATTTGTTGTGAGACATTACTAGTGACCGCTCGAGCAAATTGGTGAACAACAGGAGGACAGTGACAGTGACAGTTTCTCTTTAAAGACTGAAAGGTAACCTATACAGAAGAAAACATGTTCTCAGTAAAAATACTTTGAGAAGTACTTTAGAGAACTGGTTTACCTAAATTTTTTTTTTAAAGTACTGTTTTGGCTGCCTACCCCCCACCCAGGCTCAGAGAGAATCACCTGATAACTCTCAGCCCACTGGACAAGATGGTTGAGTGTCAGCATGAGAGCATGCAGTGCTGTGAAACACTAGGGCACTGTGGGGGTGCCTGGGGGATTCCAGGTACATACCTAGTGATGCTTGGGGGGCCATATGGCACCTGGGATGGAAGGCTAACCCTCGTACTAGCTCCTTACCTAGACTGATCTGAGAACACTTTTTAAGCCACAGAAATGCAGTCAGTTTAAACTAAAATCATTTGAACTAAAATGATTTCTTATGCTAGTTTTAAGTAACTCCTGCCATTCTTAAGTCAAAGGTTTGGAAAAGGTTTCCTGATGTTTGAAACTTGGTCAAGCAAAGAAAATAGCTTTGATGGGGACAGGTTGGAGACGGGAGACTTCATAATTCCCAGATGGAATATGTGTTATTCACATCAAGTTCCATCAAATGTATGAGCGACATTGCACAGTGTTGAACAATCCTGATCTCCCCATTGGGTCTAGAAGAGTCTTTTACAATTGCTCTTGATAAGCATTAAAAAAATAGTAATAATTCTAATATAGCTTCCCTCGTCAGTCACTTGTGTATAGAGGATCATAAAAGGAACAAAAGGACACACTGCACTGAAGTGGAAAAAAAACTGGGTCAGCATGAGAACGCTGCTCAGAACACACTTATATGCCCTGCAGCAGTTACTTCTACTGGGGCTGGAGTGATAACACAACCGGTAGGGTGTTTGCCTTGCATGCGGCCACCCCGGGTTCGATTCCCAGCATCCCATATGGTCCCCTGAGCACCGCCAGGAGTGATTCCTGAGTGCAGAGCCAGGAGTAACCCTTGAGCATCACCGGGTATGACCCAAAAAAGCAAAAACAAAACAAAACAAAACAAAAACAAACATAAGTACCCAGTTATTTTTACTACAGTCTCCACAGCGTTTCAGTCATGTTCACAGAGAAGACCCCTGTTCTCTGCTTCTGACAGCTTGAACTGGGAAGGCAAGTGTTTGCTGAGGGCTTAGAAAAACGTTCCAGAGAGAATTCAGACTGATTCCAGGTTTGGGGTGTGGCTAGGCAGCAGAACATATGCTGAATCTATGTGAGGCTCTGGGCAACAGCCATGAAAACAAGTAAACAAAAAGTGAAGATATATTTTGAAGAAAATCTAGACTCCAGGGATGGAAATGAAATCAATAAATCTATATTTATATAAATGTATTTTATATAAACTGAGGTCAGGGAGGTAGTTCAAATGATAAGGCACAGGCTGAGCCCCAAGACTGATCCCTGGCACTGCACGGAGCACCCAGCACTGCTGGTGTAGCTCTGGGTGGCTCCTGAGCTCTGGTGGGAATAATATATATATATGTATATATATATGTATGTATATCTACATATCTACATTTATGGGCTGGATAGCATAGCGGGTAGGGTGTTTGCCTTGCACACAGCCGACCCGAGTTCGATTCCTCTGCCCCACTCAGAGAGCCCAGCAAGCTACTGAGAGTATCTCCCCCACACAGCAAAGCCTGGCAAGCTACCCATGACGTATTCGATATGTCAAAAACAACAAGTCTCGCAATGGAGACGTTACTGATGCCCGCTGGAGAAAACAGATAAGCAATGGGAGGACAGTGACGGTGACATATATTTATATGTATCTTTGTATTACCTCTTATAAAATTAGTTTGCTATAAAGTACTTTTATTATAAAAGTGGTTTATATTATGGTCACCACGCTAATTTTTATATATAACTTATATAATAGAAAAAATAACATGGTGATATTACTAAAAAACAGAGAACAAAAACCATCTCAAAGTGCAAATGCTATCTTCGAATAAGATTATTCATTAAAGTGAATCTACATAATGGCGAGAATAAGAGACCTGGTTAGGGTAATAAGCTTGCATTCATCTGCATTCCTGATTCCCCCCAGACTATTAAAAGCAGTGAGCTTTAGGCTTCAGTTCATGCATCTGAAATGCCTCTTGAGTCAAGGCCAGCCTCAGGTTCAAAGCCAATCAGGACTGCTTAGGTCTTGAACTTGCCCAAATGGTTGCTTTGTCTGAACAGCACAAGCTCTGTGCTTTATGTGCTGAATCTGGTATGCTCTGGGCTGCTCTCAGCCAGCCAAGGTTAAGTGTTCAGTTCATAGACAACTCAGATATTTTAATTCTTTCCTCCCTCCACTTTCCTGTGCTTGCTCCCTAGAAACTCCCTCTTTTTCTGTGTTTCTATAAAGAGGAAGGAAAAAAGACAGCAAGAAGAAAACTCATTTTAAGTCATCTAGTTAGCTCTGATAGAACAGTCATGGTATGGAAAATTAAGATTCATTGTCAAATTCAGAATATGCAAGTGCTTCCTACATTGATTAGCACCTATGACTGATAGGTGATCTGATGAAAGATAAGGTAAGACTGATGAAAGATAATTTATGCTTTGGGCAAAGGAACCAGATACTAAAAACTGGATTTTGATATAAACAATTTGAACCTTCGACTGCTCAGCCAGCTTCACTTCAAATAGCCATCAGTACAGAAACTGCTAAATTACACACCCCAGGTTAGGGAGATAGTTCAAAGGGATGGGGCACATGCTTTGCATGTGAGGGGTCCAGGTTTAATCCCCGGCACTGAGAGCAGGCCCTGAGATCAAGCTGGGAGTAGCCCTAAGCAACCCTTAGTGTGGTTTCCAAATAAACATACTGGCAAAAAAGACACTCAGAGAGTGATTTCAGTTTCTTTTTCTAGAGGCTACACCTGGTAGTGCTCAGGGGCCAAGATCACTCCTGTAAAGTGTGAGGGGAGAGGGGGCATGCCTGCCAAAATCAAACTCTGGGGCTTACATGCGCTCTACCACAATCTCTGCAACTCAAATAAAGTGGCTTTCCTTGTCAGGTATAGATATGCCAAGCAAAATAATGCTAAGTAGGTCTCTTTTTTAAAAAATCTATTTATCATGTTTTTGGTGGTGGTGGTGGTGGGGTTCACATCTGGTGTACTCAGGGCTTACTCCTGGGTCTGTGCTCAGGGATCACTCCTGGTGGGTCTCAGGGGCCATACGGGGTGCTGGGGATTGACCTGGGTTGGCTAAATGCAAGCTAAGTGTCCTGGCTCTGCAAACAGATCTCAACCTAAGAAAATGGGACTTGGTATTCAGAGACCCCGGGAACAAGAGCTCATTTTGTCACACCTAATTCATTCATGAAAGATGCACATGACATAAAACTTTACCAAGTCAGAATATTTCTTTTTCTTTTTTTGCCACACCCAATGGTGCTCAGGGATGACTCCTGGTGGGGTTCAAAGGACCATAAGGACTATGAGAGATGCTAGGGACTGAATTCAGGTTCGGTGTGTAGGTGTGTACAAGAGCTCTACACACGGTACTATCTCTCTGGACTTCCCAATTTAGAGTATTTCAACAATGCTCAATGCAAAATGGTAAGTGAATTACAAAAGACAAACTTCAAATTTTCTCCTGTTAACCATAATTCGAAGAATCTAAATTTTAATTTACATCTTTCAGAAGGAAAAAAAACATATTTTCTCCTTCTGGTCCTTAGAAACGGGAGCTGGCATGACTGATTATTGGTTTACTCATCTTGGGAAGGCACTGGTCCACACGCCACCCACTCAGCCTGCTCCTTCACATAAATGTTTGTCAAGAGAATTGTTCAAATGAAGGGAGCTGGTTTACTCACCAATACACTTCCCTTTGTGCACTAGGAGTGGGTCTGGACCACCCACGGAGAAATACAGGATTTCATAGGAGCCAGGAGAATCTTCACCACTACAGAGAGAATACTGACGGTCTCGCCTTCGAAACAAATTTGGACAATTTTTTTTTTAAACCTCAGGTGCATAGAGAAATTTGTTTATTTACTTAATTTTAATTTTTTGAATCACCGTGAGATAGACCATTACAAAGCTGTTCACGACTGGGTTTCAGTCATACAATGTTCCAACACCTGCCCCTTCACCAGTGCACATTTCCCACCAATATCCTCAGTTTCCCTTTTGTCACCACTTCCGCACAAGCCTGCTCTATGGCAGTATGGTAGGCATCTCTCTATCTCTCTCTCTTTTTCTCTCTCTCCCCCATTCCCTCCCCCTCTCTCTCCATCTCTCCCGCTTTCTCCCCTCTCTCTCTCCCCCACTCCCTCCCCCAGCTCTCTCCCTCCTTCTCTCTCTCCCTCTCTCCCCCCTCCCTCCCCCAGCTCTCTCCCTCCTTCTCTCTCTCCCTCTCTCCCCCCTCCCTCCCCCCCTCTCTCCCTCTCCCTCTCCTCCTCCCCTTTTGGGCATTACAGTTTGCAATTCAGATACTGAAAGGTTATCATGTTTTTCTCTTTACCTCTTTCAGCACTCAGATCCTGTCTAGAGAGATCATTTCCAACTATCACAGTCACAGTGGTCCCTTCTCTATCCTAACTTGTGGCAAGCTTCCACCTGTGGACCAGTCCCTCTGGCCCTTGAACAGAGAAATGTATTGCCCCTCAGTGTTCTTATTCCTTGTTACCCATCTCTTCTAGGAACTATAGGAACTGGGTTGAAGGCACTACTGGAAACATAAATTTAAATTAAATTTACTTAAACTTAAGCTGAAATTTCCCCCCTCCCCCCTTGGGGCAAGAGACTGTGTTCCACAGACCAAGTGCATGCTTTTATGTGGGAGTTCGGGGTTCAAGTACCTCTGTGAGTGACCCTGCAGCCAGGGGCAGTTCTCGAACGCTGCTGTGTGTGACCCCAAAACAAAGCAAAAATTCTTTCTTCGGGCCAGAGATGCAGTGTAAGGGTCTGTTCTGCACACACAAGGCCCCGGGTTCAACCCCCAGCTCCACAGAGAGGAGACCTTCATTCTTTAACTGAGAAGCCACTCTGAGGTACTCAACAGATGTGGCTGCTGGCGGCAGTCCCAGGTAACAAACACACAGGACTGTCCTATCAGCAGAAGGTGCCCCAGCAGCTGCTCAGCTCGGTTCCACAGGATCCCCCAGCTCACTCCTGAGCAATGCACACTGGAAGGCTAAAATGGGAGGCATGAGCTCCACCAGTGCTGGGACTCCAGCTGGGCCCAACCTCTGAGCCCACCCAGTCTGTGACAAATACTCCCCCTCCTCCCCCCACCCCCCGTCTCCCATGACTTCGCCCAAGCTCTCAAGTCCCAACCTCCTCTCCTTCTCTACCTTCCTTTTTTAGTGTTTTAAAAATCTTGAATAGGGCAGCAATTGCTGGGAAGCTAGCTTTTTGGGCAAATAACAGCAGCAGCAACAACAACAACAATAATAATAATAAATCAGGGATGGCACTGCAGGGAAGCGCACTTAAACGCATTTATGAAGCCATGGACAGGTCTCGAGGAAACAGCTCTTAGATCCTAATCATGAACTTCACTTCTCGACTGTCACCAAGAAGTGAGACATGGAGCCCACACTTCCCACTGCACCCCACTGGTGAGTGGCTTTGCTAGTTCTTTGTCCCAGACTTTAGTTTAGGAGAAACTAAAAGTCTTATGATGCATTCTCCACAGTTTCTTCTGCCCTTGCTCCCCGTCACTTGGTCCCGGAGATCCCAGCTAGCTCTCTGACCAGCTCTGTCCCCCGGACTGGAGCCTGTAAGCTGCTCCGCCCTCGTCCTCTGCATTGTAATCTCCTTGATCCTGTGCTCCTGATCCATCTTCCTCCCGTCCTTTGGCTTCAGATTCCCACACTGCTCTCTCCACTTCTGTTCCACTTTCTCCTCAGGCCAGTCGCTGAAACCCTACCTCCCTTGGCCCTTTTCCTTTGGCTGAGGCGAAGTCATTCGTTCTGCCCGCCTGGCCAAACACACGCCAGTCACCCTGGGCTCCTCTATGGCTCGTCCAAACCGATCTCCAAGCATTGGCCTCTCCTCTGCCCACCTCGATCATCACCAACATTCCCCAGCACGCAGATTAGTGGTCTCTCTAACTCTCATCCTATGCCAGTTCCCCTCTCCAACCCCCACACACATGGCCGACAAGACCTATCATGAGCGGAGTCTCTGACACACCTATGGTGTGTCCACATATTCTAGACATCAGCAAATGACGAACATGTTGTTGCTTAAATTTCTACTTCTCAAGTTACCCTGCAGCCAGCGACACACTGAAATTTATGGAGAAAGGGATAAAAGCAAAGATCTGAAATGATATGGTAGGCTTATTAACACACCACCTAATTGGGCATATAAGCACCTCCCAATCAGCTCTGTTCCTGCCTATGGATGGTGGTAACAGTCAATTTTTTTTTTTATTAGTGAAACACCATGAGGTACAGTTGTAGACTTACAGATTTTTGTGCTTGGGTTTCAGTTATACAATGATCGAGTACCCATCTCTCCACCAGTGCCCATTCTCCACCACCAGTAATCCCAGTATCCCTCCCACCCCCCATCTCCCCCATCCCACCCTGCCTCTGTGGCAGGGGATTCCCTTTTGTTCTCTCTCTCCTTTTGGGTGCTGTGGTTTGCAAAAGAGGAATTGAGTGGCAATCATGTTCGGTCTATAGTCTACTTTCAGCATGAATCTCCCATCCTGGGCGGATCTTCCCAACACCCTTTATTTGGTGCTCCCTTCTCTATCTGAGCTGCCTTTTTCCCTAGCATGTGTGGCTGGTCTCCAAGCCATGGAGTAAACCGCCTGGTACTTATCTCGGCTATTCTTGGGTGTTAGTCTCCTATTTTGTTACTTTATGTTCCCCAGATGAATGCAATCTTTCTGTGTCTATCCCGCTCTTTCTGACTCATTTCGCTTAACATGATACTTTCCATGTAGTACCACTTGTGTGTAAATTTCATGACTTCATCTTTTCTAACAGCTACATAGTACTCCACTGTGTAGATGTACCAAAGTTTCTTTAACCAGACATCTGTTCTCAGGCACTCAGGTTTTTTCCAGATTCTGGCTATTGTAAACAGTGCTGCAATGAACAAACAAGTGCAGATGCACTTTGACTATACTTTTTTGCCTCTCTGGGATATATTCCCAGGAGTGGTATTGTACCCTAGCTTTTTTGAGGGAGCTGGTAACAGTCAATTTTGTCTAGATCATGAGCACTAGCAATGCTCAGGGCTTACTTCTGGTTCTGTGCTCAGGAATTACTCCTAAAAGTACTCAGGGAACCATATCTGGTGCTGGGGACCAAACCCCGGTTGGCTGTGTGTAAGGAAAGCTCCTTACCTGCTGCACTATTGCTTTGGTCCCTCCTACCCACTATTTCTATGCTTCGGCATAGAAAAGTGGAAAAGAATGGAACAACTCAGGGGACCAGGAGCTGCGCTGGGTGCAACTTGGGGGCTCTTTCTGTTTTCTCACCTACAGGAGGTAGGGCTTCACATGTGCAAGTCCCACCCCCATCTCCCCAGTCTACTTTAATTCTCTACTGTGTACCAAACATTATCTGACAATTTCTTATTTGCCTGTGGACAGTCTCCTTTAACCAGAAAACAAGGCCCATGAATCAGAGTCCTTCCTGATCTTTCTTACAGAACCCCCAGCATGATTAAGCATGATGTTGGGAGCTTAGTAAGTGCTCATTAAAGTATCTGTTGAATGAGTGAATGAAGGCCCAGGACTCTGCATGCTACTCCTTTCAATTACTGTCAATTCATATAATGTCCAACAAGGAGACCATCTGTGCTATTTTTACTAACTGAAATAATAAGAATAAAATCAAATACTTAATTTCCTTTGACAGTCTAACCTATAAGGACCAACAGATAGGAAGGAACAAAAAGGTTGTAGAAGGAGGACTGTCTTGGGGTCAGAGGTGCGGTCACTGGTATGACACTTGCCTTGCATGTACAAGGCCCTGCCTGGGCTCTTGAACCACCGTCACATGGTTCCCCACACCACCAGGAGTGACCTCTACCAGAAAGAAAAAGTCAGATCACATAACACAAGAGACAAGGATTAAAGAGTTTTAGGCTATATTGTAAAGAAGGATGAATTATAAAACTAGTTTTAAAATACCAGGAATGTGTTCAAACATGAAAACTATGTTTTACACTGTGAATAGGTTTACTTCTACAGATTTTTAAAAAGTTAATACTCTTACCTGAAAGTGCCATTAAGTTTTACTATACTTTACTTAGGTTTTTTTGGATCCACTGTTGCCCAGAGATCACCCTGGTTCTGTGCTCAGAAAACCATCAGGGGTGCCAGGGATCAAGCTGGGGTCAGCTGCTTGTGAGGCCAGCGGCCAACCCACTGCATTATCTTACCAGCCCTTTAAATAATTTTAATTCTTCTCCGCCATCTCAGAAACACCAGGGGCTTACCGAGCCCTTCCTGAGGAGCTGGTTCGATGTTTACCATTTCCTGCCAGGTCAGGGGAGCCCCCTTGCAGATTGGCAGCGAGCTTGTGTGCCCCCAGATCTCTCCGACAGGTGTGATCTAGGTTTGACAAACTAGCAATTTCCAAACGTTCCTAGAAAAAGGACAAGGAAAATCGAATTTAGATGTAAGTCACAAGGGAAAGGTGATTATGAACTATAAATTCAGTACAGAGGGCAAATCCTATGTGGTTCCCTGAGCACTGCCAGGAGTAATTCCTGAGTGTAGAGCCAGGAGTAACCCCTGTGCATCGCCGGGTGTGACCCAAAAAGCAAAAAAAAAAAAAAAACTCAAAAAACCCAAAAAAAACAACAAACTCAAATACGTAGCTGTTCAAGGACTGAAGGCCAGGTTATAGTTTGAAGATAACATGAATACTATTCATGATAATGCTTAAATTATTGAAATAGGGACCATGATCACATCTCAAGGGTCTAGAGAGCATGTTGAGGCCGAGTTCAATCCTGGCACCTAAGTGTGTCCCCTTGCCCAGTGGTCCCAGAGATCACCCTGGTTCTGTGTTCAGAAAACCATCTGGGGTGCCAGGGATCTAAGAAAGATCTCAGAATAAGTGTGCAAAGTGTGAAGAGCACAAGCAAGGATAAGATAAGCAGAGGTTATATAAGATAAACAGAGATAAGCAGAAGGAAGTGCCTTCTGATCGAGAGAGAAAAAGAGAGAAAGAGAGAAAGAGAGGGAGAAAGAGAGAGAGAGGAAAGCAGAAAGAGAGGAGGAGGGAAAGAAAGAGCAGAGAGGCCGAGAGGACACAGGGATACAGACTGGGTGACCGAAGATTCAACGGACTCATGTCCCTCCCATTCATATACAGGAGGACAGACTCTGAGCTGAGGGGAGCACCACATGAGACAGACAGAGAGAGAGAGAGAGAGAGAGAGAGAGAGAGAGAGAGAGAGAGAGACTACCTACATAGGTCTTACCACTAACAAATTAAGGGATGGGAAAAAAATGTGTCACAGTCAGTGTCACCTGCCAAGGTGACAAAAGCTGGGTGGTAGAAAGACCAAATATGAAGCCAGGTACTGCTAATTTATATACTAGTGCCACCTCCTGTGATGTCCTATCAGTTCCTTTAAGTGCTACCGATCCATGAGAGTGAAAGAGGAAAATTTTCTCTGCATCTTTCAAAACATATATAACTCCCCCCCCCACCCCACACATCTCAATTGAGTTGGACTCAGAAAACAATATTGCAACAACCTTTAAAAAAAATACTCTTTTGTATCCCTTCTCAACACAGAGTGAAATGCATGGACCCATATGTTCTCTTTCCATTCACTCCTCAATAGGAACAAATAGGTTTTTTTTTACCTCAGTGTTAGGGTTCCAGGGGTTTAGGCATGTGGCTCAGTAGCAGAGCACCTGCCTTGCAGGCATGTGCCAGGGGTTGGGTCCCCAGAACCAGCCCACATGCAGAGTGCTCTCCTAGAAGCCCTGGGCTCGCTGGTGTGACAAGACTGAAGTTGCACCATAACCAAAGTGCATCTCAGCTGAGGAGGGCAGCCTTCAGCAAGCACAGCAGTCCCGGGCTTCACAACAGTGACGAAGGGAAGGGAAAGGGGGAGAAAGAACTGCAGGGGCCAGAGAGATAGTGCAGCGGGTAGGGCACTTGCCTTGCAGGCAGTCAACCCCAGTTCAATTCCAGGCACAACATAAGGTCCCCTGAGCACTGCCACGAGTGATCTCTGAGTCAGGAGTAAGCCTGAATCACAGCTGGGTGTGGCCCAAACCCACCCCTCACCCCTGCAAAAAAAAAAAATTGGTTTGGGTTAATCATCCAAGCTCTCAAAACCTTTATTTCATTTGATTGTAGTCACATAAGCTTAATCATCAGGTAACACACAATACTAAATTTCGCTTCCTATCTGGGGGAATCTAAGCTACTTTGAATGAGATTTGGGGGAATTTTTAACGCTTCCTTTTAAGCTTCAGTACTGACAGTGAAGCAGGAGGGAATATATCCACAGTGATAAAAAGATTTTATGGTCAGCAACTATTTTATTATGGGAAACTTGTTTACAGCACCTGTTTAGCCATTTCTTTCCTCTTTTTCTCTTCTTTGATCTCTTCTTTCCGTCTCTCAATCTCATGAAGGATTTCACGTTGCTGAAATGAATCACAGCACCCATCAAATGCCGGCCTCTGATACCCATACAAGAAGTCAATTCAGAATAACAGAAATCAGGGTTGGAGCGATAGCACAGCAGATAGGGCATTTGCCTTGCACGTAGCTGGCCTGAATTCGATTCCCAGCATCCCTTGTGGTTCCCCAAGCACTGCCAGGTATAATTCCTGAGTGAAAAGCCAGGAGTAACCCCTGTGCATCGCCGGTGTGATCCAAAAAGAAAAAAAACACAGAATAATGGAAATCTCTAAGAATTTCAACAACTCAGACAGCTCAGCCTTCCTGAGACAGAGAAAACAGAAGCCCCAGTTACGTCAGCTTTGACTGGAGCTCTGAGGCATCATTCCCATTAAATGCAGCCCTACACTGAGTTTCTGGAGTACTTACTCCCACTCCTCTTGCTTCCAGGGGGAATTCTCCCCAGAGCAACACGGCTGGCAGCTCGCTTCTCCCCACTCACTCAGCCCCGTATTTATGAAGTGTGCAGGTCTACACAGAGCAGCACTTGTGCCCGAGTGTGGGGCAGCAGCAGAGGGAGGCTGAGTCAGCCTCAGTTCACCCCAGCCCACAGCCCTCTGGCCTACAGCCACAATCTCCAAATCTGCGTTCTCACTATTAGAAGAAGTACTTTGATCTCTTCCACCTGTCCGATAGATGTCTATTGCTCAAATGGTTCTGATTTAGGTAGTAGTTTCTTTCTTTTGTTTTTTTTTTTTCTTTTTTGGGGGGTCACACCCAGCAATGCACAGGGTTACTCCTGGTAGTGCTCAGGGGACCATTTGGGATGCTGGGAATCAAACCCGGGTTGGCTGTGTGCAAGGCAAACTCCCTAACCACTGTGGTATCACACCAGCCCCTAGTAGTTTATCTCTAAGTAGTTAAAAAAAAAAGGAACTGCAAAAGACACAAGAACACAATGAACAAAATAAAATGGAAAAAGGCAAATAGAACCAAGAGCAAGAAACTAAGAAAAGCAGGGGAAAAAAAGGTCTAGCAGTAATGGACTAATGACAACAAATAATGAAACTTATAGGAAGCAAATGAAAAAAGCTTTTTTCCAGGAAAGGGGGGGGAAAACCATAAAGGGGCTGGGAAGACAGCACAGTGGATGGGTTATATGAGGACCTGGGTTCCATCCCTAGCACCACAGGATCTACTCAGAACTGATCAGGCCCTAACACTGACCCATCCTACCTGGTTGGTGCCACTCCTGGGAGCTCCCGAACACGGCTGGGTGGCCCCCAAAACAAACACACGTAAAAACTCGAGGACTGAAGAGATTGTCCCGCGAGTAAGGCCTCGCACATGGATGACCTGGACTGATCTCTGGAATCCTATATGGTTTCCTGGACCCTGCCAGGCACGATCCTTGAGTACAGAGCCAGAAATAGGCCCTGAGCACCACCAGGTGTGGCCCCCAAATAAAAAAAAAATTGGAAAAACATTCCTGGTGGGAAGTCTGACCATCCTCTGGGTGTGGCACTTACTAAATGAAAATGTAAGTTCTGGTGCAATTTCAATCAAAACCCGAGAGGGTTTATTTGCTTGATTTTGAGAGAGCAATTTACAATTCATTTGTAAGAATAAATGGGTTAGAATGAGGAAAAAATTATGGAAGATAAAGGGACAGAGGTTAGAGCTTGACTTTTCAGATAGTCAAACATCGAAGAGATAGAACAATTCAGAATATGACAGAGACTCTGGGGGGAAAAAAACCCAACCCACACGAATTGACAAAATGAGTAATCCATGCACCAAACTAAGTATATAGAATAAGTAACAATAGGGGCAGAAGAGTTAATACTGAGGACAGGGCATTTGCTTTTCTTACAGGTGCTGACCCGGGTTCAACCCCTGGCATCCCATCTGGTCCTCTGAGCACCACCAGGAGTAACTCCTGAGTGCAGAGCCAGGAGTAACCTCTGAGCACCACCAGATGTGGCCCAAAACAAACAAACAAACAAAACAAAAATAAAGAAGTAACAATATACTTTAGGAACCAGGGACACAGCTCAGTAGTAGAGCACTTGTCTTATACATATGAAGCTCTGGGTTTGATACCAGACACCATAAGAAAAATGAAACTGAAATATATACTTTAAGGTAGGGAGATAGCTCAAAGGGTAGGAGCACATACCTGGCAAGTGCAAGGCTCTGAGTGTGATCCCCAGCATCCCCATACTGCCTCTAGCCCAGGCCTGCACAGCTGCACGGACGGGGGGGGGGGGGGGGGGGGGGGGCAGAGTCACTGGGGGATTCCCTCCTCTCTCCTACTCACCAATCCATTTAAAAAATAACTCAGGAGTGTATATTCTCATCATCACTTTTATGGGGGGGAGTGGAGACAAGGATGGGGGTTGAACCTGGGGTCTCACATATGCAAGGAGCACAGTAAGTGCTCAACTGCTGAGCTACATCTTCAGCCCTAGGAGAATACATTCTCATGCTAAAAGATCAAAGATAAACAAAACACTACTGGTTCCCACAGAGGCAAAGGCGAAAGACCCACAAATTCCAGCACAGGTTTACAAATGCAGGAAGACACTAGATGCCTGGTGAAGGAAAGTCTTTCCAACCTTCCAGCTGTTAGGCCAGAGAAGGAACCACTATGACAATGACAGTTGAAAATAATCACTCCTTTTGACAACCCCCATCCTTGTCTCTGGACAAGAACTGAGTGGTGAAAGCAGGTAAAGGGATATACAGGATCACCTTACAGTACCTGTACTGCAAACCACGATGAGAGAGAGAGGAGGGAGAGAGGGGGAAAGGGAAGGTGGTGGGAGAGAGAAAGAAAGAAAGAGAGAGGAAGGGAGAGAGAGAGAGCGAGTGAGAGCAAGCGCCTGCCATAAAGGCAGATGAGGTGGGGGGGGTGGAGTGAGGGAAAAGGGATATTGGTTCTGGGAAATGTACACTGGTGAAGTGACGGGTGTTGGAACACTGTATGACTGAACCCCAATCATGAACAACTTTGTAACTGTGTATTTCATAGTTATTTAATAAAAAAATTTTTTAAAAAATTTTAAAGAAGAAAAGAAATTCTTTCCAGACCCAGGGTCTGTCCTAGGCTTGTTGCAGGGTCGTCGTGCTCAGAGCATTCCCCTCTCTCTCAATAATCTCTCACAATAACCTGCATTTCCTGAATCAAAGACCCAGCAGAAACTGTGGAGACCGGGGCTGGAGCAATAGCACAGGGGGTAGGGTATTTGCCTTGCACGCGTCTGACCAGCTTTGATTCCCAGCATCTCATATGGTCCCCTGAGCACCGCCAGGAGTAATTCCTGAGTGCATGAGCCAGGAGTAAGCCCTGTGCATCACCGGGTGTGACCCAAAAAGAAAAATAAAGAAACTGCAGAGACCTGTATACACCCGAGATGAACAAGGAACGTGATCTCGATAAAAACATGCTGAAGGACTCTTGGCACCTGCACCACCAAAGGCGATCTCACAAAGGGTCAGGATGCAGAAGGGAAACGTGTGCCCACGGAAACTGAAGGGCTCACCTCCTCCTCTTCTCTCCGCTGGGCCTCCAGCCGCTTCCGCTGCTCCTCCTGAGCCTGCCGCTCCAGCATTTCCTCGTGGAAGGACTTGGGAGGGGGCTTGTTATGCTCGCTGAGGAACGCCTGCACGTGGTAGGCCAGTTCAAATATCATCACCTAGAGAGGGAGGAAAAAACCATCCACGCATGGCCGCATCAGGGAAGTCACCATCCATAGAAGGACGAGAGAAAAGCCTGCAGGGGGGGCAGCAATGATGCTTCCCCTCCACGTTCTGAGTCAGGTGTACAGTGCAGCTGCAGCAGGAAACGGCTTGACAGCACTCATCATGTGGCTCTCAAGACCAGGCTCTATGCTACACCAAAAGCTACACTTGCCTTTTGTAGTTCTATCCAGCTTATTTTTTGGTACAATGAACTAACAAGTGTTACAATGGAGATGTTACTGGTGCCCTCTTGAGCAAATGATGAACAACAGGAAGACAGTGCTACAGTGCTACAATGAACTAATAAAATATTTAAGGCTGCATGAAAGTTAAAGCGACCCTTCCAAGGAGACAACTTGTGTGAAAAATGACAGTTGAAAAAAAGGATCATTCCTTGATGATTGAACCTGGGCCTTTTTTGTGCAAGGCATATATTCTACCACTGTACTGCCACTCTGGCCTCCAACTTGTGTATTTCTGATGAAGAAGAATAAAATTGTGAAATAGTCAAAAACCAGGAAGGTTAATCAGTCCAGTCGCTGGTCCTGAAATCAATCAGCACATCACTGGAGTTATGCATGGATTTCCCAGAGGAAATTTGACCCCGTGGGAGTCACAGGCAGCGCATCATTACGTGACAGATGGACACTTGACTGTAGTTTCATGAGTCCTTCAGGCAGCCTGCAACGACCTGGCTACTATTTTGAGAAATGTGTATGACACTACTTCCACTACCCAGCCGTCGCCACACTCCAGGACGCTTTCCGGACCCGCGCGGCAGCTCCGGCCGAGACCCACGCACAACTGAAGACCCACAGAACAAGGTAAGCGGAACTCTCTGAGACCTTGGACTCCAGGCTCGGCGGACCCAGGGACAGAGCTTCTCTGCTTGCTCCCACCACCACAGGTGACAAAGGGATTCTAATCAGGAGCCCCACCCTACCCTGCCCTGTCTGCTTCCATCAACCACCCAGGGTTCGAATTGTGCACAGGAGACCCACCCTACCCAGATAAATACCCCACTGGCAGACTTCCACTCTCGACACTACTTCCACTACCCAGCCGTCGCCACACTCCAGGACGCTTTCCGCACCCGCGCGGCCGCAAGCGGCCGCACGACACATCATAAGACACTAAATACCCGTCTTCTGGAATTGTCATACCATATTTGATAGGGTTCAAATATGGTAACACCTACAAGGGTGATTAGAGGTCACCCCAAAAGCCTATATACCTCTCGGAAAGACTGGCAAGCTACCGAGAGTATTCCGCCCGCACGGAAGAGCCTGGCAAGCTATCCGCTGTGTATTCGATATGCCAAAACCAGTAACTACAACTGGTCTCATTCACCTGACCCTGAAGGCTTCACCGACATGGCAGCACTGAGAAGGATGAGAAAGGAGAGGCCGACAAAATCTCAAGGCCGACGTAGGCTGCCACAACGAAGGAAGACAAAAATGATCGTCTGTACTTTCAATGCACGTACGCTAGCATCAGATGCATCCATCGAGGACCTGATGGTACAAGCGCGAATGATCAAGTACGACATCATTGGTCTGACCGAGACAAGAAGACACGAATCTCACCATGCCGTTTTCGACACTGGAGAAGAATTGTTCCTCGGAACATGCGATAAAAGAGGTGTTGGAGGCGTCGGTGTCCTTGTCAACACAAACTTGGCCAAGAGCATTGATTCATTCGAATGCCTAACAACCCGAATCGGACGTTTACATTTGAATAGATGTGGCTCACTGCCTGCAGTTTCTATCTTCGTTGTCTACGCACCAACATCTCATTATGATGAAAGAGAAATCGAGAAGTTCTACATGGAGCTAGAGAAGTTCTATAAAGAAGACCACACCTTCTACAAGATCATTGTGGGTGATTTTAATGCCAAGATAGGACCGAGAAGATCAGCTGAAGAACTTCACATCGGAACCCATGGCCTAGAATGGAACGAACAGGGTGAGAGACTGTCTGAGTTCATCATGTCGACCAAGACCATTCATGGTAACTCACAGTTCCAGAAGGCAGAATCTAAACGATGGACATGGGAGTCTCCCGGTGGACGATTCCACAACGAAATAGACCACATCATATTCAATCGACGGTTTTGCCTGACCAATGTCGCTGTTGTCCCAAAATTTCGAACGGGATCGGACCACCGTCTCCTTCGTACAAAATTCTACTTCACAGAGCAGGGAGAAAGGGCTGCAAAGTTCAAAAAGAGAACTCCCAGAACGACCACCAACTGGGAACTCTTTGGTACTATTGCGGCAACATGGGAAGATGCCATTGTTGACAACATTGACGAGGAATACGATCGACTGGTTCAGCACCTCCATGAATGTGCGAGGAACGCCAAGAGAGAGATAGCCACAAAAAGTCGCCTATCTTCGAAAACTCTTGAGCTAATTCACCAGCGTGGTTTGGCGCATGCCTCAGGCAACCGCAAGCTAACGTCCGAGCTTGCAAAGCAGTGCAGAGATGCGATCAAGGAAGACCTCAAAGAGAGAAGAGCAGAAGTACTGGTAGATGCGGCAGAAGCCGGGAAAAGTATTCGTAACGCCCGCCTGTCCTTCGCCAACTATAAGACCAAGATGACTGCCCTCCGACGTCCTGATGGATCCATCACATCCTCCAGAACGGCAATGGAGAAGATTATCCATGACTTCTACTCAAATCTCTTCGATAGCCATGTCCACTTGCCGACATACCAAATTCCACAGGATGGGTATGTCGTTCCCAACGTTCTCCCTTCCGAAATCCGACACGCCATTTCATCAGTAAAGAAGCAAACAGCACCCGGCCCAGACAAGGTCAGACCTGAACACCTGAAGAACCTGCCGTCAGTACTCATCAATACACTGGCTCGGCTCTTCACTCGCTACCTGTCTGAATGCAAGGTTCCATCTCAATGGAAAACCAGCAGGACCGTACTACTGTTCAAGAAGGGAGACATCCATGACATTGGCAACTATCGCCCGATCTGCCTATTGTCTGTCATCTACAAGTTGTTCACTCGAGTCATCCTGAATAGGATTGGCAGAACACTAGATGAAGGACAACCATGTGAGCAAGCAGGGTTCCGCAAAGGATTCAGCACCATCGACCATATCCACACGATAACCAAACTCATTGAGGTTTCTCGGGAGTTCAAGATGCCGCTCTGCTTAACATTCATTGATTTAAAGAAGGCCTTTGATTCTGTTGAGACGGAAGCGGTCATTGAAGCCCTAGCCAATCAGGGCATTCAAGCCCAATACATCAGGATCCTCCGTGAGCTGTATTGCGGATTCACTACCAGGATCTCACCATTCTACAAAGAAGTGATCGTTGATGTCAAGAGAGGGGTGCGGCAGGGTGATACCATTTCACCAAAACTCTTCAGTGCCACCCTCGAGAACATCATGCGACGACTGGAATGGGAAGGAATGGGAGTGAAGATAGATGGTCGGCAACTACACCACCTCCGCTTTGCTGATGACATTGTTTTAATAACACCAAACATCAGCCAAGCGGCACAAATGCTGGCCGACTTTGACCGTGAGTGTGGAAAGGTAGGACTACAGCTGAATCTTACGAAGACAATGTTTATGAGAAACAGCCTTGTTCCTGACGCCCCAATCGCTCTCAATGGAACGACCATCTCCGAATGCAACAGCTATGTGTACCTAGGTCGAGAGGTCAACATGACAAATGACCTGGCACCCGAGCTGCGCAGGAGGAAGAGAGCGGCTTGGAACGCCTTCAAGAACGTCGAAGAAATAGCTAAGAGGACGAAGAACCTCCGGCTCCGGGCACATCTCTTTGATTCCACTGTTCTTCCTGCATAAACATATGCCTCAGAGACCTGGGCCCTACGCAAACAAGATGAGAACGCCATTCAGGTCTCCCAAAGAAGAATAGAAAGAGCTATGCTTGGAATATCACGTTTCACTCAAATGAGAGAACGAATCCGGAGTTCTGACATCCGTCGACGATCAAGGATCAGGGACGCTGTCTCATTTGCCAAGGTGTCGAAAATCAGATGGGCTGGTCACGTAATGAGATTTAAAGACGACCGTTGGACTAGAGCTGTTACTGATTGGATTCCACGGGATGTCAAGAGACCGCGTGGCCGCCCACCTACCAGATGGTCAGACTTCTTTGTCAAGGTCATGAACGATCGGTTTGAGGCCCTCCATGTTCCCGGAGCGAAGAGATGCCATTGGGCTACACTAGCACGCGACAGGGACAAATGGAGACGTTACTGGCGCCCGCTCGAGCAAATCGACGACTAACGGGAAGTTAAGTGATTAAGTGATTAAGTGAAGTCAAAAAAAAAAAGGAAAAAAGGATCATTCTTGCTAACAGAGGAAGTAGTTTTTTCTGTGTTTTTTTTTTTTTTTTTTTTTTTTTTTTTGCTTTTTGGGTTGCACCCGGCGATTCACAGGGCTTACTCCTGGCTCATGTGCTCAGGGATTACTCCTGGCAGTGCTCAGGGAACCATATGGGATGTTGGGAGTCGAATCCGGGTCGGCAACACGCAAGGCAAAGGCACTACCCACTGTGCTATCGCTCCAGCCCCAATAGAGGAGTTTTTATCTGTTGACATAATATCTAGGAAATATCCTTCTAGGGGTACACGGGCAAATATTTAGAGGTCTCATTATCTCTTTGCTAGTAATGGGCTAGTAGGGGGCTGATCAATACTTAGAGCAGTCTCATTTCCACTTAGGGAAGCATTCATAGGTAGTACCTGAAAAAAAATCAAGCTTTCTTTTTGGGCATCACATTCCCCAACTCTCAGGAGGCATAAATCGGACCTGGGTTAATGAATCAATAGGTTGTTTCTTTGCAAATCAAAAACACCTAACTGTTGTAAGGAGGAATTCATATATTTGCCTTTAGCTACACTGCAAGCTGTAGGGCTTGCTGAAGTCTTCAATTTACCAATTATTTACATGATAAAAGGAGTTTATGTTCAAAATATATAAAGAACTCATACAACTAAACAACAAAACGACACAAAACAAAACGCCCAATAATTTTATCTTAAAAAGGTAGATCTGAATATTTTTTTCCAAAAAAGGTACAGAGAAGACCATAAAGACAAACATCACTGTGCTCAGAGAAACGCAAATCAAAAGCATCACATGCCTTTGAATGGCTCTTGCCATAAAGATAAGAAACAACTTTTGCTGATGAGAACGTGGCAAAAAGTGGAACTCTGGTGCACTGCTGCTGGGATTTACATTCATGCTGTTATCATAGAAAAATAGTACAGAAACTCTTCAAAAAAAATTAAAAGTAGGGCTGAGGGATGTTGTTTAAGTGGCAGAGCACGTGCATTGCCTGAGTAAAGTCTGGGCTACCAGATGGCTGAGCACTGCTAGGTGGGGTCCTGATGATTCCTTCGAAGCACCCGGTGTGTCTAGGTACCACCACACACAAATATTAAAAATGGGGGACTGCAGGTAGGAAAGTGGGTAGGGTGTTTGCTCTGCATGTGGTTAACTTGGATTTGATCCCCAGCACCCCAAAAGGTCCCCTGAACATCTCCAGGAGTGATCCCTGAGTTCAGAGCCAGAAGTAAGCCCTGACCACCACCAGGTGAGGTCCACAAACAAACAAAACTCAAAGAAAAGAAAAAGAAAAATACAGTAATATTCTGCCCTACAAAGTCACTGAGTCCTGCCCTCCTAAGAGAGTTATGCCACTCACAAGACTCTGATGCAGAGGATTCAGGAAGAATTATACTACAGTGAGTGTAGATGCACAGATATAGAAGAAACATGAAATAAACAGAATGTGTGGCTAATTAACAAGACAGAAAAGATTTTAATGAAAAAAACGTAGAGGTGGCAAAAAGTCTGTTTAAAAATTGCCTGTCATGAGGCCGGAGTAATAGTACAGCAGGTCGGGGTCTTTCCTTGCACACGGTCAAGGTTTGATCCTCAGCAACCCATATGGTCCCCTGACCCCACCATGAGTAATTTCTGAGTGTGGAGTCAGGAATAACCCCTGAGCATCGTCAGGAGTGGACCCCTCTTCCAAAATGAAACAAAACAAGCCCCCCAAACCAAAATTTGCTTGTCTGAAGACTTTTTCCAACTTAAAGGTTCCAGAGTCAAGATCAGATGGTGATGCTCAAATGTGAGCGGGCAGGTCCCAAAGACGGCGCATGAATGCCACAACCTAGAACACTCTACAGTTTTTCATTCATAATGACAAATTCTGCAACTTAAAACAACATCAACAGCAAAATTCTCTTTTGTACGTTTCACTTAGAGATAATATATTCAATACAAACAAAAGATGGGGACAGCAAAGGGGTCTGGGTCTCAGGCGTTGCATACTCAGGACCCTGTTTCAAGCCCCATCACTACATGGTACCTTGAACACCGGGGGAGTGACCCCCAAGCACTGGGCTAGGCGTAACCCATAATCAACAACCAAAATTTAAAACAAACAGGAAAAAAATCTCAACAGGTTAGCAGAAAATGAGACTTGAAGGGGTCAGGACATGGCTCAGTGGTAGGGTACCTTCCTTTCATGTAAAAAGCCCTGGGCCTGATCCCTGGAACTGTACTTTTTAAAAAAATTAGATTTGAGGTGCAATGGAAAAGTCTTTGTGCCCAAGGAAAGGCAGGTGACAAATATGTTTATATATATATCACGGTCACGGTCCTCCCGTTGTTCATCGATTTGCTCGAGCAGGCCCAGTAACGTCTCCATCATGAGACTTGTTGTTACTGTGTCTGGCATATCGAATACGTCACGGGGAGCTTGCCAGGCTCTGCCTTGCGGGCGAGATACTCTCGGTAGCTTGCCGGGCTCTCCGAGAGGGGCGGAGGAATCGAACTCGGGTCCGCCATGTTGGCCGCTTGTAAGGCAAACGCCCTACCGTTGTGCTATCGCTCCAGTCCGATATATATATATATATATAATTTTTAAAATTTTCATTTAATTGTATTTGGGGGCCACACCCGGAGGTACTCAGGATTTAATTCTGGCTCTGCACTCAGGGATCACTCCTGGTGGGCTCTGGGGTCCATATGAGATGCAGGAGATCAGAACTGGTTGGCTATATGTAAGGCAAATGCCCTACTTGCTGTACTAATGTTTTTGGGTGGGTGACAACTGATTTGATTCAGGGCTTTCTCCTGGCTCTGAACTCAGGGTTCACTGTGTGTGTATATATGTGATAGTTGTTGTTGGTGGTGGTGGTGTGTGTGGGGGGAGGTGTTGCAGCTCAGAAAACCACATGGGATACCCAGAATTGAATACTGGTTGGCTGAGTACAGGGCAAGGGCCTTTCTAGTCTACTATTTCTCCAGCCTCAAACATGAGATTTTGACTGTCTTAATTGCAACAGAATCCATCTTACCTCTCCACAATGTTTTTTGGCCACTTCTTCTAGGCGAGATTTTAACAAATTAACACTTTCATTGGACAGACCCTTGGCATTCTTTAACTCTATTTCGGGGACCCTGAGGAAGAAAAAACCAAAAATGATACACAAAAAGAAATTACACCACAAAGTATAGTTTGCCTTTGCTAAGCCCCAGACCCTGGGTCTGGAATTTCATTCAGGCCTCATCTGAGAAGCTTTCTTCAACAGCATTTCGGCTATGCCTCCGTTCCTCTGTTGTCATGGCACCGGACATGGAGTGGGTCATCTCTGTCTGTGGGGTGAGGTGGGTTGGCCAGTGGTTTTACCAGGTGACCAGACTGACTATAACTCCATCTAGTACCTCCCATCTCCCCATTTCTGATTTCAGGTCTACAATCTGATTAGAATGTGCCAACATCAACTGCTATCACCTAAAAACAAAACAAAACACCAAAACACCCACTCCAAAGATAGTACAAGGGTTAGGGTGCTTGTTTTGCCTACAGCTGACCCAGGTTCAATCCCTGGAACCATTTATGGTCCCCTGAGCACTGGCAGCAGGAATCCCTGAGCACAGAGTCAGGAGTAAGGCCTAAACACCACTGGGTGTGCCCCAATTCCTGGAGTCAAAAATCAATGCTTACATCAGCTCTGTGAATGGTAATACACGACCCTGGCTTGTACTTCAACAACAAAATCACTGATGGCTCAGCAAGAGTACAAGTGCTCTGTGTAAGTCCTGGTACTCTAGCATCAAGCAAAAATAACCAGGCAAGATGAGGCAACTATTCAGTGAGTATCCCACATCACACTGTATCCCACGCACCCGGGCTGTGAATGAGAAAGAAAGGCCCACTCACCCACTCACTACAGGCCCAGTTATATACTTGGCGAATATGCCAGTCCAAGGATGCTGAATCATACTCCTCTTTATCCCCCATAGAGCTCAACTACAAGTGAATACTCTCTACCTAAACAGAGTACACAATCCGGAGCTGGGCATATTCTAAAGGGTTAAAGCACTTGCTGTCAATAGCCAATCCCAGTTCAATTCCTGCCTCTCACGTGTCACCTTCCCTCACTGGATCCCTGAACAATAAGTCCAAACCACAAAACATCACCCAGGACATCAGTCTTTGCATTTGGAAAGTCCAGGGTGACAGTTGCCTGGAACAAATACAGGGCAAAACCCAGAATGTATGAGTCCAAGTTACTACTCACGTGCTTGCTCTGCCAGGGTTCTCCACCAATGGAGGTATGACCTGGACAGAGAAGCAGGAACTGTGTGGGGGCCCTTGTCTGTTCAGCTGTCTGGAGAATACCCCTGGATTAGAGGCATTCGTCACCAGCAGCCATGACTCGTTAACAATGTCCCCCAGAATTAGAGAGGTATTCCTTTATCCTCAGGAATAAAAGTCCCACAAGGCTCAAGTCCTCGTGCCAGTTAGACTTATTTAAAAAACCTAGCACAGAAAACTGGGCAGTTATATGCAAAAACAAAACAATAAAACAAAACAAAAAAACTCAGACCTCTATTACCAGGCACAAAAGTCAGATCAAAATGGATTAAAAACTTCAATATCAGACCTGAATCCATAAGGAACATGGAGGAAAATGTGGGCAGAACCCTTCATGACATTGAAGCTCCTTCAAGGATAAAACACGTGGAAGCAAGGATAAAGCAAGTGGAAGCAAAGATAAATAAAAGAGCCTAAATTAAACAAAGAAGCTCCTGTACCTCAAAAGAAACGGTGATCAAGTTACAAAGACAGCCCATAGGTTGGGAATAATTATTTACCCAATACCCATCTGATAAAGGGTTAATATCCAAGATATATAAGGCACTGGTAGAACTTTACAAGAAAAAAAAATCCAAATGGATAAAAGAATGGGGAGAAGAAATGAGCAGAAACTTCCTCAAAGTAGAAATCCAAATGACCAAAAGGCACATGAAAAAAATGTTCTACCTCGCTAATCATCAGGGAGATGCAAATTGTAACAAAAATGAGATATTATCTCACACCACAGAAGCCAGCACACATCAAAAAGAACAAGAGTAAACAGTGCTGGCAGGGATGCGGGGAGAAAGGGCCTCTCCTTCATTGTTGGTGGGAATGCCAACTGGTCCAGTCTTTTTGGAAAACAATATGGGCATTTTTCACAAAGTTAGAAGCTGATCTTCCAATGTGACCAAGCAATAAATACCCTTCTGGGAATACACCTCAGGCACCCCAAAACATACAGCAGCAATGCCATCTGTACTTCTATGTTCATTGCAGCACTATTCACAATAGCCAGAAACAACCTGAGTGCCCGAGAACAGATGACTGATTGTAGAAACTGTAGTATATCTAAACAGTGGAATTCTATGCAGCTGTTATGAAATATGAAGTCATGAAATTCACTTATAAATGGATAGATGTGGAAAGTATCATGATGAGTGAAATATGTCAAAAGAATAAAGACAGACATAGAATGACTGCACTCATTTGTGGGATATAAAAAAAACATAGTATGAGACTAATACCCAAGGATAGTAGAAACAAGGGCCAAGAGAATTGGTCCATAGTTGGAAGTCTGCCTTAAGTGCTAGGGGAGAAGACATTTGGAATAGAGAAGGGGGCCACTATGACAAAGAGAGTTGGAAATGATCACTCTGGATAAGAACTATGTGCTGAAAATATGTAAAGGAACAAACATGATAACCCCTCCGTGTCTGTATTGCAAACTATAATGCCCAAAAGGGGAGAGAGAGAGAGAGAGATAATGAAGGGAAGAGCCTGCCATAGAGGCAGGATGGATGGGGGGTATAGGAGCAAGGTGGAAGGGAAACTGGGCAGTGGGAAATGGACACTGGAGGAGAGATGGGTGTTGGAACACTGTATGACTGAAACCCACCTATGAACAGCTTTGTAACTATGTGTCTCACAGCGATTCAATTAAACAGAACAAACAAAAATAAATAATAAAAAAATTAAACCCAGCATAGAGGGGCTTTCAACAGTCACCCATGGCTCAATCTTGAGTTCTCATATTCTGAGTTTATAAAGAATTAGGCAAAAAACTTATTCATTTATATGAGAAAAAGCACAACAAGCCAAAGAGTCTTAAAGAGTCCATATATGGTCCCACCAACCTAGAATTCTCTCTCTCTCACAGTGGCATCAAGGACTATCTTTCAGGGAAAAAGTCAAGTTCTCCTGCATCACATCATCTTAAATGTATAGGAATATTCCCCCAAATCAAGTCTTACATAATCATTTAAAAGATTAAAGGGGAACCAGATATAGCACAGGGTCACAGACAACTACCTCAGCAATAGACATAGTCATGAAACTTATCCTGAATTAAGTCTGTTGTATAGTTTAAATATAATCAGTACAGATACCAGTATCTGCTCTGAGACAACTGTTTGCAACCTCTGACGTGTTACCTCTGTGTCTTTTCCTGAGGTGCTTGTTTGCAATATGGGTGAAAGAAAATTAAATTTTAAACAGAGAGGCTGGAGAGATGATAGTACAGCAGGTAAGGTACTTGTCTTGCACACAGTTGACCAAAGTTCAACCCTGGCACCCCTTATGGTTCCTTTAACACCTCCAAGGACTGATCTCTGGGCACAGAGCCAAGAGCAAGCCCTAACCACTGCCAGGTGTGACACAACTACCCCTCCTCCTCCCCCCCAAAAAGGGATGAGAGACAGGAAGGAGAAAAATGCCATTCATTCAACCAGTTTCTATGCTGGCTAAACAGAGGACTGAAATTGCACCACAGCTTTTTATCAATGTACTCACACATCTGGATAGGTTGGTGGGCATTTAACCCTCAGGTCCACTTTCACATATACTTCTTCACCGGTCAGACCCTGAGGGTACAGAACTAAATTGATTTCAGGGGGCTCTTTCACCTAAAAGAGATCAAGAAAAAAAATAGTTTTTCCTCTGGAGAGTCGGTTATTAACAATCAAGATAACTCTAGAGGGGAGGGGAGGGAGGGGAGAGAATAGCTGGGGGGCTGGGGGCAGAAGCGGAGAGACAGGGTGGAGGGAAGTGAACACTGGTGGAGAACATGGTGTGCCTGAAACCCAACCATGAACAGAATTATAAACCACGATGCCTAAAATTAAAACATCATTTTAGCTCAAAAGTTCCATTTTTAAAATAATATATGTAATTATGATTTCCTAAAACAAGGTTTAAAGATAAACCCTCTGCCAGAGAGAGTTTGATTTTCTCTTCCAGATTACCAAAAGACTAAAATGTCCCAAGTGGCCACCATTTATTCAACGTTAGCAAGCATCACCTGTCTCCTGGGGCTTGTTCTAGAGATGGGGAGGGCAGGGGTCACTCTAGATGGGTGTGAACCAAAGTGTTATAGACCCCAGCAATGTCTTTCAAACATTTGACACCTGTAGATTGGCACCCCCTCTGAAGGCCAGTGCGTTAAGGGGGCCAACCCAGGTTTGATCCCTGGCACCACACAGTCCCTGAGCACTGCTAGGAGTGATTTTTGAGCACAGAACCAGAAATCAGTCCTGAGCACTGCTGGGTGTGGCCAGATCACACCTCAAAAAAAAAAAAAACCCACAAAAAAACAAAAACCAAAACCCCCACTGAGCTAGAATTCAAACATTTTCTAATAGTGATGAGTGCTGTAAGGCAAATAAATTTAAAAACATAGTGGGGTGGGGCTGGAGAGATAGCACAGCGGGTAGGGCATTTGCCTTGCATGCGGTCGACCCGGATTCGATTCCCAGCATCCTCAGGAGTTACTCCTGAGCACCGCCAGGAGTAATTCCTGAGTGCAGAGCCAGGGATAACCCCTGTGCATCACCAGGTGTGACCCAAAAAGCAAAAAAAAAAAAAAAAAAAAAAACAAAAAAACCCCACAGTGGAGGTAAAATTCCCATGGTCCACTGGGTACTACAGAGCCTTGCCCCCTGAACACTGAACCAGGAACAGCTCTTGAACACTGTTGTGTCTGGCCCCAAGACCCCTCCCTCCACCTCAAAAAAAAAAAAAAAAAACACCATTATGGTGTAAGGGAAGAAAATGCAGAAACTGCTGCTCAAACAAAAGCTACGGACCAACCATCCTAAAAGGGTAAAATTGTTAGAGCTCTAGATTATCATTTAGCTAAGCAGGGACTATCCCTCTGTGATCAACAGCACCTGCCACACCTGGATGAAGCTTCTAGGGGAAACTCAATGACATGACATCTGGGTTAAGCTACCTGCCTTATAAAGGTGACTCCCTCAGAGGGATCTTTCTGTCACTCTCATTGTGTTAGTTCGTAGGGATCACGGTTCCAAAGTGCACTCCAAACACTGGGAATTATGCTGCTAATAATCACAGTTTCTCTGACACACTGTATTCTTCCAAAGGCTTTAGAGGCATGTTTGTATGTTTGCACATGATAACACCAAGAAAATAATCTCCAAAGATTTCAGGGTCACAGAAGAAACCAACAAAACAGCTTAAAAAATGTCAACCAGGCACCAGGAAAAATGAAGTCATGAAATTCACTTATAAATAGATGGACATAAAGAGTACCATTCTGAGTGAAATGAGTCAGAAGGAGAGGGACAGACATAGAATGACTGTACTCATTTGTGGGATACAAAGAAACATATCTCACAATATGAAACTATATTTGAAACATATCTCATAATATGAAGCTATATTTGAAACATATCTCATAATATGAGACTAATATCCAAGGACAAGAGGAACAAGGTTCAGGAGGACTGGTCCACAGTTGTAAGTCTGCTTCAAGTGCTGGAGAAGAAGGTTGTTGGGATAGAGAAGGGACCACTATGACAAGGATAGTTGGAAAAGATCATTCTGGATAAAAACTGTGTGCAGAAAGTAGGTAAAGGAACAAACATGATAACCTCTCAGTTATCTGTATTGCAAAACATAAGGCCCAAAAGGAGCTTGGGAGTGGGGGGGAGAAGGAGAGGGAGAGGGAGAGGGTGAGAGAGAGGGGGGGGGGGGAGAGAGAGAGAGAGAGAGAGAGAGAGAGAGAGAGAAGTGCTTGCCAGGCTGGGGTGGGGTGGGGGAGGGGGGGTGGCGGAAGGGAAACTGGGGACATTGATGGTGGCAAACGTACACTGGTGAAAGGAAGGTGTTGGAACACTGTATGATGAAAACCTAATCATGGACAGCTTTGTAACTGGTGATTGTGATTCAAATAATAATTTTTTAAAAATTAAAAAAAAAAAAACTCAACCCAGGCTAAGATGTAAACTAGTGTCTCTCAACATTTTAAACAACCAGTTTCCTTCTGAACCTGTTTTCTTCTTGTGGCTCTCCTCTCTTACCAGGTCGGCCCCTGATCTCATGCAGTGCCCTCCCCTATTTTCATGATTTTCACTTGTGGTGCCTTTGGAATATCCTGGGGCCCACAAGGGGGTCACATGGCTCCCAGTTGAGAAATGTTGATCTAAATGACACGTGACTACCACCGCATAAATTGTGAGACCTTCAAGAGGTAGCTGGGTGTGGCACAGATGCTTGAAATTTTTATCATACCTCCCTGTTAAGTTTGGCCAAAACGATGAAGTGTTAAACAAATGAAAAGGCAGCTCACTTCCAACAGCTGCTGCCATGATGGTTTATCCACCAGCCCTGCTCTAAAGATTCATGACTAAATCTCCAAGGAGATGCAAACCGAGCAGCTAAAATCCATGGACACACGGGTCCCTGCAGCTGAAAGCTCCAGAAAGTACCTGGCCTGCCAAAGCCCTGGTAGCTATACTCACCCCTACCAGTGTAGCCATGTCAAGGGCTCAATTCCACTGCACACGAATGTACTTTAAAAATAATTTCAGGTACCTGGGCTGGAGCACAGCAGGTAGGGCATTTGTCTTGCACGCAGTTGACCAGGGTTTGATTCCTCCGTCCCTCTCGGAGAGCCTGCCAAGCTACTCAATTCCGCCCACATGGCAGAGCCTGGCAAGCTCCCCGTAGGGTATTTGATATGCAAAAAAAAACAGTAACAAGTCTCACAATGGAGACATTACTGGTGTCTGCTCGACAAATCGACAAATCGATGAACAACTGGACAACACTGCTACAGTGCTACTCTGGCTGGAGCAATAGCACAGCAGGTAGAACATTTGCCTTCCATGTGGCTGACCCGGGTTCGATTCTCAGCATCCCATATGTCCCCTGAGCACCGTCAGGAGTAATTCTTGAGTGCATGAGCCAGGAGTAACCCCTGTGCATCTCCGAGTGTGACCCAAAAAGAAAAAAAAATTCAGATACCTGGGTTCCCAGGCTGAGAACTCTGGTGTCTTTTCAGAGTCGGGCGGGGCAGACTTCCCCATCCCCCATACTTCCAGAAGCCCTGGAAGCCATGACCTCTTCCCACAGCTGCCACCATGTCAACCCATTGGTCCAGACCAAAGATCCTGAAGTCTCTGGACTGTGTGGCTTCATATGCGGCTGCATAATACCTCCTAATTCCTCAATGCTGAAATTACAGTAGGATCACTACCAAATTAGATGAGAAAGTAACATGAAGTCAAACCAACAAAGACAATAACAAAGGCTCTACTAGCAACAAACATCTTACTAAATTCTTGGACAAGAACTTAACCCTATGATGAGATGTAACAATTTTGACATTTAAAAAACTTGATTTTTAAAAATACTTATTGACTGTAACACTGGAGCTTTGTTATCTAATCAATTTCAACTCTAGAATTATATCAGCAGTTGTGGCTTTTGTCTATATTAAAATAAACAAAGAATTTTTTTAAAGTGAAAAAGGCAATTGGCCCCAAACACTTGCATCATCAGAGCAAGATTTAAAAATATTAAATCTTTTATATTTAAAAAAAACTTAATAGCAGTTTAAACCCCTCAGGAATATGAAAACATAATTCTAAGCATCCCAGAATACATCTTTTGAATATAAAAATGAGGGGGACATAGAGAGATAGTATAGCAAGTTAAGGTTGTGTATGTGTATGTGCCTTGCCTGTGTATGTTTGGCCTGGATTTGATTCCCTCAAGCTCTGAGCACAGATCAAGGAGCCACATGAACACTGCCAGATGTGGTGCCCAAACAAAAATAAATATTAAACAAAAATAAAAATTAAAACGAGGAGGCAGAGAGATAGCTCAAAGACCTGGGTCACATTCCTGGCATGTATGAGGTCTGCTCCAAGTTTGACCCCTGACCCCACATCTCCCTCACCACCAGCACCTTTTGTGTTGGCTCTGCTGGTCCCCAAGCACCTCAGAGTGAGCAGAGTCAGAGCAGCTGAACTGCATCACATGGTCTAGCACTGAACCATCAGCCTGAGGAAAGAAAGACAGGAGGAGCAGGATGCAGCCTTGTGCTCAGAGCCCCTGCCTTGCTTGTGTGAAGTCTGGGTTCAATTCCAGTACCCAGACACACACACACACACACATACCACATACAGGCACACACAAAGATACTCAGAATATAGTGGTTTTAGAGACAAAAACAGAATACATTTTTTTTCTCCCAAAACTAAATCTCCCCTCCACTCATATTAGGGCACTGGAGAAATTTTAGAGCTGAAGAGCACTTGGCTAAAATCTATTTAATAAGCAAGATGCACTGTAGGGCCTCCTTCCTGCCTTTAGAAGAGAAATGATCACTAGAATTCAGAGCTGATTAAAATCTTGACTTAACCTGCACAAGGAAATGAGTTCCTAGAATATTTTCAGGCAGATACACATAGAGGAAGGGGCAACAAAAAAATGTTGAGAGCATGAAAGGAAAGGATAACAAGGGAGAATATGTCAGTTTCTCTCTCTTTCTATACATATATATACTCTCTAGATCTCTATCTATACATATATATACTCTCTCTCCTCTTTCTTGCTCTCTCTCTCTCTCTCTATATATATATATGTATGTATGTATACACACACAAATAACTTTACTTTTCATTTCTTTTTTTTTTTTCATGTTTTGGTTTTGGGTTACACCATGTGGTGCTCAGGGCTTACTCCTGACTCTGCACTCAGTTTTCTCTCCTGGCAGAGCTCAAGGGACTATCTATGGTGATAGTGATGGAACCTGGGTTGACCATGTAGAAGGCAAGTGCCCTACCTACTATTCTATATAATTCCAGCCCCCAAAACATAACTTCTTGCTTTGATTTGAGGAATGAAAAGGCAAATGATATGAAAGCAGCATACTAAGTAATAATGAAGAGAAAATCATTCGACGCTATAGTATGATATGAGTTACATTTGCCCCCAGTGGTGCTCAGGGCTTCCAATGGCTCTGCACTCAAGGGTCACTCCTGGCAGACTTGGGGGAATCATACAGGTGCTGGGGATTGAACCTGGGTCTGGAGCATTCAAGGCAAGCACCTTTTCTGCTGTACTATCTCCCCAGTTCCTACATGTGCTTCTTATTGGGATCACAAAGTTGTATACTGTTATGAAATGGCCAAACAAATCCATAAGAAAACAGTAATGCAAACTCATTTCTAAAATGGACAGAACTGATACTGATTTAGAACCTATACAAAGATAATTACAAGCTAAAAAGCACTAGCTCTTTAAAAAACAAAACTCAGGGACCTAAAAGTCAGAGGTTAAAGCACTTGTCTTGCTTACAGATGACCCCTGTTGGATCCCTGGTACCACAAATGATCCCTTGAGTACTGCCAGGAGTGATCCTTGAGCATAGAGTCAGGAGTAAGCCCTGAGTACTGTAGGGTGTGACCAAGCCTGCCCCTCCAAAATGAGCAGAGCAGGGAAGTTTTTACTTGATAAAATCCACAGGTATACCATAAGATAAAAAATAAGTCACTTGATCTGTACCATCTGTACCATTGCAGCACTGTTCACAATAGCCAAAATCTGGAAATAACCCAAGTACCCTAGAACAGATGACTGGTTAAAGAAAATTTGGTACATCTACACAACGGAATATTATGCAGCTGTTAGGAGATCTGAAGTCATGAAATTTGCTTATAAATGGATAGACATGGAGAGTATCATGCTAAGTGAAACGAGTCAGAAAGAGAGGGACAGACATAGAAGGACTTCACTCATTTATGGAGTATAGAATAACATAACATGAGGCTGACACCCAAGGACAGTAGATACAAGGGCCAGAAGAATTGCTCCATAGCTGGAAGCCTGCCTCATGAGCAGAGGGGAGAAGACAGATGGAATAGAGAAGGGATCACTAAGAAAATGATGGCTGGAGGAATCAGTCAGAATCAGTCAGGAAGGGAGATGTGTGCTGAAAGTAGATAATGGACCAAACATGATGACCTCTCGGTGTCTGTATTGCAAACCATAATGCCCAAAAGTAGAGAGAAAGTTTGGGGAATATCGTCTGCCATGGAAAAGGGCGGGGAAGAGGGGGTATACTGGGGAGACTGGTGGTGGGGAATGTGCACTGGTGGAAGGATGGGTGTTTGATCATTGTGTGATTGTAACCCAAATATGAAAACTTGTCACTATCTCACGGTGATTCAATAAAATTTAAAAAGAAAAGTCACTTGACTATAATGTAACATAATGTAACAGATAGATTTTGACCTGAAGCCTATATTATACAGGTACTCCAGTAATGAAAAATAAAGGCAAAAAAGAAAAAAAAAACAATAAAATATCAGGGAGCAAATGATTACTTAGAAAAGTGCAGTAGACAATGTATTTCTCTTGTGCCTGACTAAAAATAAAGCTTAGTACTATTCTAAGAAGAAAAAGTTTTAAAACTGCACATGGTTAGAAGCAAATATTTGTAACATATGATCCCATAGATGAATATTTTTTGGGGGGTAAAAGGGAAGGAACTCTCAAGTGGTGTTCATGGAGCACTCAGTCAATTGGGCAAGAGGCTCAGTGACAGGGCCAGAGAATGTGGTACTGCTCGGGTACTGCTCCCGGGCATGTTGGCAGTGCTGGAGCCTCTAGGGCCACACCTAGTGGTGCCCAGGAGGCCATCTGGTGCTGGGGATAGAATCTCTCACCGCTGTACTATCTCCCAGCCCCAAGACTAATTTTATGAACATATGAACAGCTCTGATGAATAAGAAAGTATAAACAACAAAGTGGGAAAAATGAACCAAAGAGTAAGAGCCAATGTTTACAGACTATGAAAAAAATGCATGGTTTGCAGAGTGATCTATATAATGAATAACTAAAGAAATAAAATATTTCATCTATCTACAGGCAAAGATGAAAAGATCTGATGCATAAAATGTGCTCTGTAGGAAGAAAGTTCTTTCATATGTTGGGGGTAGGGGTAGGAGGTCTAGAGACAGAAGCAACAGCTCCCAAATTAAAAATGAGCAGACCCTTGCTGATCTGGAAAATTAGCCAAGATAATTAAGTTAATAGTAAATTTGCAGGGACCAGGATGAATGCTCAAAAGGTAAAGCACATGCTTTGCATGCACGAGGTCCGGAGTTTGATCCCCAACAGTGAATGGACTCCCATATACCACTAGTGTGTCTTGGTGGCCCCAGCACCGTTGACCAGAGTACAGAAGACATCAGGCCTGCATTAATGGGCTGAGTAGTGTCTCAGCACCACACTGTTCCCACCTGGGGAGGTCTCCTTAAATAAATACATAAACAATTCATTTATAACCCTGAAGTAATTTATATTTGAAATTAGTCTCTAGACAACTTAGTATGTAAAATATTAGCATGCACCCCTCCCCCCATTTTTCAGTCATTCATGTAAGTGCTACTGAATTGAAATGTAAACTATTTTATATTTCAAATGTAAACTATTTTACATTACAAATGTAAACTATGTAAACTAAGAACACATCTCCCTCCAAAAGACATCTTTAAAACACTTTTTTTAAAAAAAAATCTAAAGCTTATGCTGGCCAATCGATTCTGCCTTGAATTAACTGGCAGCTAATTTAGCCTGAAGTAACACGAGGCTATTGATAGTCCTAATTATGCTGAATTATGTTCATTCTGAAAATTTTGAATATTCATGGATAGAACTGCTGTGCTTGATTGGGGATGCTGCTCCACACTGCCTGCCGGGTGCTAGGGGAGGTACAGAGTATAGCAGGCACGTGGAAGAGAATGCAAACACTTCTGAATTCCAAGACCCATCAGGCCTGGGATAGAGGACTGCAGGCCTGCATAACCCTTCCCTGCAGACTGGCAAGGAGCAGGTCATAATAAACACTTGTTAATCTGTCCCTCTTTAAGATGATTCATCTTTATTACCACCAATTATTAGCCTGTGGGACCTAAGAAAATGTTGTAGCTATTGTCTCTTTATAGGACAGGCCATCCATAGCTATTTGGTGATTAAGTCTGTAAATTCTGGGATTGCTAGCCCCACAGATGCCAGCTTCTTTTTCTTAGCATTTTTCTGCATCAGACCAGATAACTAAAGTAGTAGAAAGTAAATAAACTGGTTGTAAGAGCTTTGCTTTGAGTTCACCTCACACAGGGTGATTCCTCTTCAGGTGGCTTACTTGGCCTACTTCCTGGTTCTCTTGGTTTACGAACAGAACACCTTAAAAGTTATTCTTTCATTTGAAGCATATGTAAAGGGGATGTTTACATTTGGACTATCTCAGCTCTCAAGCAACTCCTGAAGTCAAGCACTAGAAAAGTAAGCTCCTTGGAAGTGATGGGGATTGTCTATTTTGTCCAGAGCTCTGTTCACAAGGCTTAGAATAATAAATACTCAATGAAGGAAGATGCAGCAGAGAAGGCAAAAGCTGTGACAGCTCTAAGAATGCCCATTTTGGGGGGAGATCCTGGACGTGTAGATAAGGCTGATGTGAAACGGCAGAGAAGGTACCACCTTTAAATGACAACGGTAAGAGACTTAATGGCTGGATGAACTCTTGGAAGATAGGGGGTGGAGGGAGAGAAACTTGATCAGCATTTTTTAAAATGCCTTAACCTACTTCCAGTTGGTTAGAAGGGTAAACAATATCTTCAACCGAATGCCTTTTTAAAAGGTCTAGCCTCAGCCCATTTCCTCTCCCTAAAGCTAAAACCACTTTCATTGCCTTGGAGGAAAGTAAGGATGAAAGTTCCTGCAGATGGGCCAGCTCAGTGAGGATGCATGGGGGGCGTCAGGTTGGGTTGCGGTGATTTACAGTTTTGTGCAACTGTTTGAGGACATCAATACAGTCCGTGTACGCTCACAAAAGGTTCTCAGAACAACATTGTAATGCACCGTTGTATCAGACGCCAGGGCTTTCCGTGGGTAAGGCAAGCAAGACTGGAAGGAAGTAAGGTTGTCGTTAAGAGATGTCTGGTAATGACCAGCAGGGCCCTGTAAGCGAGGCGGCCTGTACTTGCGACACAGATATATGCAAGAGATTTGGGCCCAGGTGGGGAGTTCTGAAGACCCGCTTAGGGAGTGCGAGTACAAGGACCAAAAGTGACCGTGGTTTGAATTAGACGAATGAGAAGAACTGCAGAATCCTAAACAGGGTTGCCAGCTGGGCGGCAGCTGCTGGGCCGGGCCTGCCCGGGAAAGGTTCGGTGGCGGGAAGGCTGGGCCGCAAAAACACCAGCCCCTGCCGGACAAGCCACGTTCCTACCGATTCACACGCGTCCGGTCGCAGGTCCTGGAAGTCTGCGCCGTAGATGGCCTCCAGGGCCTGCAGCTCGTGGTCCTGGCGCTGTGGGTAGCTCTCCGGCTGCTCGTCTCGGCCGCGCCCGCGGGCCCCACGGCCCCCGGCCATGGCTGCGCGGGCTAGCAAGGCAAGGGGCTCTTAGCAGTTATTGGAGGAGTCTGTGCATGCTCGGTGCCCGGGACCTGCCCGGGGACCGGTCTCTCCGCCAGGGGCGGGACCACGACTGGGTCTCGCGCCGGGGGCGGGCTCGTGGGCGGGTCTCTACGCTCGGGGCGTGCCCGGATAGGCGGAGCGCCGTGGCGGTAGCCATGTGGGCGGGGCTCCGTGGGGGCGGGGCTTACGGGGCTGACTCTCGGCGGGGGGGCGGAGTTCGGCGCCCGGTGGGCCGCAGCTTTCCTGGGCCCCGCTCCGGCGGTTCCTGGGGCCCATAGTAATAACGAGGCCATTAGGTTTCTGTGGGAGGTGGGATGAATCAGGATGAAATCATAGCGCAAAAAAGCATGGCAAACTCTCTGATACTGAAGTGACTTCTGAATTTGCTGTCTCGATTTGCATTTCCCTAATAACCAATGATGTTGAGCATCTTTTTTTTTTTTAATATTTTGTTTGTTTTGGGGGGCCACACCGTGCTCAGGACTTACGCCCGGGTCGGTTGGTCAGAGATCACTCCTGGCCAGCCATATGGGATGTCAGGAAATGGAACCCAGGTCAGCTGAGTGCAAGGCAAGAGCCCTACCTGCTGTATTATTGCTTGTGTCCCATGTTGAACATCTTTTCAGCCGTTCATATATCTTGGATCTATTCGGGTCTTTTTACTCAATTTTACACAGCTGTGTTGTTTTCTAACTACTGAGTTTTAAAAATTCTTTATATGATATGATATAAATCCTTTATCGGGTGTGTGATTGACAAAGTTTTCCTCCCAGTGATGACAGTATTTTACAGAGAATGATTCACATTCTCTGAAGTTCAATGTATCTGTTTTTTTCTTTTTTTTTCTTTTTTCTTTTAAGTGTGATTTTTTTGGGTCCTCTCCTTAAAATATTTGCATAAACTCATGCCATAAAGATTTTCCCTATGCTTACTTCTAGAAGTGTCACAGGTTTTTTTTTTAAATGCTTTTTGGGTCACACCCATCGATGCTTTTTGGGTCACTCCTGGCTCTGCACTCAGGTTACTCCTGGCTGCTGGCGGTGCTCAGGGGACCATATGGGATGCTGGGGATTGAACCCGGGTAGGCCACATGCAAGGCAAACACGCTACCCACTGTACTATGGCTACAGCCCCGTTTCATAGTTTTTGATTTATATTTAGGTATGTTATCCAGTTAGTGTAAAACATTACCATTACAATGGAATACTGTTCAGCAATCAATAAACTAATACTTTTCAGATGAATTTCAAAATAATTCTGTTGAGTAAAAGAAGTCAAATAAAAGGAACTTATTATAATAGTCCATTTATATAAAATTCTTTTGAAAAACTGATTTAGGGCATACGAGAGATCATAGAGAGGCTAAGGTCCTTGCCTTACACATAGCCCACCTGAATTTGATCCAGACACCACATAAGGTACCTCAAGGACCCCCTGGAGTAACCCTGAGCACTGCTAGGTGTGGTCCCAAAACTACATGTACATACCTAAAAGCAAATTTAATAATAGAAGATAAGATTGCCCAGGGTAGAGAGGGCAAAGATGATTCAAAGAGAGGAATTCCAGATAGATAAGAGGAGACTTTTGGAGTATATATATTTATGATCTCCACTGTGATGACAATATCACTCTTATCTGTATATATCAAAACATATCAAACTATATAGTTTGAATATATTTAATTTATTGTATGCTAACTATAATAAAAAGAAAAGGTAGTTTTTGTTTTGTTTTATGACATTTAATAGTGGTTTGTTTGAACCAGGTTCCAAGTAAGGTTTCCAGAACGCATTTGGGTGTCTCACAGCTCAGAAGGTTGGAGAAGTCCAAATTGAGCATTCCAAGAACAGTCTGCTCCTAGTTTGGTTCCTGAGAGAGACAAACCTCTGGCCCCCTGTAGCCTCCAGTTTGATAAGAGTGTCTGTGTATAATGGGTCCACAAACTATTTGTGAAGATACTTCAAGATTTCCTTATTATTCAAATTTCCCTAAACACTGAGATCAGTTCTTCAGAGAAGATTTCTGCTTTTTCACACTGTCCCTGCTCTCCAGAATTTATTTCTGGTGTTGTTTACCTTCAAACTCCTAGAGAAAGCTCCCTGTTTGGCTGGTTGGTTCCCTTGATTGAAAAACAACAATCCCATTTCCTTTCATTTCTGAAGGCTATTTCACTGGATGTAGAGTTCTGGGTCCACTGTTGTTGTTTTCAGCATTTGAAAAATAACGTGACATTGTATTTTGTTTGCTTTTTTGGCCAACATGCTTTCAATGAGAAATCTACTGTCATTCACATTGTTTTTCCCTTATATGTAAATCTTGGACTATATGTGTGTTTAGAAATTTGATTATAATATACATTTTGTTTGTTTGGGATTTGCTTAGTTTCTTGGATCTCTTGGCTTATGATTTTTGCCAAATATGGGATTTTTTAGCATTATTTCTTTGAATACGTTCTTTTAAAAAACATTTATTTATTTATTTATTTATATTTTATGTAGGACTACTGCTACTTATTCAGTCACTGATTAGGCTGATTGAATTGTGCATGAACTCCGCCTTACTTTTTTTTTCCATTTTTTATAATATTTTTAATTTATTTATTGAATCACCGGGAGATACAGTTTCAAAGCATTCATGACTGAGTTTCAGTCATACAATGATCGAACACTCATCCCTCCGCCGCTGTAGATTTTCCATCACCCAGGTCCCCAGTATCCCTCTCCTGTGTCCCGTCTCACCCCTCCCCCTGCCTCTGTGGCAGACACTTTCCCTCTTACCCTCTCTCTACTTTTGGGCAACTTTGAACACATTCTTATTTCACTCTTTTTTCTCATCTAAGAGGTAAAAGTATTTACTTGTTCTTGCGGCTCCTGTAGGCTGGCAGCTGGAAGCAGGGAGGGCAATGTGATTTTTGCTACTCAAGAAAGTTTGAAATAAAAATTATTTAGTAACCTATACCACTTCGTGGAAGGGTGTATGCTTTTATACATATATACATAAAAATGAGTCTTGTCCTTTAATTTTGGATTTAGTATGTACTTTTATCCAAAGCAGTGCCATTTAATTCTAAGTCAGACTATGAGTCATAGTATTTTATGGTGTTTCTTATCTTTCAGCACAGAAGGTATTACTATTTTGATAATAAATTAATTTAGAGTTGATCTTTGATAACTTAGCTCTCCAAAATAATATGTATTATTTTTGTTTGTTTGTTTGTTTTGGGCTACGTCCAGTTGTATTCAGGGGCTGCTGTCATATCATTGCTCAGGTTAATTCCCAGCCATGCCCAGGGAAACATGCAGTGCCAAAGGTTGAACCCAGATCTCGCAAAGCATATGTTGATCCCATCGAGCTATCTCTCTGACCCTCACATTAATTATTTTTATTTATTTATTTGGGTTTGGGGCCACACCCAGCTGTGCACAGAGCTTACTCCTGGCTCTGTGCTCAAGTATCACTCCTGGTAGTGCTTAAGGGACCATATAGAGTGCTGGGAGTTGAACCTGGGTCAACCACATATAAAGTAAGCATCCTATCTGCTGTACTATTTCTGCAGTCCAGCAAATTTGTTTATTTATTTATTTGCAAGGCAAGCATCTTACTTGTTGTGCTATCTCTCAGGCCCCCAATTTTTAATTTTATAGGAATGTGTCCACTTGATCTAGATTACACAATATTTGGGGGGTGGGAGAGTAGTTTTTGGAGCATTCCTGGTGGTATAAGTTATACAATGCACATGCCTTGAATATTGTATCCCTGTACCCACAGGTCCCTAAACCTCACCCCAACAAAACTAGCACTGTAGGGTGTAGCTCCAGTGGTCACCGAGCACTACACTCAGCCAGGCCCATGGGAGTAAGCTTGTGGGGTATCCCTTGTATGTATGAGGCTCTGGGTTTGACTCCTGTGACCACACAGGGGTTACTCCTGGCTCTACACTCACAAATTACTCCTGACGGTACTCGGGGGACCATATGGGATGCTGGGGATTGAACCCAGGTTGGCCGCATGCAAGGCAAATGCCCTACCTGCTGTGTTATCACTCCAGCCCCCTATTTATGTGTGTGTGTGTGTGTGTATGTATGTATGTATATATATACATATACACACACACAGTCCCAACTCAGCACTTTCCATTCCCCAGAAATAGCCTATACTGTGAGTCATATCAGCCACAGTTTTTCATTTAAAAATGTTTTTGTTTCTGTTTTGGTGTTGCTCAGGGGCTAGTCCTGGCTCTTTACTTTATCCCAGGGATCAGACATAGGGCTCCAACATACAAAGTGTGCAATCCAGCTCTTGGAGCCAGAACCAGGGCTCAGTTTCCATAACTTACATCTTCCAGCATAGTTTGGGTTTTTCTCTGATAATGAGTAATTCCTCAAATCTTGGTGGCTTAGTACAGTAAAAATTTCTTGGAGCTGGAGAGATAGTACAGTGGATAAGTCACTTGTGTTACATGGGCCTGACCCGGGTTTGGTCATCGGCATCCCATATGGTCCCTGACATCTCTGCCAGGAGTAATTCCTGACTATAGAGCCAGGAGTAACCAGGTGTGACCCAAAACCAAAAAAGTCTATTCTTATATGAAATTTGTTGTGGTCTGGATGACTCTCCAGAGTGCCTGCTCTCACCCTTTCCATTTATATAAGTAATCTAGTAGTATATAATATCAGTATTTCATCTCTTCCAGCTCAACATGAGCCCTCTTTTACAATCACAGTAGCAAAGCTGCAGAGACTTCCTAATCACTAACAGCCTTTCACTGCTGCAGTCCAGAAGTGATTGGTCACTTCTGTTCATGTATCGTTGCTAATGGCAGTGGCATGAGAAAAATAGTCTGCTGAGTATCTGGAAAAAGAGAACGCGATATTATTGAACATAACTGAAGTCTATGGAATAATCCTCATTATCTATCTCATATAGGCACAGGAATAGCCATTTGGAAGAAGAAGTGCCTATTCCAGATCGAGAGTCAGGGCCATTAGGGTCCTTCTTTCCTAAGCATTCTGCTTAGGCTTTCCAACACAATATATTCCCATTTCTCCAGATTTTCTCCTTTATTTCACGTTTGTTGAAA